CCGACTTCGTTGTTGCGAGCTTCCGGCCTGGGAATCCCTCCTTTTACGAACAACCGATTTATACAACCTTCGATTCTTCAGCAGCAAGCTTCTGCTCCCCCTTTCTTACAAACCCAGCTTCCAGGACGACGCGAAGACGCGCGAAGATTTCAACAGATTCATTCCCAAGGGGCGAAACCAAAAACAAGCCTTCAGAGCTTCACGCACTTTTTTACACCAGATCACCCCATCGATTCACTGAACGGAAACGATTTTACGAGGAAAACATGTCTCCCACGATGCAACTCGCGCCCCACACCACCACCTACACTCCCACTTCTGATGCCATGGATCGTCACGAGTACGGCGTTACCAAGAACCGCAAGGCGGCTTCGACTGGAGGAGGCCGAGCATGGAGCGAGGACGAGGTACGTGTCACCGATATATGGCAGCTCGCACAACCACCTCCCGCATGGATGCGGTGGCTGTGTGTGTGCTCCAAGCGTCCCGTCGTCCCGGCTTTGAATCAAATGTCTCTAACACCCAAGACAGGAAGTTTATCTCCTCCAGACCCGTCTCCAGAAGATGCCCTACAAGCACATCGCCGCTCACTTGAAGAAGACCGAGCTGGCCTGCCGCCTGCACTACCACCAGCTTAGCCACGGCTCCAACCGCCGCAAGCAGCGCACGACTTCGGTCTCGTCCGGTTCCTCCGCGAACCACTCTCCCGTCATGCAGGCGACGATGCCCTCTCCGATCCGAGAGTCGACTCCTCGCTCCGTCTCGCCCCCGGGCAGCTCGGGAAGCTTCGCGCCCCACTCGCCCGCTCCCATGCAACTGCCCAGCATCATGGGCCACGGCGCCTCGCCGCGTCTCCCCGCCATCCTCCCCAAGCCGGTCTGCATGAACCTGCCGCCCCGTACGTCCTCGCCTTCGCGAGGATATCCCACCCCCCTCCCGGAGCCTCACAGCGCGGCCCTCCCCTCCGCCTCCTTCCAGTCCATGTCCGGCAGCCTCCCCATGACGCCCCCGCTGCGTCTGGAGTGCGTGCTGCCCCAACCCCAGCAACAACCCGTCAACCATCAGCACGTTGATATGAACCGCCTCAGCTCCGTCTACACTGCCCACCGTGCCTCCTTCTGGGCCGCCGTCGCCAACGACTACGGCCCGGGCGCCAATCCCGTCGTCCTCGAGTCCGCTTGGAAGAACGGCTCCTGCTGCAACCAGGCCAGCACGCCCATCACCCCGACGTCCAGCCCGGACAACATGGACCGTGACACCTACAACAAGCCCCAGGACAAGACCCGCATTTCTGCCATTCTCGGCATCGACGCCAACCCGCGGTCTCCCCGCGAGCGCGAGTTGGTGAGGCGCATGGAGGAAGAGAGAGTCTGAAGAGCTTACCGAAGCCTCAGACTTGCGTCTCTCTCTTTTCACTTCTATCAGTGTATTACTTCACACCTTTTTGTGTGTCTGATTCTTGCTTGAGGTTCTGCTTCTTCCTGATGTGAGCACAAGAAGACTACAGCATCGAGCCACAGCCCTGTTTATTCACTTCTGTCGGCTGCTCTTCCGGGAGCCCTTTTCGTTTTCTTTGTTTTTTTGTGGCTTCTTTTTTTTTCGATTTGACTGGTTCTTGTTTATCTCGCCATTTTCTCGAATTTTCACACATCGTACACGAACACAAACACGACCGGGGTGGTTGTTGGAAGGGGGGGCGGGTTGATATCCGGCGCAGGAAAGGCGGTGGTCTGCGAATTGGGGGAAAAGAAGTCTTCATTTCTTTTTTGACGTCCTGTTTTACGGACATTCGAGTCTCAACGGCGACTCATGCGAGGGATCTTACGAGCCAGCGGTATCTCGACGACGCTGTCGGGATACGGGGGAACGGCTGGCATGGCGGGGGTGAAGAGGCATCAATCTTGCCCTTCAATCATCTTCTCGAGGGAGGCATCTTTTCAACAACACCCATTGCAGAAATGAAGTGATGACACACACACACACACGCACACAACCACACCTCGCATACATGGCTTTTGTCTGACCATTCGTATGGCACGCGTTTTTTGTACATTAGAGCGACCCACCCGGGGTCCGGAGAGGGAACTATCATGCAGACGACGATATTGCGCATCTTTTTTTTTCTTCTTTTTCAAAACGGCGAATCGAAAGGAAATCAGAGTTTTGAGAAACAAATCTCATCGTGCCCATCCCTTGCAACAGTGATGCTACGCCCTACGGTAAGCCGTGGCGGGTGAGATGATGAAGATCATCACATAGTTGTCATTCCGTCTAAGCGTGGCGTTTGACACTTTGATCCTTTGATCCTGACGACACTGGATGATGAGCTGTCACTATATTAAGATCCAAGACGCGAGAGAGATCTGTGCCGAAGTTGACTTTTGTTGCTTTGATCGAGTTCCAGGACTTGCTTCAGAGGAAACGTCCATACATCATCGAACGGGATTGATGAGAATAGGCATGCGGGAAACATCGGCAATTATTCCTCCTCCAAAGGCAGCAAGCTACGTACTCTGTGCTTTCGTGTATGAGGTTCACCGTGAGTTCGACTGACGGGAAACAAACTCCATTATGGGGGGTGTGTGTGACACAGAGTTGCGAGATTCAGGACGAAAAAAGTACGTATCTGTGGCTGATGACCTTACTGACCGGTACCGAGGCGATTCAGGGCGTGTATCCTTTTTCTTCCTTCTCTTGCAATCCTGCATCCTGATCGCCGCCTCGGTTACAACCCGTCCCAAAGGTGTCCGTCCAACCCACCACACCACCACCCCCAAAACCTTCTTTTCTCCAATCTTGTGAAGCATAAACAGTTTTGGCCTTGTTGGAACACACACCCGCCAAGCATCGTCCCTGGAGACGGTTTGTCAACGACAAGAGGGAGGGGGAGGATGATGAGGGGCTTCGTAATGGGCTGCGCCATCCGTCTGGACTCCGAAACGTGGGAAGGGAAGAATGAGAGAGGGAGAGAGAGAGTTGCGCGGATAGCTCGGATGACGGCGTGCTCTTCCACTCAAGATTTCGGGAGAGACGAACCACCCCTCTTTCTTTGTTTTTCTCACGCTCAGCGCGCTTATGACTTTTTACATCGCCAGCCAAAAAGCGTATCTAGTTGTCGATCCAAACACAGATTCAAAACAGCGTGTCATCCCATCTCTCGCCGCTGGTAGGTTCTGAAGAAGTGGCTGCCTTCGACGTCAGGGAGATGGCCCGTTCGTCGTCATGGCACTCACTCAACTGCGGTGTCCAACTCCAACCCGAGCCCATGTCTTACGCAACACGACAAGGTCTTGGCGCGGATTGTGTTTCTTCTTGACCTTGGGATGGAGGTTACAGAGGGTTGCGTTGGTGTTGACGACGACGACGAGCGGCGTGAGCACAACACGGCATGCACGCATGGCGATGCTCAGTTGCTCACACCATCTGTACGTGAGGTGGTTGCGAGCAAGTCGTCCATTGACGTTGCGTTGGTCTCCACGCCCAGACAATCCCGCTTGATTCTTGGATGCGGGGAACGGGGAAGATTCCAAGAGGGCAGAGCCAGGTCGAGATGATGCACTTAGTCGGCAAGTCGCTCGTATGAATGAGCCCCGAAGATCGGACTGCCAATCACCGAGTCACGAACCGATCCGAGTTGCGTCTTGCCTCGGGTTCGATCTGGAATCCGGATTCTTTCCGCCCTCGGGCGGGACGATTGCGTTTCTCCGTCTCGGTTTCAACGAATAGCAGAAATGCCACCATCTGTTCACAACTTACTTGATAGCGCTGGCCGGCTTTCCGGGGTTAAAGAGAACATTAACAACACACGCAGCTGCCAACGCAAATACCTTTGCCGTGATTGGACCACGGCTGAGTGGGGGGAGAACTACATTGCTTCGCGAATCCCACAATTTACAGACGACAGACTGCATGCCCTCATGCACTTCGCTCAAGAATGAGCTTCAGCACAAGTCCATAACATATATCTACTGGCGCTCAGCGGCTCAGCGAACGGCACTAGTGCGAGGAGAGCCGGTTATGTTAGACACGCTGAACGGAAGATTTATGGCCATCTCTCTACGTCTATCGAGTATCGTCTCAGATCAATTTCATCCAAGTACGATACTTCCAATTTCCGGCTGAGCTCTTCCACTAGCAACGAGTAAGCGGAACAATATCACTAAACATAGTTGGCCTAAAAAAGCATTGGTGCCGGGGAGAATACCGTGGCTGTGATGCCGTAGTGAGTCTGGTTCCGTTAAAGGAATGGCAATGTCTTCTTCACTTAAGCTGTTTACCATTGTGAGAGAAATGACAGCATTTCCGGATTTCAACTTCCATAATTCCAATCTTTTTCCGTCATCTTAGTCTATGGCCTACTTCTGGCCATTAATTACCCCTCCACATCAACGACTCCCACCAAGAAAAAGTCAATTGACTCCGGCTTTTCTCCACTCAAACCGAGCGGCCAGCACCCCGATTCCCCTCCGATCCAAGCTGGGGTTACCCGACTTTCAGAGCCGCCTCACGGAAATCGCAGCGCTCTTCCAATGAAATCACTCACAATAAGCAGCACTCCGGGTTCCAGGGAAGGGCTCGTCCCGAGCGGATCTCTCCCCGAGGTTCGCAGCGGAGCGACGATTCCCCCCGTCCATAGCTTTGACGAATGTGAGAGGGAGGGAAGGTCAACCAGCAGCAAATAGCTACTGCCACCTGTGTTTCTCCCCCGCCCTTTTTGCCCGCATTTTCCTCCTCTTTCGGGAAGACAGCTCTAGAAACAAGACAAGGTTCAAAAAAAGTCATCGTCCCATTCGTTTCTTCCTCCGCCACATAACAGATCCCCTTCTTCGTCTCTACCGTGTCGACCAACGTCCTTCAAACCTCACGACGGGATTGCTCAGCCACAGCTCGTCAAGGCCAAAGATCATTCTGTCCTCCAGCCGAACCTACGCAACCAATTCCAACTGAAACACCCTTTCACAAGCTTACCACGAGACCGCCACCGAGAATCAACCTTCGCGATGAGCGCCGAGCAAGCAGGCCAGGTCCCCAGCGACCACGACGACACCGCCTACAAGGACAGCCACGACTACCTCCAGTTCAAGACACTGCCACCCGGAGGCCCGTTGAACCGCTGGTCGCACACCATCACGAGGGAACATGACTTCCCCGGCGCACAGGTACGCGAGACAGAAAGAACAATTATTCACACACAACACAACAGATTGAAGTCGTCATCTGTTCTTGTTGGGCTCTCTCTCCGAAGTTGGGGAATGCGGGGTTCTGGCCGGCTCCATATGCGGGGGGAGGGGATCGCGGGGTACTCTCAGAGCGATAGTTTGAGCGAGAAGGGCTCACCAGTTCGTGTAGGCCATGTTGTACGGCGCGGGCGTGCCCAACCGGGACATGATGAAGAATGCGCCTCACGTCGGCATCGCGACGGTGTGGTGGGAGGGTAACCCGTGCAAGTAAGTGCCTCTGTGAGAGCTGCGGTGGTGTCATCGACTAACACGACGCAGTACACATCGTGAGATGCCCCTTGAAGCAGTACTGGGGGTTCAGAGCTAATGAACACAGTCCTTGAGTTTGGAAGAATTGTGAAAAAGGCCGTGGAGAAGCAGGGCATGCTCGGATGGCAATTCAACACCGTGGGCGTATCGGATGCCATCACAATGGGAGGAGAAGGTGAGCCCTCTCTCTCTCACTACTTCGTTTCCAAAATCCCTTACTAAACCTCAAAGGCATGCGATACTCCCTCCAGACCCGCGAAATCATCGCCGATAGCATCGAGTCCGTCACCTGCGCCCAGCACCACGACGCCAACATCTCCATCCCGGGCTGCGACAAGAACATGCCCGGCACCATCATGGCCGCGGCCCGCCACAACCGCCCCTTCATCATGATCTACGGCGGCACCATCATGAAGGGCCACTCCGAGCTCCTCGAGAAGCCCATCAACATCAGCACCTGCTACGAGGCCCGCGGCGCCTTCACCTACAACCGGCTGCACGCCAAATGCAACCCCGGCGCCGAGGGACGCACCCCCTCCGACGTCATGGAGGACATCGAGCGCCACGCCTGTCCCGGCGCCGGCGCCTGCGGTGGCATGTACACGGCCAACACCATGGCCACCGCCATCGAGGCCATGGGCCTCTCGCTGCCGGGTTCGTCGTCCTACCCGGCCCTGTCTCCCGAGAAGTCCCGCGAGTGCGAGCGCGCGGCGGAGGCCATCAAGATCGTCATGGAGAAGAACATCCGCCCGCGGGATCTCATGACCCGCGCCGCGTTCGAGAACGCCCTCGTGCTGACCATGATCCTTGGCGGCTCGACGAACGGCGTGCTTCACTTCCTGGCCATGGCCAACACCGCAGACGTGCCCCTGACCCTCGATGATATCGACCGCACCAGCAACCGCATCCCCTTCATCGCAGACCTGGCGCCTTCAGGGAAGTACTACATGGAAGACCTCTACAGAGTCGGCGGGACACCGTCGGTTATCAAAATGCTCGTGGCCGCCAACCTGATCGACGGCTCCATCATGACCGTGACAGGCAAAACCCTCGGTGAGAACGTCGCAGACTGGCCTTCCCTAGACCCCAACCAGAAGATCATCCGCCCTCTCTCCGACCCGATCAAAAAGACAGGCCACCTGCGCATCCTCCGCGGAAACCTCGCCCCCGGCGGCGCCGTCGCGAAAATCACCGGCAAAGAAGGCCTCTCCTTCACCGGCGCGGCCCGCGTCTTCGACAAGGAGCACGAGCTCGACGTCGCTTTGTCCGAGGGCTCCATCCGGCGCGAGGACGGCAACCTCGTCCTCATCGTGCGGTACGAGGGACCCAAGGGCGGCCCGGGAATGCCGGAGCAGCTGCGCGCGAGCGCGGCCATCATGGGCGCCGGGCTGGACAACGTGGCTCTCGTGACGGACGGACGGTACAGCGGTGCGTCGCACGGCTTCATCGTCGGCCACGTCGTCCCTGAGGCGGCTGTAGGCGGGCCCATTGCTCTCGTGCGGAATGGCGACAGGGTGACGATTAATGCTGAGACGAACCGTATTGATGCGATTGACGTCGACGAGGCCGAGTTCGAGAGGAGGAGGGCGGAGTGGAAGGCTCCGTTGCCCCATGTGAGAAGGGGCGCGTTGGGCAAGTATGCTCGTCTGGTGGGTGATGCCAGCCACGGCGCGGTGACGGACCAGGCGGATCCCTCGTGGTAATATGACCGGAAATGAATAGGAGAGATTATACAACAATTGCCGCCTGTGAGGTGAACAGTCTGAAATGATCTAAGTATCGAGTTGCCAGTGAATGCATCCAAGGCGATGGTATGCCACAGCAAGCTGTCAAGATGCCAAAACGTGCGCCTTGAAGTTGATGCAAGAACACCTTGAGATGAGAACAAGTGCTACTTGTGAACCGTCTCCAGGAGAGTTTGCCATGCCTAGCCAAATATGAACTCGTCGCATGCACACGGCATCACGCGTCAAACCTAGACTAATACCTCACTGCCGAGAAACGATCTATGAAGAACTCCAGCTACGAGCCACAGCCTCAGCCAGACATTCCTGGTACTGAGACAGCACCATACAGGACGCAAGGAATTCCACCCCTCTGGTGACCGTCTTTGAACGCCGGCCGAATGTGAAGAGGCGCCCCTGACGTAGACATGAGTGCCGTGATAGTAATGCCATGAGAAGAATCGCAGATGCCTGTAAAAAAGAGCCTGGAAAACATGGGGATTCGCGAGGGCGTCGACCTCTGTGCTTGGTGCATTATTTGAGGCGGCAAGAGAAGCGAGTAGTTGTCTCGACGTCCGAAATCAAGTGTTCTGTTCTCTTGAGGCTGGACGTAGATGTGAGCATCCCGCTCAACCAAATCCGCCATGGAGGATGACGTGCGTCTTACCACACATTAACACAGGAAAAATAGACGGGTCGGCAGACAAAGCATATATACCATTCCGCTGGTCCGCCTTCGCGATCCAGCATGCTACTCTAACATTGAAACGTCTTCTCTCTGTCTCTCCAAAAAAACAAGAATCAAACATGTCCATGTTTGTTTGCGTCCCATTCAGCTGGTATCCTTTGCGCGTGTGAGAAGGGCCCTATCAACAGTCCCTGTCTCTCTCTTCTTGCTCTCGCATGCCCGCCGAAACAAAAACTCGCGATAAAAAAAAGATGTTTCTTTCTTGGGTCGAAAACTTATCCGAACCCAAAGCCGTTTCTGTAGCTTTCCCCCTCTCTATTTCATGCTTCGCAAGGTTCCCGTGCAGTGTAAAAACAAAAACTGATTATGGACAGAGGCCGGAATACGTTGTGAAACCCTCATAACTCCCAAAATAAGGCTTTGCAAGCAAAGACCGATACTGGCAATGCCGTTACACCCTCCCCGCGCGCGAACATTAATGAGACCACCTCTGAAGCCAAGGGGGGTCTGAGCGTCTCCGCTGTCATCAATATACAATTCCGTTTTGTTCTTCATTCCCACAACATTCGGCGCCAGTCTGTATGTGCGCTGGCCGTGACTCGTGACATCGTGAGCGATGTGTTTTCGTCGTTGTAGATTACGGGCTGGCCCATCCGCCGGCGACATCAACCCATTCGGCGAGGCAAGATCCTTCCTTTCCCTCGACGTCGACAATGTCTGTGTCGCATCTGCAACGGCATCCAACACCGTTCTCCTTCTCCGTGTCCCAGTGCTCCCAGTAGTCGTCTTCCTCGAATCGCTTCTTGTCGTCGAGCGTCGTCTTCTCGAGGTACGGTTCTCTGGGGAGCTGTCGGGCAGGGGCGTTGGCCGGGCAGTGCTGGATGGTCGTGTGTCGGTAGCCGAAGTCTCGGAAGTAGTGGATGTCGCGGGGAGACAGGAGGGCGCCGGCTGCCAAGGAGTGGATGGGTGCATCACCCCACTGACAACTGTTAGCTTAGGTCAGACGGTTATGCGAGCTGATGAACTTACGCGTTCCATCCAAAAGCCTCCACTGCGGTCCATCATCTCGAAGAAATCCTCGTATTCCTTGCTGCGGAACCAGCTAAGGCTGGCGATCTCGAAGTTGGACCAGAAATGACACATGTTGTAGGACTCGCCCTCCATGGCCTCGGGGTCGATCTCGGGCATGGCGTTATTTCTGGGATCGCTGCGGAGGACTTCCTCGGGAAGTGGAGTCTGGTCCGTAGGCTCCTCCTTCTTTTCGGGAACGGGGTCGACAAACATCTCCCAGAGGCCCTTGGACTTGAGACCCTTGAGGCGCTTGTAGGCAGAGGCATATCTGAAAATGTTGGGGACGGTTTCGCGGAGTTCCTTGACGGCGATGGTAAATCCGTAGGTCTTGTTGGCGTCAATCATGGCCAAGAACGGGTCGCTGTTTTTGTTTGTTAGCAACGGTAGTCGATATCGAAAGTGACGGGACATACTAAGTGATGTCACAGAAGTACTTGATCTCCGGCTCCAAGCGCCAGTACCACTCGTATTTCTGGAGGAGCTCGTGCTTGTAGAAGAATCTGTGATGTTTTAGCGAGAACCCCGGGTTTCTGCGAATATCGAGACCACGTACCCAGAGTAGAAACGGCACATGGCGTGGTAGCTCTCCAAACCGCCGTACATGACCGCGGCATCACCCTGCTTGGCAACGCCCTCCTTGGCGACCTTGTGGTCGATCCAGTCAGGGTAACCCCACATCTCGGGGCCGACCTTGCCAAACTCGACAGGAGCAGAAGTGTAGTTGGTGACGACCTCCTTGAAGGTCTCGTTGAAGTCGCCGTCGTTGAGGAAGACATAGGGGTAGTGGTACCATCGGTTGAAGTGACGCTCGATAGACTTGATGGACTGGATGACACCATCCAACTCCTTGTTGCGGGCCAGGACGACGAAGGCGCCGTTGGCCTTGGGCCTGCTCGTGTCAGGCTGGAGACATCCGGTGACGAAGACCTTGTCGTGCTCTTCACTGATTTTCCTGCGGGCGACCACGTCAGCTTTTGTCAATTGGTCACAGCGGGACGAGAACGTACCTGATGGCCGGAGGGGCGCCGGCGGGCATCAATATCCTCCCAGGAGAGCTGGGATGCCTGACGAAAAGGACCAGGATAAGGATGACGACAATCAGGGGGAAGAGAATAACGACGCCGAGAGGGACGGAAATGCTCGAGTTGCCCCGTAGGCGCAACGGTCTCCTGAAGAAAGCGAGGCGCGAGGTAAATCTGTTTTGGCGAGCATGCTTTGTGGTGGGCTTCTCGTCGGCGGTAGGAAGTTGGGGCGACGTCGAGGGAATGGCCTTCACGGCTCGCCTAAAGAGATCCATGGTTGCGGCGTATCGTCGCCGACAAGTGTGATGATCAGGAGGATAGGTTGGAGGGGAGGCGATAGCTGGAGGGATGTCGGGACGAGAGTTGGGATGGCTCCAAGGATGGCGTGGGCGGATTTGGCGCCGTGTCGATTACAGGGTGGTACCTTAGGATAAGGGGGCGGCGATCGAATCGAATGCGATGGACTTGATTACGCTTCTTGGACGAACACGCGAACCGCGGACAAAAGCAAAGCCGTGTCTAATGGAAGCAGCAAAACGGTGGGCGGCGGGCGATGCGAATTGCGAAGTAGACGTGAACGAGCGGCAGGGACGAAGTTTCCCTTGAGCGGTCGGGATGGACGAAGGTGTGACAGCGAAGACGAGCGGGCTGAACAGATTTCAGACTACCCTTACGCGTCGAAGGAAGCAGCTCTCTCGCACAGCGGCAGGACGGCGGCTGATTGGGGGGGCGGAGAGAAAGTCGCAGCGACAACGGTTCCGGTAATTCGGTGTCGTCTTTGTGCTTTGTTACGCTTCGCCGCGTCGAGGTGGTCGCAGAGACGGGAGCGAGACAGATCGTGTGGTGGTGGTACGGATAGGGACCGGAAAAGGACTCCCTCTCTCTGTATGTCTCTCTCTCCTGGGAGGTAAGATCTGACGGGTTGAGCCGAGTCGAATATCAATTGGGTCGGGTTGACGTCTCGGCAGGCGACATAGGTCAGCGGCGTTGGCAAGGCGGCCGAACGCTGGTGGTCGTCGTCAGATCGGAGGGGGTTCGAGCTCGAGGGTCGAATTCGAGGTCGGGAATCGGAGGGGGAGGAGGGGGTTCGTGGGAAAGGGAAGGGAGTTTTTAGTTGGTGAGGGAAAAGAACCAACTTTTTTTGGGGGGTGTGGGAGGGAAAAAAAAGCTGACAGATGTCACGGATGGGAGAGTAGGTGGAAGGGTAGAGGCGGGTAAAGTTAGGTTGGCATTTCCTGGTTGGTCTTTTTTTTTTTTTTTTTTTTTTTTTTGGGCGATAGGAGAGCACCTAGGGACAGGTAGCGAGATAGGGGACTGTCATGCAATTCACTTTTTGGAGAGGGCATTGGGCAGGCGGCAGACATTGGACACATTGGACACACTGGACAGGACAGGACAGATGGGATTAGTATTCCGTACCTTAGGGGCGCTGCCACGCTGGAGGACCAGTTGACCAAGAAAGAAGCACGACGAACGGGACTCCAGAGAGTCCAGACTGTTCGCGTCTGCAGACCGGGCAGTGGCTGTGGACTTCGCGGAGCAAACCAGGTTCACCAGGTGTCCCATAGGCCAAAAGGAAAGCAGAGTGGGGACGCGAGGGGCGTGAAGTGGACCCATGTTGGTCAAGAAACGACGTGTCATTGGAGGATGCATCCCGCCAAGACACGCGGAAAGGAGGAAGTGGGGCTTCTCCTTTCCTGGATGGAAGGCACTGTGGACAGTGGACACTGGACTGAGGCAATCTGGATTCGCAGTCTTCTCTGCATTTCTGCATTCTGGCATCTGCATTCTGGATTGCTGCGTGGAAGGTCCGAACTTGAGATTGAGAGCATGGAGCTTCCGTCCAATTTGCTTGCTTCCTGCCACGCATCGCATTGCGGCATAGAATTAGCAAGATTACCTACCCGACCTTCCTTCTTCTGCGCCACGCTTCCAACTTCCTGGTTCCTACCCTTCCATCTTTCCGTCCAATCGTTGCCAGCACCACTCCTGTTTATCCGATCATCCCCCGGCGGTGCTCTGGCATTTGAGCCAATCGCAACATGATGCAACATTTTAGCGCATGCAACACTCCCGCTCCCGTCATCTCCCAAGTTTTGAAAATAGAAACCCCGGATGACAGCTGGCACCGTCTGGGTCAGGAGCAGCTCCTTCCTTCGAGATCGACGTTGTCACGCGAGCAGGAGCTAGCATCGACATTGCTGAGATAACCGTGATTTCAACTTTGTGGATAACCATCATGTACACGTGTAAGCCTGGTGCACTCCCTTCTCCGATATCCGACAATGCCGCCGTGGATCTGGCGCCCCATCGGGCACTCCGGATGGCCCCCGTTCATGATCCTGCCCATGAAGCTCCGTTGCCATACATATTTGAAGAGAGGAGGAGGTACCTCGCACCTCACTGCAACTTGGAAGCTACTCTCCTCTCCTCGATTCTCAACCTGCGGAACAACATCTCCAACAATGGGTTTCTCAGTACGAGAGGTATCGAGTCCATGGCCAGCATCTGTACCAAGTGCGGCCAGTACGGGACCAGCACTGCACGCCCACAGCCGACTCGGTCCAAGATGGCTTTGGCGATGGTATCCGAGGACGGCCAGAACAGTCCCGGCGTCAGAAGTTCGGGTTTCGTGGCTACAGCCCCAATGCGGACCCCCATGACTTCCACGTTGATGCCGTCCATGCTCAGTTCCCTCGCCAAGGACGTCGAGATCGCACTGATATAGGCCTTGCTGCCCGCGTAGAACGACAGTAGAGGCCAGCCCCCGTCAGAGACCGAACCCACATTGATGATGAACCCGGGCTCCGAGCTACTCCGAAATCGCGGTATCATGATGGCGTTAAGTATCGTCGGGAAGAGCGCGTTCAGGTGGACGATGGATGCGATGTCCTCCATCGATGCCTCGTCCAGTCGCTTCATCATCGGCATTGGGCCACCTCCGCCCACATTGTTGACGAGGACCCTCAGGTTGAGTCCTTCCAGCGGCGCCAGCATCGTGTCCCACGGCTGGCTCCCTGAGCCCAGCACTCCCGCGTCTCCGACCATGATTCCGAACTCCCGTTTCGGATGCTTGCGCGCGAGGTCGTCCCTCACTCCCTCCAGCTTGGCCTCGTTGCGTCCATGTAGAACAACGTTGAAGCCTCTGCGGGCGAGCTCGTTGGCGAGTCCCCTGCCGATCCCGTCGCTCGCTCCCGTGACCAGCGCCCAAGCCGACTTTCCGTCGACGGACTTGAGGTAGCGATCAAGCGTCGACTTCCGAAAGAAAGGAATGGCATACCAGCTGATGTTGTAAGCTATGGCGAGAAGGGACGCCAGCCCTACAGTCCGAACAAAACTTTGATAATCCATACTGGGCCAAGAGAAGAAGAAAATGACTGCACGGGGGCCTCTGTACTCAAGTGTTCCACCCACCACCTTTTATCGTGTTTGATGGAAACGAAACACACGTGAAGGGCGCCATCAGGACGTCATATATTGACAGTTTCCGCTCGAATTGACTCTGTGACACAGGGATGGCTGAATGGGACCAAACCCTCGACTTCATGCTTTCCGGGTGGGAATTACCCATCCGAGAGTACGAAAGCGACTTGTCCGTAATACGGATACGCTTTCCACTCCGGACGACTGCGATCCCGGCGAGCTCCCACCCCCGGGCGGTCCGCAAGCTCTACCCGTGGCCTGGGCGGCACAATCCTCAGCAACGACGAGTTTGGCTGAACTTTGATTCAACACCCTTAAAGCATGCCCATGCCTGGATACTCAGGCGGAACTCCAAATACGCCGGAATCAGACGGAAACAGGAAAATGCAGCTTTCGCATCTTGAGAGAAGGTCCGGCGTAACTTTGCATGGGGGTAGTATACAATGTCCGTACATACATATCGCCGGGAAGTAGTATTGGTACAATCGTCTTTTGGCGCCTCATCCTCTCTCCTATCCTCGAGCCTCCTACCACAAGGTGTCCTCCTTGACGACCTCCTTCACCTCCTTCTTCGGCTTGTTCTGCTCCCGTTTCTTCGGAATGGGGACCTTGAAGTACAAACTGGGCGACTCGCCCTTCTCGAGAAGGTGGCTGAGGTATCCGCGGTGGGCGGGATCGCGGTAGTATTCGATATCGGAACGGCTCGTAGGGTCGGGCAGTCTGTATCTGTAGGGCCCGCTGCGATGTTTCGCGAGGATCGCGGCGACGTGTTCCTTGCCCTGAGGCAGCGGCTTGTCCGTGTTCTCGCTCTCGTCGCTCACGAGGCGCTTCATGGACAGCCTGGTGTAGAATCTCGTTATGACCTTGCCGCCGGCGGCTTCGACGGCTTCGATGGCCGAGCCGGAGGCGCGGGAGACCATAATGTCGACGGGCTGACGAAGGGACTCCTTGCCGCGTGCGAGAAGCTTGATACCGTCCTTGATGCTACCGATGAGACCAGAGTCGATGATCTCCTTGATAGAGATGCGCTTCGTGGGGTCCAGGCGACCTGCGTCGATCCACTCCTGGAGCTTGTCGAGGTTGACCTTGGACATGACGGGAGCACGCCTAGATCGATTAGCCAGCTGTACCGACGACTTCCGATACCAATTGCCGTTTGCCCAACAGCAATCGACGTGCGCAGAACACGTACTTGTTGTCGAAACCCTTTCTTCCCTTCTGCACAATCAAATGTGTTTGACCACCCTGGAACCATGGCTTGACGTGGCCATGCTGCTTCTGACCCTTGTGACCACGACCTGACGTCTTGCCCTTACCGGCAGAGGCACCTCGACCGACTCGGATGCGCTTGTTGTAAGCTCCCTTGTTGTCCCTCAAGTTAGCGAGGATGGAGGCATTGCGGGCGCCGATGGAGAGGCCGGCGAAGAGGGAGACGAGGCTCGTGGGGTTCGTCGCGGGTCTCAATAACCGGCTACAGCATGTCGACACATGCAAAGGGGTTAACCTTGGCGGCATTGTGAGTGGTGTTGTTTGGCGGCGGACGTGGGGAGTGGTGATGCTGCCGTCGGCCCAAGGTTCGAGCCTCCCAAAATTTCCAATGCCTGCGGACGCGGAATCATGCGAAGAAACGCCGACGTCAGCCACGGTTCACTTTTCGAGGTGTGGCTCAGTTTGAAGAGGTGTATTACATAAGACCTGATAGCCAGGTCAGCTCAAATGCAGCCCAACACTGAAGCAGCCCACTGTGGGGAGGTGCCTTGCTGGAAACAGTGCTCCACGGGTCCTGGTCTCGGAGCTGCCCCCCAGTTAGCGCCCCAGCCCCCCCTCTGATGCGCGTGTTCAGTACTTGCGACAGGCCCTGTTTGCTCCGCACCAGCGTGGTGGTCGCAGCCCAGGGCAGGGTCGCAAGTCAGGCACAGACCTGACCTGGGCGATTCGGGCTTCGGTTCTGTCGTCAGCGTTCCCTCGTCCACGGCCCGCCCGCCTTGAGGTTGTCTCAAGCTTTACAACATTTCTGCCCCCAGCTCCCCGAAGACGGAATACCAGCGAAAAAAAAGACATAGGCCATCCGTCAAGCTTTTTGCCTCTTGGATTGCTCGAAGACGACATCCGTTTCTCCTCGAGGAAAAGCTAATACTTGACAAGGCAGCTTGCTTTCCCCCATCATCAAACTTGATGTCGTAGCGATCGAATTGCGTCTCGGACTTTGCGATTGCTAATACCTTACCTTACCTGTACGCGCCGGCAAGCTTGACGTGCTTTCTTATCTGTCGCCCTGCACTACGCCTGTCGACTCCTATTACGCATCAATTACGAGGCCTGCAAGCTACTGAGCGTCCTCTGCTTCTCTCGACAGTAATTGGAGGGAATCCTATCGGCGTACAGCTCCTCAGTGCTACCTCGCCTCGCCCAAACCGATCGGCCGATACATACTGAATACCTCATAATACGAAGACCAATCCGTCGCCAACATGTCGCTCTTTGGATCATCACCACCGGCCGAAACGCCCTCACAAACTTCCGCCGCCCCCTCGCGATCTCTCTTTGACGAAGAGCCCATGTCCAAGTCCGGTTCCAATTCCTTGTTTACCGACGACGACTTCGCCGGCGCTCAAGGCTCGCCCTGGGACATGCCCACCCCGAGAAAGCAGCAATCCCGTGCCGACATGATCCGCAACCTGCTCCCGGCCTCCGACGTGCCCGACGCCTACATCGAGACCTTCGATACCGTCGTGCGCGAGGATGGCAGCGGAGGGCGCGTTCACGCTGGCGGCATAGCCAAGCTGTTCGCTGCGGCGCGCCTCGGAGCTGACCAGCAGGCGCAGATCATGTCCATGGTTGTGCCGGCTGCAGGTGGCGACATTGCTGTCGGACGCGGCGAGTTCAACGTCCTGCTTGCTCTCATCGCCTTGGCTCAGGAAAACGAGACAATCAGCCTCGACACTGTTGATGAACGACGAAGAAGTAAGTCTTGCCCATCAATTCTCTCGTTCCATCTATCCATGACGATACTCGGCCCCTGTTCGCCGAGCTATCGACTATCGACTTATCAGTGCGCAATCTGTGGGGTTCTCTGCTAATTGCCAATACACTAACCAGACCTTCCACTACCCAAGCTGGCCGGCCTGACTGCTGCTCCGGTGATGCCTCCCGTCTCCGAGCTTCCTCCCGCCAACCCTCCTCAGGCTTCCCAGACGCACACCCCCGAACCTCCTGCATCGCCGCCGAAGCCAAGCACCCTGCGCCGACCCCCGATGGACTTCCCCGAATCCGACGATCCATGGAACTCCCCCGACGTACACAAGGGCCATGCCCATGCCGCCGTTGAGTCTCCCAGCAGAACCAACGGCGCCAGCCCACAGCGCCCGGCCGCCAACGGCAACGGACATAGCAATGGTGGTTTTGGCACCTCCCCGAGTACTGCCATTGCTGGTCGCACCATGTCATCCTACACCGCTGGCAGCGCTGCCTCCGACACGGGTTCTGGCCGTCAGAATGTGAACACTGGCACATCGCCCGGTGGCTGGGGCGGTTATTTCGATGGCAACACTTCCGGCGGCGGCTTCAACGAACCCACCCCGAACCCGGTCACCAGTCCTTTCGGCAGTGCTGGCGGCGGGCGGGAGCCGACTGGGAACTCCCCAAGCGTGCCTACTCTGAGGAATTCTACAAGTGGACGCACGGGAAGCAGCGTCGAGGAGAGCATTGTCGTCAACCTGATGCCAGAGAAGGAGGGTCTGTTTATGTTCCAGCACCACAACTACGAGGTCGCAAGTATGCGTCGCGGCAGCAAGGTCATTCGCCGCTACAGTGACTTCGTATGGCTTCTGGACTGCTTGCACAAGCGGTATCCTTTCAGGGTGCTGCCTCTGCTGCCGCCGAAGCGCGTTGCTGGTAAGTGGTCATCTTGACATATTCCAGCTATCGCTAACAAGCATAGTCAACGGCAATCACCTCTCCAATGACGGCGCATTCATCGAGAAGCGTCGCCGAGGCCTGGCAAGATTCCTCAATGCCCTCATTCGCCACCCCGTGCTCAGCCAAGAGCAACTCATCATCATGTTCCTCACTGTGCCAACTGTAAGTCAGGACCATAAACCGACAGCGCCTTACACTGACAGATCCAGGAACTCTCCGTGTGGCGCAAGCAGGCCACAATCTCTGTGCAAGACGAGTTCAATGGCCGGGTTCTCCCGCCTGGACTCGAAGACTCGCTGCCACCTACCCTCGAGGCCTTGTTCGACAAGACTCGCTCTGGTGTGCGGCGTTCGGCCGAGATATACATTAACGTGTGCAACATCATGGATCGCCTTGTGAAGCGCACTGAGGGTGTGGCTGCTGACCATGCTCGCATCGCCTTGTCTCTTGCGTCCCTGACCGAGACGAGTGCCGACACGTACGCTACCGATACCAACGAGGTGCCCCTGCTCAATGACGGCCTGAACTCCATGAGTAGGCATCTGAGGACTGGTCAGAGTTTGATGGAAGATGAGAGCAAGGCCTGGGACGCGGGCGTGTTGGAGGACTTGAAGCGCCAGAGGGATGCCCTTGTCAGTGTTCGCGAACTTTTCGACCGAAGAGAGCGTCTCGATAAGGACAATATCCCGTACCTCGAGAGGAGGATCCAGACGAACGAGACGAAGCTTGCCAACCTCCGCAGCAAACCCGAAGGTATGGTCAAGCCCGGTGAGATCGAGAAGGTGGTGGAGGCCATCATCAAGGTATGTCAAGGTTCCCCTGTCTTCCCCACACCAGGACTGACAAGTCGCAGGACAAGGAATCCATCGTTAGCCAACACAACCGCTCCATCTTCGTCAAGGAGTGCATCCGCGACGAGCTCATCTACTTCCAAACCACCCAATTCCACATCTCCCGCTGGAACCAGGACTGGGCCCAGGAGCGCGTCAAGTACTCGGAGATGCTGGCCGATAATTGGCGCCGTCTCCTTGACGAGCTCGAAGGCATGCCTCTCGGCGACTAAGCTCGTGTCATCACATTTTTTTCTTTCCTGGCCGACTTTGCATATCAGCGATACTCACCCTCTGGCGTTCCGGTCTTTCTCTCCATCCGCCAGATCTGTTCAACACCTTCGTTGACTGTCAGCGGCAGTCCTTGGTCTTGTACGAAATTGTGTTGTTTCTTAGCGCAATGTTCCCAAAACATGATGTACTTTTTAGAGCAGGGAGACGTTGCCGAATACCCTTTGGTTACGCAAGTTGCTTAATACATGGTTCTTAATCTCTGTACCGTGCTGGGGGCGTTATCGTTCGGCTTTCTTGCGATGAATTTAGTAATCAGGAAGCACATAATCTTGGAAGCCATATCACATGTAAGACGCAAGAATGTAGCGAACAAGTTCAGCAGTAGGCCACGAGCGGGCACCATTCTCGGATCATTCGTCCTCGTTCGTTGCTGTCAACGTCCGTCCTCCTTGGAGTATTCCTCCTATCTCAAACAGTAATAAGCGCCCGGCCCATTCCACCACCCATGCCACCGGAACCATCGTTGTCGGGCTCCGGGGTTCGGCGGCGGCGGGCGGCGGGCTCCTCGTACAGGTCGTCCTCGTCCCCCTCGTCGTCTTCATCTTCCTCGTCGTCGTCGTCCATATCCTCGCCCCAGCCGACAAAGAGCGTGTTCTTCTCCTTCTTGGGCTTCTTGCTCTTCTTCTCCTGCTTGTTGGAGACGGGGGTGTGGATGCGGGCGGCGGCAGCGGCGGCAGCGGCGGGCTTTTTCGGGGTCACTGACTTGGTGACCCGGCCAGTCGCGGTGCCGGAGCCTTTGTACTTGGGGCCACGGGCGACAGGTGTGGTCGTGCGGGTCTTCGAGTTCTTGCCCGTCTTCTTTCCCTTGGTATCATATGATTGCTCATTGTGCCGACCGCACACCATAAACCGGCCGTTGCCGGCTCGGACAAATTCTCCGGGTGGGCGGCAGTGGCGGCCCCGGGAGCAGAAGCGATAGCCTTGGCATTCGGGATCACCCCGTACGCCTTCGTAGCACAGACGTACGGGGTCGTCGTCATCGTAGTTGGCCCGATAGCAGTCATCGTGTTTACGGCGAATGGGCTTGCCGTTCTTATCGACCTTCTTGGCCTTTTTATGCTGTATGGAATCGGTTAGCTGGGTGTGGAGAGGATGATGCTTGATGATGGTTATCGAAAAGGGGGAGGGGGGATGATGGAGGATCTAATATATTGACTTGGTGATGGGATTTTGTGAAGGCAGAGAGAAACTTGAAGAAGACCAACACAAGGCCCCTCGTGATCATGGAGCAAGATGAAGAAGAGAGAGCAAAGGATTACTTACAGGCATTGTGACGGTACCTGGAGCTGATTGTTCGATCTTTTCTTCGATGGTTTGATGTGACTTGACGCAATGAGAGTCCTTGTCTACCTTGTGGTGAGGTAGTGTCTCTCGCCGAGTCTGAAAGGGAAAAAGGAAACCTCAGAATGTCTTCAAAACAAAAGATCTTTTTATACCTGAGTTTCATGGAGCTTCACGACTAATCAAGGTCAGGGCTGAGGGCTTCACGACACGGTTGAGGGCCCACTAGAGACGGGGAGAGATCATTCACCCATGGGATGAAGACGTGGGAAGGACTGGAAGGCACCGAGCGGCTGTGCTTGAGATGGTCCGGAAGGTTCTTTCGTTGTGTTGAGAGGTCTGGTGATGATGAAAGCCCCGCCGGGGAGACAGGTACACCTCGGTCATCATGAGATGAGGATGTATGAAGCAAGCCTGCCCAGCGCCCTGGTTTGCAAGCTGGGGGAGGTTGTCTCATGGAGTTGAGAAGTTTCATGGGTCTAAATTACTGAACAAATAATGCACATGTTCAATCTTACACCACCCACATGCGGGAACGTAAAAAAGATAGAGGTCACATGTGTTCTTCAGAAATCTGTTTGTGTGTTGACTTGAGGGATGGAAAGTGCTCGCCATATCAACTTCGAAGATGTTGGGAGTTGGCTATGAAGCGAGGAGTCAAGACATGTTATGACCAAGGAGGATTTCAGAAGTAGACTGGAGTGTTTGGAGAAGCTTGCAAGATGCTCCAGCTATATTGGACATAGAGATGCATGAGCTTGAGAAACCCATGGAGACATTAAGAAGTAACCGTAGCTCTCATTCAAGAAAACACCAAATGCTCACAGCCCGAGCCATAGTATTCACCCGGTCGTGGCAGCATGTGGAAAATTGACAAAGGTTGGTCTGTCTGGCTGATCTGTGTAGAGATTGAGACCGGGTGAGCGAGTGAGCATGCGAAGTAGCTGCATTGGAGCCTTGGATGCTATCGATGGCCTCATAGGTGAGTTGACAAGACGCTTGAAGGTAGGTACACATGAAACCTTACCCTGGATACTCGACAATTCGTGGTTCTCTGGAATCTAGCATCTCTAGTTCTCGTCACTACCCTTCAGGTATTGCCTCTAGTCATGCGAGATTCTCTACATCACTTGGCTCCATGGTTTTGACCATGAGAAACCAGAGCCCTTTTGGACTGGTGGCCCTAGACATCTATGCACCAATGGGTGGCCCCGTTCAACACCTGAACTATTATGAGCTGCCACCTCTATTATATAAGACGCCTAGTCAAAGCATCTTAATATGTCAATCCAAGTAGAGAAGATTGATCGGCTTTATGACGGCTGCGGCGATACGCCAAGAGCTTGTGGTCTCGACTCGCTTGGAACTGCTTCTCGCGTCATTGGGTGAAGCCAAGAGGACCCGTCAGACGATGGCGTTTCTTGGAAGCTAAAAGCCGTGCCAGATGACGAGGACTTGATGCAGACGCCCTGTTACTATGCCAGCCTTACGAATACCCCGAAATAGCTGGCTTGGCTACTGACGACACTGACACGTGGAGCAAGTCAACGCTTTTGACTGTCAACTTGTGGCTTCAACACAGGAAAGGCGGGGTTTCTTGTAAGTTACTTAAGGGACTAGACATCAAGTTTCTCACTACAATGGCGAAGCTATTCAAGCCAAACAAGTCGTCATAATGCTGAGCCGATGATCGTTGACTTCCTCTCCTACTGGAATCTTGGTGATCTTTCAGCTCGCTACTTGTGTAGTTGAAACCCCATTTCGACAGCAGAGCGGAGTTTGAGATCTTCTGGGGCACTTCTGGCAAGGTGCATCTTATAATAAAAGCATGGAGTATTGAAAAGCGACATAAGCTCACTGAAGTTATCACCAAGCAACAAATACGGTACAGGTAAGCTCTGATTGTGTTCTCATCATGCGTCCTCTTTGTCATTACAATTATGTTACCACAAGCTCTCGTCTAACATCAGAGAAATACTGGTGATGGCGACAGTTTGAAAAGATCGGCAAGGAAATATCTAAATCAACTCCAGCAACTTCCCCAATCTGGTCTTCCCCGGACGGGATGCGCGCCCTCCGAAGCCACCGGCCCGACACATGCAGCAATGACACCGCGGATCCAGAAATCTCATGAATCTTGGCAAAGAGGACACATCATCGGCGGGCTCCGCGATGACCGTGAAGCCGGTCACGACATCCACATCACCGCCTTCCACCGGTATCCCGTAGTAAGGCGGCATTGGTCGTGGACAAGTCGTGGAAACTCGATGCGGTCTCGTTGGCCGACTGAGAGAAAAGCGCCCAGAAGCCACCATGCAGTCAGATGTGAGGATGTGTCTGATCAGCTGGATCATCGTTCCCTCCACCATTACGAGAAGAGAAACCGAGACTCGATCAAGCCCGCGGTCCGCGGCACGACGATTCCGGTTACCTCCCGCCGGGCCTCCGCGACACGTGAAGTATAAGTCACCGAGCACGTACGTCGACGTTCTTTCCCTTCTCAGTCACTGGAGCATCTTCTGAGACCATTAGAGGTAGTCCAAGTCCGAATCGGGAATGATGTGGCGGCTCCCGACAACAGTATCCGCCAACATTCCAGTCGCTTAAACCTCGTGTGCTCGTCAAACCCTCCCATCTTCTAGACTTTCGGACCAGTCTCCTGCTCAACGGAATTTCTCTCACCGCCCCTCACACCATCTTCGCCCAGCTTCGCTCCGTCTTTTGTCCATTTTTCGTACCATTTCCTCGCATTATCCCGTGTTGTTCTCACTTGCATCTATCACAGAACTATTGCGACGACCGTCACACCGAAAGCAACCCAGGAAGCAACCCTCTTATCTCGCAACCGGCATGACGGTCGACTGTAAACGGCAAGGCTAGCCAGCCAACCCCGGCCCGACGCCGATGCCTCGCAGATCATTAATAGATAACAAATGCAGCGCGATATGAATCAGGAACCAGACCGCCGCAGACGACTTTCAGAATTGATAACGGATCGATCAATCCAGGCGACTTGCATGAACGACAAAGAAAGACGAATGGACATGGAGGGGTATGCCGACTGTATATCAACCACCGCGTTTCTCGGCCGCCGCACCTCAGTTAGTTCTGACCACCTTCCCAAACGCCTCACAGAGACTATCGACGATTATGGAGAACCCGGAACCTCGGCACCGTTCGCGACAGTCGCGCATCGTATTTCAAGGACGGACTGTGAGAACTAGTTGGCTGAAGAGGCGTAGGGCATGGGCGATGTGCCGACTTTCCCGGAGCGCCCCATTTGGATGACAGCCCGGACAGGATACTAAAAGAGGCTTTGCCCAACGTTGTTTGGCCTCGACGAGGTCGACAAGAACATTTGCGACTGAGATGAGGGATGCGACGAGCGACATAGACACGATTGGAAATAGGGCATAACCGACCATCAGCGATACAACGAAGACCGGCAGCTTCATCGGGAGCTAAATGACGCCCTCAATGACGCCAACGACGTACGAAATTCGCCGCGACACGCACGATTTTACGGGTTGACATAGGTCTCGTGGGGGACAATTGGGAATGCCTCCTTTTGGTTTCCATTGACACGGGGACTTTCACGATCACGACGGAGCAAACTGATTTGAACTCATGAATCAAAATTAGGAACGAAGTCCCGAAAATATGTATGCGCATCTATCTCCAAGGCCGTCAATGCTCATCCTAATTGATCTCGTCAATACGCATTAGTCGACCTTTTTTCTACCAAACATATCCATGACACCGGCCGATGAGAGAAAACTGAGAAAGAGAAGCAAGGAAAGCTCCGAGATTACATCCGTGGTCGTCCGTTTGTTTCGTCCAACCTGGTTGCTTGCTTCCATATACACCTTTTGGCAAACAACCCAACAAGAGGCAAGCGACGGAAACCGGTGGAAACCTATTGAAGGGGAAAAGGACAATCGTGAAAACATGAGAAGGGCAGCCGCAAACCTCGGCCTCGTAGCCTTAGTTGCACCACATCTCAACCCGGGTGCTTTCCAGTCGGTTCAACACCTCGAAGTCCAGTCCCGTTTGCCGGAAGGCAACGATGATCATGTCGAAGCGTTGCTCCAGCGACTTCGCATTCCACCCCTCGACGTCGTCTAGGCGAGCGATCTGGGGCACCGCCTCTTGTTTGACGAGAGGATCGGCCCAGCAAACATCGACCTTCTCAGACAACACGAGGCTCTTCGCGAGCTCGAGGCCGGGAGAGTTTGCCAGATGAGACTGGCCCTTCTTGAAGCCCATGCCGACGACGAGGACGCTCGGGCGCAACTTCTCTGCACACAAAGTCTCAACAGCGCGCTGAGCAATGGCTGATGGGCGGGCGCGCATCCTTTCTGTGGCGTGCTGCAAAAGAGGGAACTGGTTGTTGGAGAGAAGGTAGTACGGGTTGACGGGAATGCAGTGACCACCGACACCAAGGCTGGGCGTGAACGGCATGTATCCGAAAGGCTTGGTCGCCGCCGCACCGGACACTTCGTAGGGGTCGACTCCGTGTCCGAGACAGGCATCGGCCATCTCGTTGGCGAAGGCAATGCACATCATGCGTTGGCAGTTCTCGTAGAGTTTTGTCATCTCAGCAACCTCGGGCCGCGACACGGGCACGACATTGTCGAAGACCTGGGAGTACAGACGGACAATCGCATTCAGAGAGCCGGGAACCATGTCATCCAGGCCGGAGACGATCTTGGGAATGGCGTGGGCGGGAGGCTCGACTCGGCCGGGGTCAACACGCTCGGGAGACATGCCGGCGAAGAAGTGACGCTCCTTCGCAAGGGGCCCGAGAAGCTCCCTGGTCATCCCGACGGCAACAGACGACTCGACGACAACTACTGAACCGGCACGAGCGTACGTCGCAACATTCTTGAGAGCGGACCGCAGGAAAGAGGTGTCTACGGTGTTGTCTGGGCGAAGGAGGGTAGGGACCGAGATGAGGAAGTGCGTGGCCGCGCCCATATCGCTGGGCTTGCTGGTGAACTTGGCCTTGCTGTCCGGACCAAATTCCTTCTCGAGGCTCTGGACTCGCGCCTCAGACACGTCGAAACCGAGAACATTGTACTTGCGAGCGAAGTTGCCGACAAGGTGTTCTCCAACGTATCCGACCCCAATGACGGCAACCAGGGGTTCCGCCTCGAGGTCAATGGAGCTGGCAACAGTTGCAAGCTCCTCGTCCGACTCACAAACCTCTGTAGGAGGAGTGATCGGGTAGTATCCGTCGTGAGAGAATTCCCAAGGCTTCTGAAGGTCCTTGGGAGACTCTGGGGAGTTGAAGGGGAATGCATCTCGGCAGGTCGGAGACCGCTCCGGAGTGTCGGGTGTAAGAAGTTGGGAGTCCATTACGACGATGAGGGGGTATCAAACGAACGATGGGTGGTTGCAGGGAGAAACGATTGGCGAAGAAGAACTATGATGGAGGAAGGTATCTTTGATATCTTCTTCTTGAAAGTCAACTATACTGCCAAGTAGGCTAGGGGGCTCAAAGAGGGAAGAGACGCGCGCGACGGGAAGAAAGAGAGCTCGTTGGAAGGAACAAAGACGGAGTTAATAAGAGATGCCAACTAAGGCACTGACATATGTGATGGGCAAGCAACAAGAGGAGACAGCCCACTCACGTCGGCCCTGCCCCTGGCGTCAGCGCCTCGAGGTTGCCCAGACTCTGGACTGGCGGCAGCCTTTCCATGCCAGCCGTGTGCAGAAAGCAAAGATTGAGACATGGACATGGCATCAAACTGGATGCCGCCGGGCCTAATCGGGATCCACGTTTGCACCACGACAGCAGCATGGACGCCATGGTGACCACGGTGGTGGTGACTCTGCGACTGAGGCTCCAGGCCGGCGGCAGGCGGCTGGGATGGCGACGGGGCCGTGGACAGATCAAAGTCGGGAAGAAAAGACGAAGACGAGATGATAGTTTCAGGTCCAGGCTAGCTTCCGGGCAGACCAGACTTGGAATCGAACAGACGACCATCAGCAATAGTCTGTCCAAAAACAGTCCATGGCAAGCGGCCTGAAGGTGGCTGAAGGGCGAGAAGAGAGAGGCCCACCCCCAAAGCGCAACCACAAACCACCACCACCAGAGGCGCGCTTCGGCAAGACGACGCTGCACGGAGAAGGAAACAGTAGCGCAATATGGCATCAGCAAAACGAGAATGGCAAAATATCTGCACCGGCCGGAATCCAGAACAACACCAGAAGGCACACTCGAATGGCCCGGTCAGGTTACTCCTCAGCAAGAACATCCTCCAGCGGGATCGCCAAGCTGGCAAGCCCGGATGCATGAAGCAGGCAAAGACACTCATCTCCCCTGCTTGCTCATCGTACTTTCGCCGAGGGCTTCTCCGACGCTTGATGTCATGCAGAAAAGCCCTTGTCGTTCTTGCTGAGGACCTTTTTTTACTCTTGGAAAAGGTTGCCTGCCCGGCTGACTGGGAGGCGTGTTATTTCTCGGAACTCTGAGAGGTTCGCGCGGAGTTTGAGGGTGATATCCGCTGCAAGGCAATATACAAGGTCGTAAGCGGCGGGCAGAGTGCTGGATCGAGATGAATCGACAAAGACCGGAGGATACCCTAGGGTTACCTTCGCATCTCGAGGCCGAGGGGCGCTTTCTTAGCCACCAATCTTGGAACCGACGATCACCTTCTGGCCGGCCAATTTGAACTTGGCTTGATCTTGAGGGAGAATTTTCACTCCTCAACCGGCGCGAATTCTTGGAGGCCTTGGAAGACTTCTTCGACGGAAAGCTTGCGAGGTATCAGCAAGGGGGCGTAGTCTGAGAGGGGGTGAAGCAGTGGGGGTCCAGGATCAACCCTGGTACATACCAGCTGAGCTGGTACGTATGCAACTCTTGAGGTCGCGGAAGCTATCGTCTTGGCAGAGGAATTCGCGAAGTTGTTATGGGACGAGGTTTTTTGTCGAAGCGCAGCAGAAGAAAGGACCGCAAGTCGGAAGGGGTTGTGATGGGATGATTGGCGCGAAGAACGAGACGATGGAGGGTGAGAACGGACGGAGGCACGGAAGTTTCGTTCAGTGAAGTCAGGTCGAGCGAGCTTTGGGTCGGTCGGGTCAGTGTCAGCTCCTCATGGTCATGGTCAAGATGTATGCATATGCACATGTCATGCATATGCAACACCGACGAACGGACGCCGATGCGGACCCGGAGACTCCACCCCCGCTCGATGCAAGTCTCAGTCCGTGCGGCGGCAGACCTGTTAATTGCATTCGCATAAAGGTGGGTAGCATTGCGTTTAGGCGGGGTTCTTCGCCTCGTCTTTTCTTCTTCTTCCTCTTCCTTTTCTTCTGCATCGACTTCACTTCATCTCACACACCCCCTCCATTACAACCACCCTTCCACCTCCGTCATCAATATCCCTGCCACAATCGCCCCCGGCTTTTTAGTCAAGGGTGCGAGTCCATCAAAGGCTTTCCGGTCCGTCCTCCACGATCCCGCCCCCGTCTACGCTGCTCCGTACTCCGTACGAGCCATACCGATCCAACCTCGCAAGCCACACTTTGCCCCTTGCACGGAGCGGCATACACGTGGTGGGGAGGGCGCCAATCGCCGGCGGTTTCTTTCAGGCGCGTCTGGCTGCCCTTCTTGTTTCCTCTCAAGCTCTTTCAGGACGGCCAAGTAGCAAAACGGTCACCAAGATCTCCTTCATCTTATCGGCCCCGGGACCGGCGCGACGCCACAGGGGAAAACTGTTATGCATACGCGGCCTTTTACTTAGCACACCATCTCATCATCTCGGATGATCAAGCCACAGCGGTTGGGCCCAGCCCGTCTAGCTGTGGTGTTCGGTGTTTCCTGAAGCCAGAAGCTGGCTCGAGCAGATGTCGTGGCATCACGCTTCATCCAAACAAGCAAATATGCTGCTCGAAATGGAATGGAAGGCCCTGGGCTGAAGAGCGGAATACCGCAGCGACCGGAATAGCATCAAATTTCGATCAGCTGGTTTGATCAACCGCAGGTTCCCTCGATACGGGCCTCGAATACTAAGAAAACATTTCACCAGCGACAGTAGGTGGCGAAAAACGGCGACCAGCGCCGGCGACGGCGACTTTGGGTCAAACCCCGACGACGAGAACGATTCCCGTTCTCACACCGCGAGACTGCATCACTTGCCGGCCTGTCTTGGAGATACCACAGTCGCAACGCTCACAGACGAGGCGCACTACTACCAGGCCACCAGTACGTGCACGGGATCAGCTTTTCTGCGGCGTGAAGGCATCTCTGAGCACTCCAAGAATCGAACTCGCCCATTTTGTCAGTGTGTGCCCTCGACCATGGCATGATTGGTGGGACTTTCTGCCATCATTGCGAGTTGGCGAACCACAGGTTGAGAAACCGAGGCCTCCGCACTGGTGCCATCTGCACAACGAATGCGAGATGCAATACAATTTTTAGAAATGCACAGCAACGTCGAGCGCCGAGTTCAGGTATTGGAGCCGCAGCCCTGCCAAGTTGTGCCAACAATGCAGAGAAGACGAGGTGCATCTCACTCGTTGTATGGGAGGGCCAGTACAATTGGCCCGAGCCATCATCGCACCGCTTCAGTCTCATGACTTGTGCTTCCTCGGCTTTTGGTAATACGAGGAAGCCGAGTCCACGAGGCTGCAGTTGTTTACTCGAGCTTTTCCATTTTGCCCTGGCTTGTCCAACACCAATGATCTCAATCTCCCGACGGGTGCCAGTGAGCAATTTCCGCCCAGGTCTGAGAAAATCAGTCGATGGGAAGCCCAAAGAAGAGCTTGCGTGCGGGGAGAAGGATCAGATGCTGACAGCATGAAGAACACTGGAGCACATGACGACGTTGTTTCGTGAGCCAGTTCCTCGTTTCCTTGGTATACAGAGGTCGATGAAGGTCCAATTAGGCTACCGAAGAACACGGTGAAGCATCGAGGTCGAGAAACAGTGGTTGCGCCATTGTGACACCCGGGAAAAACACGACCTCGAGTCCAACGGGTTGTTTTAGCCTCAAAATATGTAGGCGGCGCCGATAGTCGGCGTTCCCATCCTCCACTCCGTTACCAGATCCTCGGAGTCGAAAGGGACGGGCGCATCCGATGGATAACCGACGCAGTCCAACAAGCCCGAAGAAACACAAACATCTCAGCTCGGCGCCTTTGTTGGACTACTCGCCATCTGATCTCCCTTGATCGGCAACAATCATTCGCATTGATAACAGTTAAGACAAAGATGGTGTCGACAAACTCCAGCCTCAGATGCACATTTCGACCTCCATCAACCCCCCCCAATTTATCGATCTTGCTAGACACAATGCGGGGCAGCCAAACACCGGCAAAACCATTCAGGGTGAAGGGGGTCTCTTTGAGATGCCTGTACAAACACGCACTTGTCTGTCCTCGAGCCCAAGAGGCCCCCGGCCCCTCCCGCTAGGCCTGTCCTGGCTACGCTCGGATAACTGAATGTGATAACGACAAGGGTGAACATTTCGAAGCCAGGGGTTCTCGAAGCTCATCCACCCGGCCAACAGCCGGTTACATCCCAATTGCTGGTTATGATCTTCCTCTGGGTATCCCCTTGCTCCATCAGAAGTTGCAAGCACATCATTAATCAATCATTCAGGGCAGTATACGGGCAGCCGCCGCAGATCATCGTCGTGGCTGGTTGACCTGCTGGGCGAGCTGGGCAACCTGGGGGAACACCACCAGCATGCTCGCTCAGCTTCTGCAAGCCTGCAAGGGCCCAATTTGTCTTGTCTCACTCAGCCCATCCTATATTGACTGAAAATTTTTCTTTCCTTTGCTCGTTAGCCTGCCAACGCACACTTGGCTCTCCTGCAGTTGGGCTCGTACTAAGTATATGTGCGGACCCTAGCCTTTAGTCGGGCAAGTCGGGGTCGGGGCCATGGTCGGGAGGATCCTCATATGGTCTCCTCTGCTGTCCGATCAATGGTTGGAGCGTCTCGGTCCCGTACGGCTCTCGGCTTTGTGACTTCGTGTGGCCATCTGCTGATAGCCCAGTCCGATGATGACGGCCATTTCACGACGTTCCTGATGCCGGCCCCGGATATTCGGATCCAACAACGTGGTCATCAACGCAACACATGGTCGTAATGCTGGACAATGGAGCCTTGGTACACAACTCAGAGGGGCATTGCCTCGTATCGCGACAGTCAAGAGGCGCCAGCCTTCCTTTGGTAACTGCCGTCCGTCCCGTCTGACTCAATTGCTAGCCCAGAGACTTGTATTATATGCATATGGTCAGCGCCATGAAGCCAGCTGCCAAGTGGTGCACCTCCATCACACCGCAAGCCCTCTCTGCCTCTTTATTGCCCATTCTGAAGTGCTGGCCTCAAGTCGGCGTCCTTGGCAAGATCAGACCGATACATTGAGCCTCGAAGTGTGTGGTTGAAGAGAACAATTGTCGTTTTCGAACACATCTTGTAAATACCGCCCTTCGCCGTCCTTGTGCCGTCCCGGAACTCTGTTCCCCATCTCGCCCGCAGCTTCGATCGACCCGAATCATACCCTCTTTGCATCACGAACTGCCTCATATCATCTAGCCATGCATGCGCTACTGTCTCTTGTCCTCTCGGGGGCCGCCATGGCCGCCACTCTCAACAACAACCCGCTGAGGAAGCGCGCCGAGTGCGGGCCCGGAATTGGGTCCTGCGCCCCGGGAGCGTGTTGTAGTGACGCCGGCTGGTGTGGAACGACGGAAGAATATTGCGGCGGCTCGCAATGCCAGCTCGAATACAGCGACTCTTGCGATACCTTGTAAGTTGGATTGAAACGTTGGACGGCGTCTGGAATATGCCGCAGGCTGCTAACGCGGCCTTGACAGTTTTCCGCCTCCGGGCGCTAGTACGGAGAGCATTTCCCGACCCCTTGTGGGATCCGTGCCTTATGGTGTGTTCATCTGCTTATGCATCGTGGAACGGATCTAACACGCACAACTAGGCTCAATCATCACGACTTGTGCCAACCGCGGGGACTTGGCATTGACCTTTGACGACGGCCCGTACATCTACACCTCTCAATTGCTCGACATCCTCGAGAGCCAGAACGTTACCGCCACCTTCTTCGTCGCGGGTAACAATATTGGCAAGAAACCGATAGATGATGAGACCAACCCATGGCCTGCCATTCTTCGTCGGATGTACTCTCTCGGGCATCACATCGCAAGCCATACCTGGACCCACCGCAACTTGAACGAGGTCAACAGCACCATCCAGAGGACCGAGATCATCTACAATGAGATGGCTTTCCGAAATCTGTTTGGCTGGATCCCGACCTACATGCGTCCGCCGTTTCTGGAGTGCAACTCCGGCTCTGGCTGCCTGGGGCTGATGAGGACTCTTGGATACCATGTTATCAACGTCAACGTCGACACCAAGGACTACGAGAATGACACACCGGAGTTGATTCAGACTAGCAAGGACCGCTTCTCCAATGGCGTCTCGACAAACGCGGCCGCCAACAGCTACATTGAACTCTCCCATGATGTCCACTATCAGACCGTGGTCAACCTGACTCAGTTCATGATTGACACCGCCAAGGCGCGTGGCTACCGTCTGGTGACTGTAGGCGAGTGCCTTAATGATCCCAAGGAGAACTGGTACCGGTCCGCCGGTGGCGCTCTCACGACCACCGCCACTCGTGCCGCGTCACAAACCAGGCCTCCGGTGACCTCAACTCGAGTCTCGACTTCTTCCGTTCCTACAGCTTCAGGCAACGTATCACCAGACCAATCTTGCGGTAGCACCAGCGGTTACACGTGCCTCAACTCCGTGTTCGGGAACTGCTGCTCGTACTATGGATTCTGGTAAGGTTCCCGGGAGATCCTTAACGCAATGAAGAACACGGCTGACGATAATTCCCCCCTTACACAGCGGCTCCAGCATGACATACTGCGGAACCGGCTGCCAATCGGGCTTCGGGTCCTGCGCGCCGGCGTCGTCCGACATCAGCGACACGACCAACGGCCTTTGCGGCAGCGAGTACAATGCAACTTGCAAGAACAACGGTGAAAAGACGTGCTGTTCTCAATATGGCTACTGGTACGTTGTTGCCCTTTACCCTCGTGCCCCCAAATTGCCCGTCCCACGCGTCCCACGGGCATCAGCTCCACGGATATTGTCCATCCGGCGGCGATGATATGGAAAAAATCGAAATACTAACAGGAATGTAACAGCGGTAACAGCGACACGCACTGCGGAGCGGGCTGCCAGTCGCTTTTCGGCACCTGCAACTGATCGGGTCATGCCTGTAGTGCAGCATGTATTGCGGCCTGCGCTTAATCATGAGGCTGGGCGGGATACTTTGCACGACATGGTCGATCCTCGGAGAACCCTCCTCGCCTTCCGGGATCATTGCAAATCATCTCATCTATAATCTGTCACGCAAGAATGACAGCGAACATGAGGGGCAAAGTCGAAGAATCTTGATTAATTATGTTTTGTTTTTTTCGGGCAGGCGGGTAACAGAACCGTTAGCATCCCATCGTGCGTCCGTCTAACGGCAGCCAAGTCGGCGTCGGACGCACGCACTGCGGCCTACTGTTCTGCCACCTACCTCTACGATATATACGGCCGAGAAGGATACAGCTGAGGATGCGACTCAAGTGCGGCAAAAGCGCTTGAAAATAGTTTAATGATAACACCTAATCGAGAGCGTTTGTGTCTCACGCTTCTTTGCGACATCTCAACGGCCGGTCTCGTGCTGGCTGATGCTTGTCTTTGTCTCTGTTTCTCCGCCATCCGCAGCCAGGCCAGGCCTCAACCCCTCCCATGTCTTGGGTCGCAGGCTACCACAACGGTTTATTCTTCGTGGTTACCTTCCGTATACGAGGAGTTCCGAGATGTCTCGCGTGTGACATCGCCGAAACGTAATCGACGAGGGCATTTTCGCGATGATTTCAAGAACCACGATGCCCATATGACGGTGGCACGGTGGACGGCAGAACATGCCCCGAATGGCATGGAGCGTGTATTCTTTCCATCGACGAGTACGTGGGGTGCTCTCTCTACTCTGAGACGACGTATGGCGAGCTTTCGCCCAGACCCAGACCCCAGCGATCTTCGATGATTGGAAGGGGTGCCTACCGACCCTCGTCTTCGGCTTGCCAAGGCCAAGACTCGGGAAAGGACTCTTCCAAGACTCTACCCGAGCTTCATAGCTTACGTGGGCATTGGATGGCATGAGAATGGCATACGCAGTCAGCAAAGAAGCGAAGAACGCCAAAAAAGCTTGCCCACACGCACAACGGCGAAGTTATTACTCGAATGGGAGAAATGGCTGGAGAGAACGGGATCCCTGTGCGACATGCGAGCCTGTGAATACTTGGGCAAATGCTAAGGTGACGCACCAGACTGCCACTGTCGACGCTCAGACTCACGACCAAACCTTCAATCAGTTCTGAGTCTCAACGTTCTAGTGTTCGGTTTCTACTATTTCTTGAGAGCTTGAACTGCTGGACTGATCACGCCAGGCCGTGTTCTTTTGGCCCGACGGCTGCCAAGACTGACGGGTCGCCTAGCTGGAAGCTAGTGCCGCCCAGCGAACAGGCAGCGCCATTTTATTTTAAGGACCGTACTAACACAAGCTGTCATTCGATCTTCGAGCGGTCCGGTATTGGGATGCGCACACAAGTTCGGGATTAAACTAATCCCGTGCGTGCTCGGCTGGGAAGATGTGCTCGAACTGGGGGCGAAAGAGACGTGCCACACCGTAGCATTTCGTGGGGGAAATTCGATAGTGGCTCGACCAGCAGATGACTGCAGCGAATACCATGGTGAAGTCAGGCAGTTGTAAGGCGAAAAGGAGCGCAACGTGTTAAAGGCTAAGGATGGGTGAGGTACGGTGCATACACGAAAGCCACCTATTCTTGTGCCATTCTGTGTCTCCCGGGCGAAATGCGTTTCCTTCCCTAGCGCCGTTTCTTTCTCTTTCTCCATCTCACCTTAACCTCCTCTCGACGAGTCGAGTCGTCGAATGATCCCCGATTCCCCTAGCCCCCGACCCCAGAGGTGCCAAGAGTGCGTAACCTTGGAAAACAAGGCCCCGGCTACTGCAGGAACTGGGATGCCGCGTGCCTAGCGCGGCGCCAACCTCTCATCGGGGTCTGAAGTGGGGCCGCTTCCGCCGCCGCCGCTAAGGCTCCTTGACCCCACCCCTCCGAGTCCCCCGACCCCCGGCGACATACTATCGGGGTAAACGGTTATATGCATAGTGGAAAAGGTTCCTCCATCGGGGATTATAAGGTAACGGTTAACAGGGAGGGGCGTGAACTTCTCTTCCCGCTCCTTCGTCCTTCGTCCCACCGCCGCCACCCTCTCACACATCATCCTCACCCCTCCTCCATCAGCTCTTCTGCTCGCTCTCTCGTTTCTCACCTATTCTCATCGCCAACGACCATGCAAGCCTCTTCCGCATCTCGTTTCCGCCCCGCTTTCCAAATCTCACCCTCCCACACGGACGACAATCCGCCTCATGCCATCATCCAGTCACACACTTTCGTCCGGGCTGAAAAGCTGGGTCCTGGGGATTGACGCCTGTGATGCAACTCACCTTCTCCTCCTTACCCATGAAGCACGGCGCATACATCGATGGTGTGATGGCACATCGACGCCACAACCATTGCTTCTTGCGCCGCTGGCAGCCCAGAAAGGAGAGGACAGCCACCGAATCGACCGCGAGCTCAAAGCGCATACCGCTGGAACCTCTTGGCTTACCGGCAAACGTCCATTGTGTGGGAGAGGGACCGGGAGAACAGAAGCTTCCATCATGGAAGCAAGCTCCCCTACCCAGGCTCTCCTTGTTGCTACTACCCAGGGGCGCTGCAATGAACCGCAGAAGAAAGTATTTCTCAGGTTTGATTTCCCAAAGCAGACGCAAGGACACGAATGAGGATATTGTCAAAAAGAAGGGTCTTCTTGGCAAGTTTGTCCCTCGTCTGCGTATGAACATTGTTTTTCTGGTCTCGCCGCTTAGCCCCGATGATTCCAGACAAACGTTAATGAGGTTGATATTGCAGTAGGACAGACGAGCCGCGCCCTACTTGGAGTCTTAGTCAAGAAGAGCATGGCAAGTGAGTCAACACGACCGATTCAGCCCGTCATCCCGTCCCATCCAATCGTCCGAAGTGCCTTACAGACGTCCAAGAACCACAGGCGCAGCTCTGGCAGCATTGGCTCGATCCCACAGACATTAGGCCGCGCCGCCATATGCTGGCATCATGTACGATGTGCACGACGTCGTTCGCCCGGAGCTTTCGGTCAGTGTCCGCGTACAGACACAGCTAGAACGAAGATGCACGCATGCCGTGAGGTACCCAGTCAACGCAGAATCGTGTGTGCCTGAACGAAGGCGTCGCCGGCGGCGGCGGACCTGCCTTGCCCTGGCACCGCTGAAGCCTGTTCTGCCTCTCACCGGGGAGCCCAGAATTCAAGCTTACTTGCGTGTGGAGGTCATACATCTGCATGGGCAGCTCACCTACCACCTCTCTTCGTGCCCACTCTTGCAGCTCGCGAACCCATCGAGACGGCCTTGGCGCGCCGGGGTTGGTCTGATTTGATTCGATTTACAGCTCACTGCTGCAGCAACCAGAATGTCGACTTTTTTTCCCTTTCTTTCCTCGCCTCTTCGACTTCTAATTGTCTCCGCAGGGCATAGTCCTGTCTTGTTCTCGGTAAGAGGTTGGTTGGTTTTGTCTCTGAGTAGAGCAACGGGGTCTCAAGGCAATCAAGACCCCAACCCCGGCAAGATGCTTAACCCAACCAAACCCAGCCAACGCTCCCTCGCATCGAATCCATCTGCGGCTCTTTTGTTTCTTTCGCCCCCCAAGTTCTCGAAAGCGAAGATCATCCGCGAACACGGGGGCCAAGAGCACAAGAAGGCTTTTGTGGCATGTCTTGTGGCCCTCCAAACCCTTCGATCGCACCCAAAATATCTCTCGTAGCTGCACGTAGGCTGCACTTCACGACCACACAAGCAGCGGTGTCCTGAAGTTGAAACTGACGTGTATATTGGAGCAGGGGGGCGTCAGCGGAGAGCATCATCGCGCTAAAGTTGTTAGGGCCGGATCATCACCAATCGACCAGCTCAACCCCCCGGTCCAGAAGACGACGTTTCTTCCCCTTGTCCAGCTTAGCGAGCGGCTCCCGCCTTGGATGTCGCACCGGCCGTGCATGTCTGCTGCGCCAACTTTGAGCGCCTCTTATTTTTGGTGTGTGTGTGTGCCTGTGCGGTGCTGTTTTCTTTTTGTTCCGAATTTTGATGCTCGCCGTGGTTTTCTTCCGCTTCCACGCCATACCCAAATGTCGCCGTTGGGAGACGCCACATATCCTCTCGGACTCGGCCGATCCCTATTCTGGACGTCCTGTGGGCGAATTGGTCCTTTTCCAATATCACGCACAATGCAGAGCGACCCTCTCTGTACTGGCTGAATCCTGGTCCACCTGATGATGGCGATCATGGCGTCTCTCGGATTCAAGCGAATCTGCCGGGCATCATCAGCGGCGGCAACAGTAGTAGCAACGGCAACAGGAGAATGATCACACACACACAAATAGAGAGAAAGAGGTTTATACGACCTTCAGCCAAGACGACCCGGCGTAGGACCCAGGGGGCGTCCTGGGTGAACCGTCAAACCAGACAGACGTACTCCGTACGTACCGTACCGCTGGCTGTCCATCCAACCATCCACCTGCAGCAGCCGCAGTGCTTCTGCTGAAGCCTTTTCTTTTTGGACATGGATATGGGATGGCATGGTTGTCTCATCTCCACCACCCAACCGCACGTTTGGTGGGAAACATCGTTGGATGGCTTGATCCCCTTGCAAGCTCCCAATGGCGTTTGATGGACGGTCCGTACCCCGTGGCCGGGCCAAGTGGACATGATCGAACCTGCTTGCCTGCTTGTTGCTCTTTGAGTTCTTGCTTGCGATTGCTCAGCTGACGCTAGATTTGGCATCGTTGTCGCCATGCCCGAATCTGTATTCCGTTCGGCCCAGCCCAGAAAGCTCTCCTGCACTCAGGCAATAGTCCGTAATGCGAGACATCATCACCTGTCGTTCAGAAAGCAAGTCAATGTCAGTTCTTCTCCTAGCTCGGGGGAGGACCCTGGACAGTCCATGCCCACACCCCCAAGCGGCGAACTGGCCGCTGCCACCACTCTGCCACGAGTGTGAGTAGAGCTTTGATTCCGAACCCAGACAGCTGGTCGGGTCAACCGCCTCGTGAGGCTAGCCCAAGTCGAGGGAGTCCAGGTCCGCAGTGCTGATGCTACCCTCTTTTACCCCATGGTGGCCCTCTTTTTTTTTCTATCCTGTCGTCCCATCCGCAGGAATATAGATCCCCCCTCCACTCTCAACCTTCACCCTCTTTCTCTCTTCGGCAGGAACTTTGTCTGTTGCCTCCGGCAGTCACTACACTCGTTTTGTTGTTGGACTTAGCCAGGATCTTGATTAGATCCTTGACTTCCCCGTCGTCTGTCGTCTCTCGCTCCTAGCTTGATAGTCCACCCGTCTCGCCGTCCTCGAGAACTTCGTAGGGAACTTCATTCCTCTTCAACACCATCCGTATACTCCGTCAACATCAACATGCGGACCGCTCCCTCTCCTCCTCTCCCTCCACCGCCTCCCATGGCGGACAGGAGCCGTCCTCCCATGGTTCCCTCAGGCCCCTCGGGATCAACTACACCGGCTCGCAGCCAACGTAGCTTGTCTATCCCGAGGCCTTTCAACCCGTCCCGAGTCCAGTCACAAGGCTCTGTAAGTCGATATAGCCTCAACCAGCATAGTCAATGCTAACCGTTTAGTCTGTTGTTGGCTTCACCACCGATGACCTTCCTTTCGGTCAGCGCACACCCGGCTCCATGGGCCATCGCTCATGGCAGTCTCGCGGCGGAGAGTCTGCGGCATCTTTCGTGTCGTCCGTACAGCAAGAGGAGGCCAAGGCCAGGTGGGATTCAGACGCGGAGCTCAAGCTCGTGTCCAAGTCTCTGCTCAGATTCCAGAAGTGGTGTCTTCTCATCGGCCTGCTCTGCATCAACGCCGCTCTCATCTACGTGTCGTTCACCTACCATGTCGCCCACTACTTCTTCATCGTCCTTCTCAGCTCGAACACGGTCCTCCAATTCATCATGATCGTCTTCATCCTCGGCCACTTCCTCTTCAAGAACATCTTCTTCTGCTTCCGCCGCAAGGAGAATGTACCTGAGACACCCGAGCGCATGGTCATGCTTCTGCCCTGCTACAACGAGACCTTCGACGAGCTGACCCGATCCCTCGACTCCCTGGTTGCCCAGAAGAACATTGACGAGCACCCGCGCATGATCTTCATCGTTGTCGACGGCAACGTCAAGGGCCCCGGCATGGAAAAGACGACGCAAGAGTACCTCCTTCAGGATATTCTCGAGCCGGGCCCAACACGCTTCTTCGAGAACGGCTACCGCGCGCGCGACGGTCTTTTCATGCCCACCAAGATCCAGACCGGCTACTACAAGGGTCTCCCCTACATCTTCGTCGGCAAGCGATACAACCAAGGCAAGCGCGACAGCTTGTGCTTCGCCCGCTCATTCTTGTACCACTTCCACAAGCGCTCCGTCAACATTATGACCATGTTCAACAACGATCTTTTCGAGCACGTCGGCAATGCCTTCGTCGCCCAGGGCCTGGAGAACATCGAGTACCTCGTCGGTATGGACGCTGACACCGTCTTCGATGAGTTCTGCGTCTGGGAGATGTTGAGAGAGATCCGCAAGAACCCCAAGCTCGTCGGTGTCTGCGGACACGTCTGTGTCGATTACGATGGTAAGAACTGGGGTCTCTGGTCGTTGTACCAGTCCGTCGAGTACTCGCAGACACAAGGTCTTCGTCGCATGTTCCAGTCTCGCATCACCGGCAAGGTCAACTGTCTCCCTGGATGCTGTCAGCTCATCAAGATCGACGAGGCCACGTTTGGTGACGAGGTCCTCCGCCAGCGCTTCGGATACTGCCCTAAGCCCAACGATCTCATGACCCAGCACATCATGGGCAACTACTCCGAGGACTCCATCCACGCCAGCATCATCTTCTCCCTCTTCCCCCAGCGCCAGACTGCCCAGGCTCTCCGCGCCAAGGCCTTCACCATTGTCCCGCAGGACTGGAAGGTCTTCCTGTCGCAGCGCAAACGTTGGGCCCTCGGATCCATCTCCAACGAGTTCGTCATGATCTTCCGCCCTGGTATCATTCCCATCGAGCGTCTTCAGTCCATCATCGCCGTCTGCACCTGGTTCATCACTCCGTTCATCATGGCCGCCGTCATTGCCTTGATCATCATTCTCTGCAAACGTGGTGACGAGCTCGTCCGCGACCCGGTTTTCATGTCTCTCTTTGGCCTCCTCTTGGTCCGATACGTAAGTTTCCCCTCACGGATCCTCCCTGCCGCGGGGTCCATCGCTCGATTGAAACATGGCTGATGATGTGTCGCAGATCTACTCTTTCTGCATCGGCTTCTGGCTCCCGAGAAACATGCTCGAGCGCTTCCAGTACTTTGTCGGATACTTCTTCCATCTCTGCACGTCGCCGTTCCTGAACATGATCATTCTCGCATACTCTCTCATTTACTCCGACGACTTCAAGTGGGGTAAGACTCGCGAAGTCATCAAAGGCGACGACGAGAAGACCGACGCCGAGGGTGGCCGCGGCACTCATTAAACGAGAAGAAACGATCAGGCTTGCCAGCTCACCTCACGGGATCACGGGTCGGGTTCAGCTCACTCATTCTGCGCCGCCGCCCGGTCCGGGTTAGGCTGGGTACGGCCCTGCCGAATCGCGGGGTCCCCCAATCCCACCCGCCGAGACAAGCTTCTCGCCTGATCTTTTCATCCTTTCTTTTTACTTGTCGATATCATTCACGTGGCGTTTTTGCAACCTGTTTGTAGGGCTGAAAATGGGACTATTAGAACTCGTCGAACGCTGACGATTGGGAGGGTGAGACACGGCTTATGATTGGAGGATACGGAGGGCCGACCGAGGGGAAAAAAGTTGATATCAGATGTGCATCAGGGAATGGTAGTCAGTATACGGGCTGCCCAAAGAGGAAGAGCAAGGCTGGACATACTCACACAACCACCACCACCGACATCATCATCACATACGCTTGGAAGTTCGCACATAGTGGAGGACCTTTGTACAGATGGATGGAATAGGACGGGACGGTGATGAGGGCTAAGCTCTGGCAGGGCCTTCATCTTCTTCGATTCTCTCGCTATATTTCCGGCTTGACGTGTTCTTGCCGGATCTGCATCTTACTATCGCTCTCTTTTTTTCATCTTTAATGTAATGTTTAGGTCGGGTGGCTCCACGAATGACTTATGAGGCATAGATACCTTTCACACTAGTATCCCGCACAAAATTCAAACTACACGTACAGTTGCGCACTTGTTTCAAAGCTTTATGCATCGCATTTGATTTACGAAGAAGAGTTGCTATACTCGAAGGTGTTGTTGGTAAGGTCATTACAGCTCACACCGAAACGTAAACTCCAGCCCGATTTGGCTCACCGGAATAGGAAATGTGGCGTTAAGAGACGGCAACTGCCAATTCTTCAAGCGACCCTTCATTGCGACCAACACTGCGTCCAGTCCTGCTTTTACCCGGTGCCGTTCCGCGATGAGACGATGGCGCGATTTCGCGTACGTAACCCTTCACCCTTCTCCCTCATATTAAGTTCGATTTACCTCTTCGAAACGAGCTGCTTTAGCAAGTTCTATGGCTTCCAGCCTCACCCTAAAGGAAGCTGTCGCCCCGTCGCTCATTGATCCTCACCGTCTGCCACCCGCCAACCGTGCTCAATACCCGTGATGTGGGAGGAACAGATCCCGCCAAGCCCTGCCGCTGTCGCGAGGCCAGGCGCCGTCAATGGAGTTTACTTAGTTCCCGTCCGCCGGGCAAGGTTAGCGCACGAAAGACGTGATGGGCCCTGACAAAGATCGTCGCCCAAACGAACTTTCATTTCCACATCACACTTGGATGGCCCGCCAGCGCTAGACTTAGGTACCCGTGGGAACCGTCGAAGCCGTTTTACGCGCCGTCTTTGGTGAGGTCCCGGTGAGTTGGGGCGCTTGTCTGAGCTCTCACTCATTCCGTCACTCCCTCAAGTGAGAAACGTCATCGACCAGCCACAACACGTGGATGACTCAGCGATGGTGAGTCGCAGGGGGTGAGAGGAAGATGAAGTCTGAGTTTGCATTTCAACGGCAAATGTCTTAGCTAACAGTGTAATGGCTCAGATCTCGGCGTGTAGTGTGGACTTTCTCTCGAGTGGAGACCAACAACTTGAACGTCTTTGAGGAGGTCCACCTGGGGAAGTGATCCGGACAAGGGCCCATCACTCCCGTCTCTGCCCGCAACTCACCCCGGAACCCCGAACGTCAATCTCTCCATTTCGCGAGAAACATCCACAAAAGCTCCATCACGAAGTGGAGGAATTGACGCGGGACGAGCACAGGTCAGCGCACCAGCGCGGGCCTCATTTGACGGAACTCACGTCGGGCGAGCAGCAAGATGGATACACTACGCGCGTAAGTACCCGCCTTCTCTCCGTAGACTTCGTTCTCGCCCGACTCTCAACGACTTTCCCATGAGATGTCCACCCATCTGCATGGCAATTTAATTTGATCTTCCTCACACCCCCCCGGATATATTCGTTCAAGTCGGACAAGCTCTCTGGGATTTCGAGCACGTTCACCGCAAAGCCATTCTCCTTTACCCCTCATCTCATCCCGTCGTATTCCAGCCACCAATCTGCTCGGTGGCCGGTACGAGTGTCTTACACATGACAGGGCTCGTCAATGTCTTGGAAATCTGGTATGACAAAGACACGACGGCGGGATATGAATAACTGACAAAAGGACTGGACCCACGACTGCCAGCGCGCATGCACTCGAGCCCCTCATGTTGCCCGCCATCGTCATATCATACCATCTCAGCTTTCTTTGCATCAGCCTCGACGTCGAACAAAAGAACTGCCGGGCGGTGGAGAGGAGACATTTTGGAAAAGTTTTCATTCCTAAGCGCATATGCAATCCTGGTCTCCCCTTCTCCTTTTGTGCGAGGACGACCCAATGCGGCGGGCTGCGACCTGGGCGAAGCTGCGCCGCGATGCAACATATGTAAGCCGTGCGTGGATCGAAAGAGAGGTTAAGCCGAACCGGAGAGGGGGACAACGTCTCGCAGTCACTTAGACGACGGGAGTTGTGAGAAGCGAAGCAACCCTACCCGAACCGACGAGCGGGTACCAAGCCCGGACTTAAGGTTGTTCTCAGGCAGCTCACGGGTAAACTGCCACCTCGTCGAGTTTCGACATCCGGTGAGAGTCTGATGCACTCGTCCAATTCAGGTTTTGATATCCGCAACGCTTTTGTTAAGGTGTCCACGATGGCAACGTGGGATCGCAAACCTGGGTTCGCCTCAGAGACAGCCTCCCTAGCAGTGAAACGCGGTTGGCCAGTGTCTCAGGTCTGGGCAAACCCGTGTCTGCGGGAAACTGGAGTCGGCCTCTCCAAAGTGTGGCCGACGTTGCTGTCAATCGAGCGTCGGGGTCTTTTTTGGCGGCTTGCCGACATGATGAAAGAGGCTAACTGCGAAGGGAATTGTAAAGTAAAGTCTTTGCAATCCCACCGTAAGCGTCACATCATAGGAACCACGACCAGGCTCGGAAACAAGACACAGCCGCGCGCGAGACAACGTTGACTGTCACTGTCACAACCCCAAGCTGACCGCCAAGCAAGCGCCAGAAAGCTTCGAGTTAGGAAAGCTGGGTTTGGGTATCCTCAATTGCGACAGACCCGACAGTCGTCCCCTGGTCCATCGGCCCATCGGTCGTCTTCTCGGCAGAGATGGCCTGGAAAATGTCAGCATAATGCCCAAAAAGATGCAATTCGATGCTTGAAAATGCCAATTCAGAGGAGTCTGGAAGCACACACCGAGCTCCGCCAAGCCAATAAATCGGCAGGCCAGGGGCACTCGTGGGACGTGGCAGACGCGGAGCGGCTATGTTGAGCTTCGGTAGAGGATTTAGGGGGGTGAGCTCACCGTGGACCCGGCGCGAGAGGCAATAATCGGGGTAATTGTTCTTATGCGAGGTTTCGCTTCACGACTCGATTATCGCATGGCTGTTATGCATCTTCTCTTATGCGGGAAACACCTGCTCGGCTCTGCCCCACAGAATATGGATTGCCCCGCCTTCCGCCCCCGGCTCGGTCTTCGCTACTGCACAGCACTCTTCAAGTCGAGCCTTCCGGTCACATCATCAATCTCACTCATCACCTTGTCTTTTGCACCACGCCTATTCTCTCTCACTAACCAACTGCAGAAGTACGAGTGCATCTCATCATCCACAACCCATCCTTTCCATCTCACTCACATGAGAATAGATGGAGACGACCCCATCTTCGATATAGCCCAGGCTGTCGTGCATCATCAACAGCAGGGCAACAGGGCAACAGGGCAGCATGACAGCAGCCCCAACACCAGATTTCAAGCCCATCGTTCCATTCATTGCCTTCCACAACATCGTTCCTCGGACGATCTGCAAGGCACGTTGCTCTGCTGTACGAGGGCTCGGCATCAGCACGGACAACTGCCTTGCAACGTCCAACCTCGACCTCGTTTTCTCATATTGGCCATTATTGCTTTTCATGCACTGCTCAACCGATTCTCTTCGGTACTCCACAATAGCTGACATTGTCCGTCTTCGGAATTCACGTTTGCTTACTCCATGCATTCAGTCAGCCTGTGCTTCAATGAATGGCGCTGCTAACTTGCTCACGTTCCTCAATGAGGACCTCTGTACACCATCTCCTCTGTCAGATATACAATAGAGTCATGTAAGGATCCAATATTCACTGCGCCGCGCCTTGTCATTGCCTCCAGCACATAGTCAGGCACCAGAGTGCCAAGATTGGTGGCCGTAGTCGGCACCTCCATCACAACCTCAGAACATGCGCCTGACATCTCTAGATCGCGTCAAGACTGACCCTCTAACGCCCAGTGGCGTCCTGAATGACCGCGATTCTTTCCAAGGGACCACTGCCATCGCGTTGTCTGCTTGCAGGCTGGCTTAGCTACTGCGCTAGATTCATCCCCATATTTCATTCACGTTGCAAGTTCTTTGCTTTTCCCACGTTCGCCCTCGTATAATACCGAGTGCAGGTGACTAAAATAGCCACTCGCCGGCAGAGGACCCAACCAACGGGACGTCGCTGTCCTCAAAGACCCTGGTCGCTTGGAGAGCTCGCTTGAGCAGGCATCAAGTGCCATGCAGAAAGCAGCAGCCAAGTACCGGATCTCTGCTGTCCTCTCTCTCTAGAGGACCTGCGCTCAAATTGCTTCCCCTCCAAGCTGGATCCCAGCTGCGGCCGATCTCTCTTGCCGCCTACCCAGGGTCGTATTTTCAGCCCATAGCCTGCCTACATACCAAAGGCAGCTTTCTTTCCCGATCAGATAAACAAGCTCTTCCGTTATATAACACACTATCCGGCCCCGTGCCGTCTGGTCCGCCTTGCTGCTCTCCCGGTTCATGGTGTAATTAGTTGCCAAGAGCAGTGTTTTTCGGTAATTCACCTCTTGCTTTTGTGTACATTGTCTCGTTTGGCTTGGCCGTGTTCTTCATTGAATCTTGCCTTGCTGTAGTCCATTCGTTAAGCGCTGTTGCTTTGCCCGCGAGACAGCCATTCGTTACCACCAACGCGTGTTTCTGCGTCTTTCTACCATGCACTATTCCACCCTCGCTTTTGCGGTAAGCCTCGGCTTAGCCGCCGCCCACGGTGCTGATGGCGACCGTCAGGCAGCTCCCCAACTCATGGCCGGAAGACGGGCCATGCAGGAGTTCACCGCTGTGCGTCGTCAGGTCCAGCGCCGCGCCGCTCACGTCGAGCCGGTTCACGAGGCCTCGGAGCTTGAGATCCGCCAGTCTGTCGGCCGTTGCGGTCCGGACCACGACAACGCGGTCTGCGACGACGGCTACTGCTGTTCCAGCGCAGGGTAAGTCGCGATGTCTTTGCCCCAAAAGTTTCCAAGACTTCGATATTAAATTCGCGGCAGATGGTGTGGCCAGGGATACCTCTACTGCTCTGCGCCGTCATGCCTGATTGAGTTTGGTCCGGCATGCGATGCCAACATCCGTCCCGACGGACCGGATACGGCAAACATCGCGCGCCCCAGGCTCGGTTCTGTGCCTTATGGTGAGGCCATCTATCACTGCGAGGAGTACGGCGATATTGCCCTCACTTTCGACGATGGCCCTTACATCTACACTGAGGACTTGCTGAACAAGCTCAAGGTATGCATACACCGTCCGACGCAAGGGATGTCATATTGATTTTTCTTCAAGGCCTACGACGCCAAGGCCACGTTCTACATCACCGGCAACAACCTGGGCAAGGGCAAGATCAACGACCCGTCTACCAACTGGCCGGCTCTGATCAAGGTACGTCTTTTCCCTCCCGGCTATGAGATGCACGCACTCACCCTTTGCAGCGTATGATTGCCGAGGGCCACCAGGTTGCCAGCCACACATGGTCTCACCAGAGACTCACAACCGTGAGCGCTGAGAAGTTCCGCAACCAAATGATCTACAATGAGATCGCCTTCGCCGACTTGCTGGGCTACTTCCCGACCTACATGAGGTATGCCACTATCGAGTTCCCCGGATGAATCTGAGACTGACATCGACAGACCCCCTTACTCTGCCTGTGATGCCACCTGCGAGGGCTACCTCGACGACCTTGGCTACCACATCACCTACTTCAACCTGGACACTGAGGGCTATCTGCACGACAGCGCTCAGCTCATCCAGACCTCCAAGGATATTTGGGATACCAACGTCGAGGGCAAGGACCCCGTCAACACCAAATGGCTTCAGATCGAGCATGACCCCGTCTACCAGACCGTCTACAACTTGACGGACTACATGCTCGAGTCCCTCTTCCGCAATGGCTTCAAGTCTGTCACGGTCGGCGACTGCCTCAAGGATCCCAAGGAGAACTGGTACCGTTCCGTCGGCGACGCCCCTCCTCCCAGCGGTACCACCACCACGCGCGCCACCAACACCGTCTCCAGCACCTCCCAAGCCGTCTCTCCCACAGGCAGTCTCCCTGCCTCCACAGATGGCCGCTGCGGCCCTAACTTCGGCACGCAGTGTTTCTCGGAGCCAGGCGCCACGTGCTGCTCCGGTGCGGGATGGTGTGGAAACACGGCTGACCACTGCGGCGCGTCTTGCAATCCTCTGTATGGCAACTGCGCTGCCTCCAACCCGGGGGTGTCGACCTCAAGCGCACCTGTGAGCTCCGCGTCGTCGACCCCGGCGAGCGGCCCTTCCAGCACCAGCTCGGTTACCGGTCCTTTGGGCACCCCTCCCGCGACTACGAACGGACGCTGCGGTGCCACGCAGGGATACACGACGTGTATCAAGGAGCCTTTGGGCGCTACATGCTGTAGCCAGTACGGTTGGTGTGGAAGCAGTGCCGATCACTGCGGCACGGGATGCCAGGCTGCCTTTGGCACCTGCACCTGATTGCACGATCTTGACGACTGACTTGGATCAATGAAATGTTCCTTCATTGAGTTTATGACTTTTCTTCTTGTTCTTTCCCTCACAGTGATGAGAAGGAATACCTTTAGTGTGTAATGTTTTAATCTACGATGGAGTTAAGGGAGGGGGCGGAAGAAAAGGCACATATGGGTGACGCGTTCGTGCCAGGGCTGAATATTTAGCCTAATACAACTATATTACTTCCTACACTTTTCGAATTTGCAATGTGTCCCTGCGCAAATATGTTTTCTATGAGAAGAGGTTAGAGAACCGAGACTGTTGTGTCAGCACTCCCTTGATTGTAATCTGGATCTTCGGCATCGGGTTGATAACCCCTGGCAGCGACACCAAACCGAATAAGAAACTATCTGATTCACCCTCCGGGACTTTGTCCACTCTAAATGAACTCCATTCTATGCAAAAACCATACTGAGGTCTAGATCCTCATCACGGCGTCAAATTTGGAAGACTGCCAATGACAACACGACGGAGTATGAATATGAATCGCTATATAGCGTTCCATCCATGATTTGACTGGTCTCTCACACCCACGCTGCTTTTGATGTCACAATGTAGGGAGGCTTTCATGTAGATTTTTAAAATTGAACATTCAAAAGGAACTTCTGGATTGTATGCGTCAAGTCATTCGCATTATGGTCATATGGCTTTAGACCCAAGAGACTGCTTCGCCGCTCAATGCAGGTGTATGACTGAGTCATATGTGATGTGAACAGGATGAGGGGCGTGGTTTAAGTACACGATGTCTCGGTATTTCGAGGCTCAATTGATAAAGAGCATTCAGCGGGCGCCTTTTGGCGGAAAACTTGCATAGCGATGAGGTAGAGGCAAGTACTCAAAATGTGGTAAGAACCGGCTCATCTGAGTGAAGGGAGAGCGCAACAACAGTCTCTCGATGAAACTGAATAACTTTCACGGAATTCTCGGAAGCCAAAAAGGAAACCCGAGGAGTTCTGGCTTCAACAAGCACGTGGCAAAGACGAGAGACCAACCGGATCACGATCGGCCGATCGGGTCCGAAGTGGGTCCGACGACCGGCAGCACCGGCCGGGAGAGCGAGCTCCGGCGCCCGGGTGTGCTTGGTCCAGTGTAGGAGTGGCGCAGAACATCGAAGAAGAGCAGTCAAAATCATGGTGGAATACAAGCTATTTTTAGATCTCTTTCGGATAAGTCGAGTTGAGCCATCAAATGAAATGAAATAGTTCTCAACCAACTAGCGGGTGCTTCATTCACCACTGGATGCCCACCGGCACCGGCATGGAGGAAAATGCATCTACTCGGGACACCTGACAGACTTAAGATCAACTCATAAGGCCCCAAGAAAGTCTCAATAAGATGAAGCCCAAGCGTAGTTTATCCCACATGCGAGTCATGCCCAGGGACATGAGAGCCGCACGCTCTACGGTGACCGAACGGCCGAGAAACCGAAATTCAATCAGCGATTCCAACTCTATTTCCTTCACCGGATGCTGTGTCGGTGCGAACTGGCGGAATGGGGGCGAAAGGGGTGGGTTCGCATAGCCGTCAGGGGCTCTGACATGACTTACAGGCATGCCCCTCCATGGAGGGCATCCGTGCCTGTCCGTCATGGTGATGCCGCGCTTCCGCGCGAACCGCGGTCTTTGGCCTGAAAAGCTTCATTTGTCGGCATGATCTATAGAATATAACCTATGATATTGATCAGTAATTCCATTTGGTGCGCCTTCTACTACGTTCGTCCCAGCACTGTCAGAATCGAGTACGTCCCGATGACGACGGTAGAAGCCCAGCATGCTTATGTTTTGCAAGTATGCTCCAGAGGAGCTGAATAGGTCATATGCTGTTCAGCAGCCCAGGTGGTATGCGTACTCGTGCAAGATTCATAGACCAGCCGATGAGGTCATTTACCGATAAAAACCAGAGAAGCCTTCAGCCTTAATCAAATCCAAACCCATCCTATCTTTGGATCAGACGGACATCTGCCATGCCGTAGGGCTGTGCGCTGGCACGAACTGGGTCAAAGATCACTGGAACCCCACACTTGCACGCCCTATGAGCAACACCAACAAGGCATTGCCCTGCCACACGGGATGCTTGACTTGCAGAACGCTCGCGTGCAATTTAGCGCGTGCGTTGACATATCGTCCGCGTCTTGGTATGGCCTCTGAAAGATGCTCTGATATCGGCCTCGGGGGTCGTTCCAGCTTGATGGGTTTCCACTCAACGCATGAGTCGTACAGAACGTGGGGAGTGCTGCTGAATACGAACGCAATGCACGCAACCGCTAACTTGAGGCTATCGGAATTAGGAACCGTACCATCTCGCTTTCGGAATATTGATCTGAAAAAGATTGGCTATAAGATATGATTCTTGTCCCGGCCAGATGAAGATGAAGGAGAGGAAGAGACCACCACGCTTCTTTACGTTCCTTTTCTTTCTCTAACAGGGCTCAATCGTTTGCCCACGCCATTCTTTCTTCCGAAATCCCACGTTCATTCTTTCTTTAAAGTCGGCCTGCAAAATGAGAGCGCAACAGCTTATGCTGGCTTTAGCCGCACCAGGTGTAATTGCGTCGCCTCTACCACAAGACTCCGGGTCCGGAGGCTCATGTACCACTGAAGCACTCAATCAAGACACTTGGAAGAAGCTCGGAATCGAGGATTACCTGGCCAAGTGGACGACTTACAACGTTAGCAAGGTGGAAACCAACGCTATTCAGAACTTCGCCAGCTCTTTTGGAGCACCAAACTTCTTCTGGTAAGTCCGGCCCAGACGTCATGGAATTGACTGAGAACAAGACTAAGACATCCAACAGTGGTCTCGACAGCTTTTGCAATGCGGGACAGCCCTGCTCACCGGTCAAGCTTCCAGGGTGGTATGCTCTTGTCGCCGTCCAGAACTGGAACAGCTACATGAACTCTCTCAACACCGCCATTACCTTCGCCTCCAGCATCATGAGCCTTACTCTACCCGATATTGTCAAGGATTTCTACCCAGACCCCAAGGACGACGTTACGGAACTCAAGACAATGACCCGCGTGTTTGCCGGCGCTCTCTCTATCATCCCTTTCACAGGTCCACTCAGCACCGCTGCCAGCGTCATCGGCGGTACCTCCAGCTTTATCTCAAGCAACCTCAAGCCTCCTGAGCCTACAGACCTCTTCCTTTCATGGAGCAATGTTGCCTCTTCTCTCGGCAAGGTCGTTCAAAACTGGCAGTCGGCCGTCTCAACCAGCTTCCAGACCACCATTGACGCACAGGTCAACGTAACGGAAGGCATTTTCCAGATCATCCGCGATGGCAAGTTTCTCGGCACCAGCAGAAACGTCACGCAAACCGATATGCAGAAGGAGATCACCCGCAGCCTTCAACTATACACCATCGGGCTTGCCTTGCAGGCCCAGCGCGTCTTCATCTGGCGCTCAAGACCGTTCTCCGCCGACCAGGAGGAGTGCAAGGAGTACAGCGAGTCTGATCTGTGTGCGCAAGACTCAGATGGTCGGTGGAGACAGTATATTCTCATCCAGCGGACAGACCACAAGAATGCGGCTGGTCGCGATGACGTGATGAAGCTTCTGACGGAGAAGTACGGGATGAAGAAGGAGGAAGTTGTCAAGGATGTTGCCGACTGCGTGGATGCTGCTGGTGGGAAGCAACTGACGTATTCGTTTGGTGATATGCTGCCTGTTGATTCGTCAACAAAGTGCATCTTCAATCTGCAAGTCTGTACCGATAACGGGAGCAACGACGGTATCATCACAACTTGTGAAGGCATGGGCTTGACGGTATAAATGAGCCAGTGATGGCCACAACAGATAATCATGTTCCTTATGCCATCGACGGCAGGAGGATGGCGAATGAGAGAGAAAACTCAGATACCCTAATTCCACTGATGCCATTGATCTTATGAGTTGATGTACGCTGCTGAGATACAGTATAAAGAATTGGAACGTCGAAGCGCAAACAAAAACCATTCTCAATGCGACTCAGCAGGCTTGCTTCACGACGGGTGGTAAGCCTTCCACACCTGCATAGCTCCCTCGATCGACTGTACTAGGCCGAAAAATGCCGTCAGAATGAGTGCCGCCACAGTCACCAGAAAGGGCCATCTATAAAGACCCTTTCGGGTGTCGAACCACCATTGTCTCCATGTGGAAGGTTGCGTTTCGTCAAAAACTTGTTGTAATGTCGTCAGTCGTTCACGCCAGAAGTCGAATTTGTCTGCCCGGCGGTCTTTTGCCTGAAGCGGGAGACAGCAGTGAGCATTCGTATCCAGCTTTTTTTCCTTGGCCAAACTGGTGAACCAGTAGCTGCTACTCTTATTGAGCTTTGGCAGCAGAAGTGATAACGTTCGGAGGGTCTCCTCAGCGAACCCCAGTGGAAAGAGCTGTCTGGTTCTGGTAGTCAGCACACAGCATATGATGGATAGAATAACAGTACATGTATTGAGGCCTATAAATTGGCCGAAGCATGAATCCGCAGAACTTACGCATGTTTTGCGACCATCAGAAACGAGGCATGATGAAAAATAGCAACTTCGGTGTCATCTCTGAATAACCGCAAATGATCGGCGATGTTATCAGTCCAGAGAATCTTAAGCCCAACAATTCGACGCAGGTTTTGAGCTGTGAGTAATTTGCTGAACTGAATAGAGTCTCCTGAACTGGCGTCTCTGGAGTCGTTGAAGTGTCGTGCCACGGAGTCTTTGATAGACTCAGAGGAGATGTTTTCGTTGTCGATCCAATTGAAGTCAGTGCCACCAGACACGACAAGTGGCGCGGTGCCTATGCACATCATGAAAATCAACCTTGCAGTGAGGTTTGTAGACGCGTACAACTGAATCTCATCCATCTGATTGTTGGTGTGAAATCTCTTGATCATTTCGTCCTTGCCAAGGTTTTGTCGCAGGAGGTCATTGGCGATGTTGGCAATGTCTTGATGTGTCTTGAGAACCACGAACTTCCCTTCATCTTTTGCGAAGAGACTAATCTGCTTGTAGTAATACGTCATATAAGTCTCCAAGTTGTATTCGAAGTCGTCGTGTTGATCCCGCCGATGCGGGAACTTGATCCCCCAAAGTCCAAAAGCAACATCTGAGCTTTTGCAAGAGGACTTCGGCCCGAGAAGTATGGGCTGTTCGAGACCTTGGAGATTTGTTAGTTCCATCTCTGTTGATTGCAGTGACATGAAAACTGGACTGAAGGAGTGATCCAAACGGTCAGCTCGTGTCGATAGTCGGCCTCTACAGGGGATATCGCTTTCAAGAGTCAAGGAATACTTCTCAGCTCAGGAACTTACGTGGGCTGCAGGGCTCACGAAACGTGTATGAGAGCTAGTTTGTAGTCGGGCGGGCATGGCCCTGTGCTACGCCCCGAATAATACCTGGGGAAGCCGCGGTTTGTGGCTATGTTCTGATGTGAGTAACTGATTGGAGCGATTCTAGGCGAACTGTATCAAAGTATTGTGCTCATTTGTCCCCATGAATGACTGTGTTATGCGTTGTTCGGTGGCTTAATGCACGACCTATAATGATCGAACAAGTTGAGCGAATTGTGGAATTTGGCGCAGCAGCTGACATTGTATTATTGGACAGATGCGCAGGTCGCACGGCATGTGAAGGTTCGGTGAGAGAAGACCAGGGCGACACGAAGATTATCGATTGACGAATCAACCACTGAGGGGTTAAAGCCTTTTGCTCCCAAATCCATATAGTTGCAGCTTGATTGTGAGACTTGAGCTGGCACTATCAAGTGAGGCTGATTAGGCACCCAGGAGGCAAATCTCTCGGATCCCCAAGTAGCTCACTCTCTAGTATTCCTTTTAGGAGCCTACATGTAGTCGGAGCACAGCTTGACGCGCACACCCGGTTGAGAACCTTGATATTCAATGTGCCATCACGTCCGTCCACACCTTTCTGGGGATAAAGCAGCTTTGGACACCTTGAGAGTTAATGTTGTTGCGATACAACATCTCAGAGACATATCAAGTCATCTTTGCCTGTGTTATGATCCTTCCAAACCAATGTTCAACTTCCTCAGACGCAGTCAGGCACCATGCGTACATGTGCAAACGGTTGATGTATTGTTAATCAATCTTCCCCTCAAGCTTACAAGCACTCACAAGTTTCCCAGATATCCCAGGAATTTCCATTGTGCGTTGGTGAACGCCTTCGAACGCTTCCGCTTCTCCCGTCAATGCTAAATCCCTTACCAATTTATTGCTGGAGAGCGGAAGGTGCAGTTGCAGAGGTGTTCTCAGCACAAATTGTTCCAATAATTCACAGTCTTCACAAATCCCACATAGACGAGCGCCCCGGTGACCGATGCGTGGCACTGTGTTGTTACATGATCGGGAGAAATCGTCGCACCGCGAAACCGTATATTGGATTTGCATCAAGCGAAGAAGAGCCTCGCAAAGAGCTGAGGAAGCTCGTCAGACAGGAAAAGATTCTCGACAGATTTGTCGGTTTCATGACTGTTGACTGGACCGAGGATCCCGGATCCAGAAACATGACGATTCGCGGGCCTGGCGCAGATGCTTCCGGTCAGACATCATACCGCTTACGCATAGATTGCTCTACAGCGTCTCTTCAAGGCTCCACCATCCATGTTGAGAACGAAGACGCTGGCGGGCCCGGCGATCGTTTTTGTACCGGAGGTGGCTTGCTGCGCAACCAGGAAGGGGACGTGTTCCTCTTAACCACTGGGCATTTCCTGCCAGGGGCCCAGATGCCTATCCTTCCTCCAGCGGATTCTCCCGAAGGCTTTCAATATGATATGGACCTCATCGAAGACGACGAATTGGATACAGGTCACCAAGATATTGAGCCTACCAAACTGGAAGGTTGTCAACCTCCGGCATCGGGCTCTCAAACGACCGGCTACTTCCAAAGCGTCCTTAAGTTCTTCGTGAGTCGACTAGGGGTTGAAAGCTCTGGAACAGACATGGATGCTTCCACACCGACAAGCATTCATGATGACCACTCGCCGGATACGATGGAAAGGACCGCTCGAGCGCTCCGCCCAATACACGCACAAATCCCGACCATCACTTCGCAGGCAAGCAACAATCCCGGCTTAGACTATGCTCTAATTCAAGTCCATTTTCTTGGCGAGAACGAGAGTACAGCAACGTCAGATCAATCCGCCCGCCAAACACTTCTAGTGCCCAGAAAGGCTACCCGCCGAAGAGTGTTTGCTATCACCGCGGGCAACCGGCAGATAAGGGGTCTGTTGCTTGACGCATCTACATTTATCCTGGCCACCGCTTCCACAAACCCAGAAGAACTTTGGACGGCGAAATTTGATGACGAAATCCGCAAAGGCGACTGTGGATCATGGGTCATCGACCTCGACAATGGCGAAGTCATTGGACACATCATTGCATCAAGCGCGGACACTGGCTCAACTTTGGTTGTACCAATGTATAGAATTCTCGATGACCTTTCCCTAAGGTTTGGCGGGCAATGGGTTCCAACCGAGAACCACCCAGGCAATATCGTGGAATCTGTACCCTTGGAAAGCTTCGAAGAAGACGTCTCCTTGGAGTCGTACAGGAACCAAGTAGCTTCTTCAGGAATTAATCCAGGTTCGAAGACAGAAAAGGTGATTATACCCCATCGGCCATTTAATCGACAAACACGTCAGAACCTGGCTGAACCTCTTGCGCAGCCTGAGCCCGATGTCGATAACTGTGGTCTTTTTGATGGGACCACAGATCAATCGTCGACAGTTAAGACCGAGCGCAAAACCCCCAAAACAAGATCGAACGGCACAATGTATGCCTGTCACTTTTTCAAGAGATGGCCAGCCAAACACGCCGGCTGTCTCATGAGGAGTCACGAATCGCCGAGACACGTCAAAAGGCACCTGGTGAGGGCTCATTTGCAACCTCCTCATTGCCCTACTTGTTGGGAAGTGTTTCATGATCAGTCCGAGCTCGATCATCATATCGTAGCCAGAAAGTGTGAAAACGGTGATCAGGAACCATCTGACGAAGTGAACGACGGGATGATCGAAACGATTAAGAAGCTTGATGACGGCGACGATAAGGCAAAGTGGTACGCCATGTGGGATGTTCTCTTTCCAGACGTGCCGCGGCCTGAATCACCATATGTCCATATTGACGACACTCCGGCCGAAGTCGCTATCTCTTTTACGCAAGGAATTCAGGGCATTGACTTACAGAAAGAAGTTAGTAATTTGTTCCTCTCACGCCAGGATACAACCTCCGAAGAAAAGGCACGAGAAATGGCAGAGGCCGTTCTAGATCTTTTTTCAACCCTTCTGCACCGCCAGGCAGATTCAACCCATCCCAGCCATTACAATGAGCTCGGAGGAGAACGCATCAGTCAGGACAATCTCTCAAGCTATTCAATGGCCACTGGGCAAGTCCAGAAACTTCTGCATCAGACTGACTCAGCATACGGCTCCAACACGGGAGGTCGCAATATATCGCAACCAAGTTCAACGGACTACGCAAAGGAACCCCACGAAAACGAGTCGACTTTGCGACCAGCACCACACCAGTCGTCACAAAGTCCTCAACATGTCAACCCCTACGGCAGGCCTCCCCTCCCCTTACTCGGATACAGCCTGGTCACTTCCGAACCCGACGAAGTCCCTGCCGCAGAAATCGAATCGCCCCAACAATAACGATATCGGCCATGAGGATGACACGAGACTCACGCAAGGGACCGTGATGTTGTATAGTGAAATTGCGATGGCGTTTTTGTGGCGTTTGAAGTTGAATGAGAGAGAATTCGAAAGGTTGACTAACCAAGTCTAACTCTTTGTATTTAAATACGTCTTGTATGATTTGCTCCGTCCAGGCATAACATAATGGCTTCTGGAGACTTCGGGTCGTACTTCAACATTAGAATATGGTAAACGATTCCGTTGAATTGTTCATATGCTTTCCACAGAAAATATTGAAAGCCCTTCACCAATGTCGGAGGCACGAAGCTGTGACAATGCCAAGAGAGTCCCAGCTTTTCACTTATGTCTCGTACACCAAAAGCTCGCTCGATTTATGGGTAACGAAGGAATTTTAATCGATTTGCCTAGGGCTTCCCATCTCTTAAAGTCGAAAAAATGTCTGCGATACCAAGAACTTGTGTGGAAGCGGCCTTCGTGCTTACTTACAACAGCGGCACGGGTCGATACAGAAGTGAAAACGTTGGCAGTGTGTCCCGGCCCTAGAGCAGGAGAGGCTCTTGCAAGCGCTTCGAATGACTTCGGATGTCACTGTTCCAAGCGCTATTTACCTGGCGACTTAAGATGAGTTGAATAACCTATATCTAGGATGATACCACTCGGTGCAAGTTATCTATTTCGACTCTTCGTTAGTCTTTTGAAATTTTGAATCAGTGTCTGTAATGCCTCAGAGCAGCACTGGGCCTTTATGAGCAGCTGGCGGCAGGCGTACCTTACTAAGGTAAGGTAATGTACCTGACCTACCTATGGAAGGCAGTTAGTGCTACGTTGCCCCGTTGATTAAAGGATCAGCGCTGAAGGCTCGCTGGCCCCTACCTTATCTTAGGTACCTTAAGGAGTACGTAGGCGTTAATAGTGCATTCCATGCTTAAGGTAAGGTAGGTAATACAAGTGGAGTGGAGTTCCACAAGATTGGCCCGTGACAGAAACACGCCGATATCGCCGAACCAAACATACTCAGACCCAAAGTCTCTCGAAGCGTCGACTCGAGACTGGCATCCGCGAGTGTTGGCGCTCCCGCTAAGGTCCTTACGATCGTAACTTTTCGGTCATCATGTCGACGGATTCTGAAACTGCATTTGGCCCTGACTCGGTTGGTCACTCGAGGGAAATCTCGCATGCGCATGCCTCTCAACGCGAACACCCAAACAAGATTGGGAATTTCGATGATGCGGAATTGGAAGCATCAGGGTATCACCGAGAGATGCCACGGCAGTTTTCGGCCTTCTCTCTTTTGGCCCTATCCTATACTGTAATATGTACTTGGAATGGCTTTGCTAGGTGAGCATCATAGTTCCACACAACCGTGAGACAGTCCCAGTCCGAAGTGCCATATATCTGATCAAATTTTGCCCATAGTGCAATTGGAAATGGCATCAAACAGGGCTCAACATCTGGAAGCATCTTCATGCTCTTTCCCGCAGCAACCTTCATCGGCCTTGTGTCCCTGGGAATGGCTGAACTGACATCTGCCTTTCCCGTGGCCGGTGGGCAGTACTACTGGGCTTACATCTTGTCTCCTCCGAAGTGGGCACCTCTCATCTCGTACACGTATGTTTCCCTCAATGTCTCAGCTTTAGTGGCCTACTGAGTCTAACTGGACATTTGTTGGCAGTACCGCCGTGATCGGTGTCCTCGGTGCCTGGCTTGGGTGCGCAAGCACATGCAACTTCATCTCCAGCATGATTCTTTCCATCGTGCAATTCATACAGCCCGAATACGTCATACTTTCATCGCATAAGTACTTTGTGTATGTGGCAGTCATGAGTCTTGGTGCCGCGATCAACATCTTTGGATCTCGGATGCTGCCAGCTCTCAATCGTTTCATATGTGAGTATCCGAGGTTAGCTGAGAAGGCGAGATTGGCCCATGACTGACATCTTTTCGAGTTGTTTTCTCTATAATCACGCTCACTATCACCACCGCCACGATGCTGGCCTGTAGTTACCCCAACTATAATTCAGCGAAATGGGTTTTCACGGATGACACGGTTTCGAGCGGGTGGACCAACCGTCCCCTCGCCTTGGTGTTCTGCTTCATCAACAGCCTATACGGCTTTCTTGGAACAGACGCTGGAGTTCATATGACAGAGGAAATACCAAACCCAGCCGCCACGGCTCCCAAAGTCATCGTAAGCTCTTCCTGTAAGGAAGCAGAATCCGTTACGGTGCGCTGACCATATAGCTCTATCCGGTTATCATTGGGTTGATCACCGGTATGTTATGTGAAACTTGCATCCTGATAATCTCCGAACTGACCTATGTCTAAGTTTTACCATTCGCTTGCACCTGCATGTTCGTCATCAAGGACATCGAAGAGATTCTGGTTGCGCCGAGCGGGCTTCCCTTGATCCAGCTTTACTACCAAGCAACAGGCAGTCAAGTAATCACAGTGATTTTGATGGTTGCGTTCGCTACTTCATTTTTTGCATGTGTAGTTGCAATCATAACAGGATCGTCGCGGGCGCTATGGTCTGCAGCTCGAGATGACTGTTTCCCGTGGTCTGACCTGTGGAAGCAAGTCAGTCCAAGGTTCGGGATGCCTCTGAATGCTGTTCTATTGCAGGCATCATTTTCTGTCGTAAGATACCTCAATTATTGATCCGACTCATCTAGAAAACATGCTGACTGGGTTGGAGGCGTATGGACTCATCTTCTTGGGCTCGGAAACAGCCTTCGAGCTGATGGTGAGCGCCTCCATCATCTTCCTGGTTGGGTCGTATGTCATCCCACAAGCAATACTCCTCTTCGTGGGTCGAAACGAGCTTCTCCCGGGGCGCCCGTTTGACCTGGGTCGATTTGGCTATGCTGTCAATCTTATATCGACAGCTTGGACTGCCCTACTCATAGTCGCCTGCTGTCTTCCCACGGAGTACCCAGTCACGCGATACAACATGAACTATAATAGGTGAGCTATGAGGATGTCATCCTTATGATTCAATCTGATTTCAAATACCGAATCATTACGCTAACAGTCAAAGTCTTGTTACAACATGTCTCCTAGCATTGACTTGGCTAGGCTGGACGCTTTCGCGGAAGGCTGTCTTCCGAGGACCAAAGGTTGATAAAAGCTTGCTTGCTTCCACCAGAAGAAGACATCTACACAGTGATGACATAGATGAGAGAACACCGCTACTTTAAATTCCTTCTGATGTCAATGACAGGCGCATTGTTATAGAACGTTTCTACTTCAGAAGCTTCATCGCTGTTGGAGCCCCCTTTAAAGTCAACGCACTTGTGATGAGTCAATGTCATGTGCCAAGTATGTAACTTGTTAAGGTAGTAATAGCTAGTCACTGCTCGGGGCAACTCTCGAGGTTACTCAATCTACTTAGCGGCTTGATCTAGTGTCTTTCGATATGGGATACTACTTCCTTCTCAACCGAGACACGTCTTGTACGAATATCTTCTTCATCCCCCTTCTGCACAGCTGCCCGCCGCATTTGGTGCATAGGACGTTCGAAAATAGCATCCATCTCGTCAAGACTGAGGCCACTGGTTTCAGGGATGAAGAAGAGCGTATACATGAAAGCGAGAATGCACCAGCCAACAAAGAACAAGAAAGCGCCCCATACATCCATAGAGCTTAGGATACTCGGGGTCGCCTTGGTAATGGCAAAGTAGAAGATCCAGTGAAATCCCTGCGACAGAGCACCGCCGAAGGATCTGATACGATTCGGCCAGAGCTCAGCACCAAATAGGTACGGCAAGGTGTAAAGTCCCACAGCCCATCCCAGAGCATGAATGTAGATGATGCCAATCGCAGCATCAGAGGCCCCTGTGGGCACTGACCCCGGGTCTTTGATGAAGTATCTGAGGTACCCGCTGAGGTAGGCATGGCAAGCGGCTTGGATCGTAATGCCGATCATGAGAGACTTCCTTCTACCAAGGACATCAACAAAGACGAGCGAAGCAACCAGGCAACAGATCATCTTGGCCACTGCATATATGCCTGATGAGTATACTTTGACGCCGGTACCCTGAATACCAATATAGCCGAAGATGGTAGGGAGATAGTTGGTTACCTATATCTAGTTAGGACATGTTCCATCTTTAGGTCATTGCAAGGTCGACATACCGAGTTGGCGCCCGAGAATTGAGCGAGGATGTACGCAACGATGGCAAGCTGGACTCGGCGGAGATTCGACCGAACCGTCAAAGTCTCTTTCATGATAGACCAGTATCCTCGATCTCCAGCTTGTTGGTTCTCATCATCCAGGTGGGTTTCGATCAAAGCATATTCCTCCTCCAGATATGGGTGGTCAGCTGGCAGACCACGCAACGTCATAAGGGCATCGAGGGCCTCCTTCTGCTTCCCCTTGATGGCGAGCCATCTTGGAGATTCGACCGCAAAGAAAGACAAGCCCACGGAAATTGCCGGGGCAAAGGTCTGAACGAACCAGGGGATCTGGTACTGGAGGCTCCGCTCCGACGAAATGTTCGTGTTGCAGCCAAAGACAGTAAAAATGCCCAGCGCTTGACCTTCCAGCATACAGACGTTGAACCACAAGGTCATGAGACCACGAATGCTTTTCGGAGCCATTTCGGCGATGGCCATGGGTCCAACGACGGTAAGAGCGCCGATACCGAGTCCGGCAACGATGCGTCCAACGTAGAGTACACCATGATTTCCATATGAGAAGCAGGAGATCATGGATCCAGCGGCGTATACGACTTGGTAAAGCCGCATAGACCAGATGCGTCCGATCTTGTCGTTGAGGAAGAACGAAAGAAACGCGCCAACTCCTGCACCTATGTTGACAAAGGAAACAAGGTTGGAGATTGTCGTTTTACTGTTCGATCCATGCAGATGATACGAGGTCTTGAACGATTCGAGTTCTGTGATGGAGGCCGCTGCCCCTTCATCCCAACCTGGAACACACCGAGTTAGCTGAGTTTTCGAGCTTGTTGCAGTTGCGAGTAGAACCTTTCGGGCAACCACCAAGAGCGAATGCGGTGACAGTAACGGACAGATGCCAGTTGAATATACCAGCAGGTAATGTCTTCACTCCGCTGACATATTTTGCAAGAGATGATTTCTTGAACGCGTCCATGTTACTCTCTGGTTGATTGAACAGGAGGTTGCTAAACGCTGAGCAGATAACAACAATGGAAGCCAGCCAACCCGGATCGCTCTATTATAATACAATACTTCGCGGGATTGCGGAACTTCTCATTACCACGACTTCCCCTGACTTCCCCAGACCCACGGACTCATACCACCCCGCATTCGATCTCAGCTCCCCGTACCCCAGGTCCTACTTTCGGGGTTGCTCCGATAGCACTCCGCGGCGCCATACACCATCGGCTGCTGCCGATGGAAATAAGCTGAACTGAAGTAAATAAGTCATGAAATCAGGGAAGAGTCTCTTTTGAAGAACATTCATCATGGTTATTGGATGCATTTGATGACGACTCGGGAAAGCGGCAAAGTCATCGCCACTCCCACGACGCATTATTACAAACCAACACGTACACATAGATGGTTATACATCATGTCGTCATGTGAATATAACATGTTATCTTAGGTTTCACCACCAAGCCGTGTAGTGGTTGATGATGATCGCAGACTGTGGCTTTGAACCTAGATTTCGAATATGAAGCAGAAATGGGGCATAATGCTGGCGAACCAAGCTCTTGTGACATGGAAATGAGTGCCATGCTTTCACGAGACAGCCCGAATAGAACGTTTTCAAGTTGTGTGACTCAAGGTTCGTAATGACTAGTACATTACATGCTTGGAAGCGACGAGGCGAGGGAAGAGTCTTCGGAACCATCCGATAAACGTGTAACACATCGCAGCACGGCTCCATGGCCATTGCTACTTCATGAACGAACCAACTGCTTGTCATTGCGGAACTATAGTCTGAATTTCCTTGGTAAACCGCCGTAAAGATCATTCAGAGCCGGGCACCAGTCCGAAACGTAGTCTGAAGCTCAGTACGAGTATCTCTAAATTTCTATGTATCGGGGTGACAAGAGCGTACAACTATAAAGAAGCCACAAAGACCTAGCATGCTGAACAGATTCTATCAAACACCCTTCAAACAGGGCAGCAGATAAGGGCAAAAAAACTAGTTTTAGGAGGAGTTCTTAAGAGGAGTTCGAAATATCAAAGAGACGCCTTAACAACAGTTTTGGGGGGTCGCATAATCGACTGTTGCGTCATGTTCGCAACCATGTTGCCGTTCCTGTCCCAAAGCCTTGCCTCGGTGTAGGTGCGTCCGTCGCTTCCAGCAATAGTCTTTAGCTCTCTCAAGTGCCACTGATCCAAGTCCACGTCACCGGTGAAGAATCTCAGCGCAAAGTCGAGGCTGGAACATGCCGCCGCATCGTCAAGGAACAGCTGACTGTGCGTGAGCGGAATGAATGACAAGGCCCCATCCAGTACGAAACCAAGAGCAGCAAACCGGTCTTGAAGTTTCTCCATCGGATGGCGGGAGCGAAACCAGTCGGCGGACGTCTTGGATGTCAGAGGTTGGTCGTCCTGGGGCGTCTTGGCTTTCTTCGCCACGCCATAAAGGTTGTTGGATGCAACGCCTTCGGGCGTTGGACGGCTTTCGAAGAAGTGATTGTTCAAGCCAAAGGTCAAGAGGTAAAGTTTGGACAGCTTCTCCGACACGATGCCATTACGGACCAACTCTGCTGCGTTCTCGATCGTGTCAAGGCACTTCTCTGGCGGGGAGTACGACCTGGAGGGAGGGGCCGAGTAGAGCAGTAAAGAGGCCGCCTCTTTCACTTGGAAGTCGGCCATCATGATCATGCAGAGCCGCGTCTGCCCATCGTCCTGGTCTTGGCTGATCTCGACCAGCCTCGTGGCAAACGTCCTTGTGTCGCGGACTTTGCGGACAGAACACTTCAGCTTCCGATCAGTCAAGGCTGGACCCAGATAGTTTCCGGTCACTGAGTACAGAAGGTAGTTGGGGGATACGGTGTGATACGCTGCTGAGATGCCGACGCCAATGGCGCATCCTCCGTATGCGATATTCTGCGCATTTCCCATGCGGCCAGGGTTGATATGACTGATGAAGTTGTCGAAGCCCAACGCGTCAACGGAGACTTGTTCTTGCAGTGTCGCGGCCATGGTGGATGGACCGTGGAGTTGACTTTAGGTTGATGATATGAATTGAGTTCGTGGGAATTGAGTTCCACTCATCTGGAGATCGAATGCTTGTATTGTATCAGTCGGTCGATCAGTACACACTGCTTTGCCTCGAGGCTCTGGTACCTTAGTTGACAATTATGTTGACACCGCGCGCCAGGTGTTCAAGGGGAGGTAAGCCGCTGACAGCCGAGGTTCAGCGCATCAAGGCGCATGTGGGGATAAATCAAAGCTCCGTGGGTCACTAAGGTGTCCTCGAGATAACCGAAAGATCTGGCATGAACTTTGATGATAGGCAAGAAGAAAACAAGATGAGCTGTTGATTATCCCATGTTTCGGTCCGAACTTCATCTCATTTTAGTGCTTAAATTCGGCAGAATTTTTGATCACCTCATCAAAACTAGATGAACCCGTTGCTCGGAGCTGGTGAACCTCGGCTCAGGGATTCTAAAATTAGAACAGCTAGTCTCGGAGCAGCCTTCAAAATCTGACAGCCCTGAGCTTGAGGCTTCATAACGAAGAGAACTTGAAACGAAGTGTATTGATTGTGCTGCTTATCGCACCCAGGACCTCGCCGTGAGGGCTTCTTTCATGAACACAGACTTGCCTCCAACCCAGCGCCAGGTAACGATATTGTCCGGATGATCGGGTGATGGCAAAGTAGGCAGGTGAAAGGTCTCCAGGGTTGCCAGACGCTCATGCCTGTAGATTGCTGCTGTTGCCGAACTTCTCCTGCGCTTTGAATGCCGCCTCTGAAGCTCGCCCAACCAACTCCTCATAGATCTCGGGATCTGTTGCGCCTTCCAGGCTGAAAAGGAGGCATTGACTACGCTCGTTCAGACCAAGCTTTTCGCGCATGGGCGAATTGCCCCCGGACTTCAAGAGCACCCCCATATTAGCACCTGATGATTCCCCACAAACCACAGGAACATCCCCTTCGCTTCCTTCGGCCAGTGCTTTCATTCCGTCTACAGCGACAGAGTCAGGCACAGCGATGAAGTCGCTAGCGAGCCATTCCAGGAGCTTCCAAGCAGCTGGAGAAGGACTCCTGCAAGCCAAACCGGCCATGAGGGTGCGAGTGCTTCCTTCGGATTGGAGCATCTCCCCTGCTCTGGCGCTCTGGAACAAGCAGTCTGCTTCCTTCGGCTCGACGACAACACAGCGCGGAAACTTCGAAGACTTTTCGGGTTGTTGAAGTTCTTGGAAGCGCTTGAAGAAGCCCAGGAAGACGGCCGCCGCTATACTACCCACACCACCGCAGACGAAGATGTGAGTCAAGTCCTCCAGCGTGGATACCATGCCGAGCGCCTCTTCAACCACGACCATGTAGGCTTGCATGACATTCTGAGGAATGCTGTCGTCGAAGTCGGTCCAAGAGGTACTGCTTACGAAGTGCCAGCCATTCATTCGAGCGTCCTCCTTTGCGCGACTCACAGACGCTTCATATTCGCCGTCAACCCGGATGACGACGGCTCCGAGGCGCATCATCATGTCAGCGCGACCTTCACTGACATGACTGTGAATGTAATCCACACATCGGCAGCCGAAAACCTTGGCTCCGTAGGCGAGCCCACGGCCCTGATTGCCGTCCGTCGCAACGCATACGGTAACGTTCTGGGTGAGATCCTTGTATTTCCCCGAGCGCAAGTCGGCTGATGATGGTCTTTCGCCGATTTTGCGGTAGACCTCGTCGGCCAAAATGCAGTAAACGGCGTAAGGAGCGCCGAGGGCCTTGAACGAGCCGAGATGGGTGCCGAAGCGTCTGCTCTCATCTTTGACGAAGATATTCCCAATGTCTAATTTCTTGGCCAATCGAGGCAGCGATCGCAATGGCTGAGGCTCGTACTCGGGCCAACTTTGAATTTCTTTCACGGCGGGACCCCATCCGTTAAGATTGTCAGCGCACACGGCAGCAACAGATTGGGTTCTTTCCGTGAGACGGCGGTTGTTGAGGTAGTGGGAATAAGTGATGGTCATAATGGCGAAAAGATTCCTGAAGTGAGGAGTTTTAAAGTGTTTTTTGATGAAATCATGAGCGTAATCTCACAAAAGAATCAATTGATGTTCGAGATATATGGTCGTATGTCGATGACCGATCTTGAAGCTCACCGAGTCGCGATACGATTGATGGTTTGCGAACTCGAGACCCACAGACGGCGTCTTTCACACCCGCCGACAAGCCTAACTTTGGTGTATGGTTCCCGGAATCTGTCAGTTATCTTCATATGCCGAACAAAAACTCCAATTCGGTCTTCTTGGTGCTACCTGCCTCGTGTTTGCTTGCAAGCAAGTTTCGGTGTAGCATCTCGGCGCCGAAAATGCTTGTACGCCGAAGTGGGTCCCGGGTCCCGTCCGGACAACGGCCGATTGACTGTTTCGCCGAGACGCTACCAAGCCATAAGGAAGCAACATCCTTCCGGCAAACAGTTTGTTTTCCGATTTCGTTTCAATTGGAAAAGTAGCCATTCTGGACTTCTCTTTGAAAGTTTCCCTTTGAAAGCCCTCCGAGTACCTAAGTACAGGGCCGGCAAATACGAACATACCCTCAAAGTCCGCCGCGAGTTGTCGATCGACGCCATCTTTTCATTCTACCCAAATAAGCCCACGATCTTTGGCATAATGAGAATCACTCAAGTCTATGTCGCAGTCTTATCAAATGGACCGCTCGCTGTTAACCCACCCCCGCATAAGGTTGGGATCATGAGTACCGCATTGCCGGATAATCGGCAACTTGCACGCTAGGCCGGTAGGCAGCAACACCCAACAACGCGCCCCTTGTGCGCCCAAGCGCGTCAGGTTGGAGCAGCACCAACACCCAGAAAACAATCGTGCCGTTACAGCTAACAGCAAATGGCAACGCAGAGAACAGCTTGATGAGAAACCTCAAAGATCTCACAGCTTCTTACGGGAGACACAATGGTTATCTTACCACATACCTCAGCAAGGACCTCTTCTATTACCGGCTTCCTAACATTGCCCAACGAAATATTGGTCAAAATATTCGACCTGGGAGAATCGAGCAGCCCAGAAGAACGCCAGGATCTATCAAAACGCCTACGCCTTACTTGCAAAAGGTTCTGCGATGTGAGTTCTCACTGGCTGATTGAGAAAACCACAGTGGACATCACCAGGCCAGACACTCTTGAACGCTTCAATGGTCTTGCAAGAAATTCAGCCATCGCTCGTGGGATCCGCCAGGTGTACTTGCGTCTGCACTTTTACAATCCATGGATGGCTTCCAGCATCGACAACTTTGCAACGGCGGTCTTCATGGAGTGGCAAGACAAGCTCGACATCTATGGGAATGTTTGGGACACCAACCCAACCGGCGGGGTTGTATGTGCAGAAAGAGGCATTCAACTCTTTCTGAAGGAGTCTTTTCCAGAGCCACTCTATCCGAGGAGGGACGGTGTGCGAAACGTTGACGAAATCAGTCAAACCGTCCGTGTTCGAGTGGCCGAACTCGACGTTGCCACCCAACAGGTTTTAGCCAAGTCCTACGTTCGATACAGATCCAAATTCGAAAAGCAAGATGCAATGCTGCGGACTGGAGGCTTCTTGAAGGTCTTCGCAGAAAGCTTTGCAGCACTTCCAGAATGCACGACGCATTCTCTTACGCTATACGACCGCGATCTCCATACCAACCGCCCATCTTGGGGCGTCGAAGTGGACTTGGACAATCCAAAACTGCGACAAGACGCTCTGGTCTCTATTCTCTCCCGTCCCATGCTCTGGGAAGACGCACGCTGGGCTGGGACGAGAGATGATGTCTGGTGTCATGTTCCAGTTGAGATGCTCATCGATGTTCTTCTCGAGATCGGCAAACATGACGGGGCCATTATCGACTATCTCTCCATCAACCTGACGGCAGCACCGGATTACGCACTCATGAAATCCGATGTACATCGTCTTCGAGAACTGACAGAAGCTGTCAGATCTCTCGACCTGTTCCAGTTTCGGTTCAAGGCGGATAGACCTGGCTGGTTTCGGCTATCATCCCAGCGAGCAATGAGAAGCCCAAATGAGATGAAGGCTCTGAACGACTACTTCGGTGCCATAGTGGCTGCCAAAACCTTGGCTTCGTTCGAAGTCGACCTCGGCGACTTCTGGGAAAGCGCTGGGCTCGGAGGCACAGCAGACGCAACCGCGCCTCTGGGCGCACGCTTTGACTGGTCCTTTGGTCCGGAGTTTCGCTCAATAAGCTTGTACGCAGCTTGTATGACTATCAGGGACTTCGAGAGACTGGCCAAATGGTTACCGGAAGACGTCGACGTCGGCCTGGACCACGTCTACCTCCTCGAGTGAAACTGGGCTGAAGTATTGCATCTGTTCAAAAGAACCTGCAAAACTTCTGTCAATATTCGCATTGATTGGCCGTTGGGTGGACATATCGACGAAGAACAGCGCGAATATGCATTCGCATCCCTTGATGGACGTTCTCGAGCTACTGGATTTATTCGAGGAGACGAAATCTCGAATCCCTTGGAGTATTCGCAAGCGGCATAAACCAGTAACGAGAGCACTCGCTAACATTTTGTGCAATTACGACTTGCCGAAATCAAGCTGGGCTTCAAGTATGGCCGTGGCAGATACCGACTGGTCGTCTGTCGTTGAATCTCATCACGTGTAAAAGAAGCAGTTGCGCATGACGCTGATTGACGATAGGAAAAGTGTGAGGTTGTATGTAATCATCATGGCATAATCTTAGCCAAGGGTATCTTAATTCGAAATTGCTTCGACGGGCTGCCGCCAGTATCATTATGTACAGTATTATGCAGAACCTAAGAAGATCTGCAGGCGAATGGCTTGTGTGCAGAGCCAGTCGAGGTTTCGTGGATCTATTGACTGTTAGCTTCAACATCAAGATTCAGGAATGCATGTTTGGACTTACAATATCTACGATGGTGGAGTAGGTTCCAGCACCCAGGGTAACAGCGCCAACAATGAAGGCAAGAATAGCGCCAGCACTGATGAGCATGTTCTCGCGGGAGTACCACTTACCCTTGCAGAGCAAAGCAAACCACATGATAGCCGGGATGTAGAACGAGAAGCCGGAGACGAACAGCGCCGAAGCCAGGGAGAGCAGGTCGGAAAAGATGGGGATGGCCTCAGCAATCACCCAGGCGATAATCGTGAAAATAACAACAAGGATGATCCAGCTAGCCCATCCCATGGTTGTGTTGATGTAACGCAGGTGAGAGTTCTTGAACATACGTCCGTGGATATATCGGAGAGCAACAGTCGAGTTAATCGAGCCGGAAATGAAAATAACCGGGAGCGCTACTCCAAAGGCAATCTTCGAGATGAGAGGCCCGGCGGAAAGCAACGCCGGGGACTGCACGGTCGATCCAATGAAGGCATAGCACAAAGCTCCGGTCAGGGTGTAAATGCCGATTTGAATGAAGCCAGATGCCCAAATGGACTTCATGTAATCGGTAGGCGTGTGCATCTCATCCATGAAAGAGAACTGACCGATCGCGAAACTGAAAGCAAAAATGATGTTGCTCACAGCGACGAAGGCTTCCGAGAAGGTCACATCTTTCTGGGGCCAGGCGGACCAATCGACACTCGACATTCCTCCAGTAGAGTTGGTGGCCTGAATACCGGTGGCGATGACAGTAATGCCAATAGCGGCGAGAATGGAGACGAAGTCGATGTAGCCGAGAATCGCGACCTCAGTGAACGAGGGGGGGATGGCGAGAATGAGAAGGATGATGGCGGAAACCGCGGAGAAAGCAATGGAGCAAACCTTGCCACCGTTGATATCAACCAGCGCGATACTTCCAGTCAACGCGTGGGAACCGACGACCATGACAAGTTCGAGCACCAAAGCAGCACCAAAAAGCTCGTATCCGATACGACCGAAGCGGCCAAACAGAAGTCTTCCGGCATCGGCGTAGTTGGCGACGTAGGGATGAGCAAGCTTGACTTGACCGACCAGATAACTGGTGAAAATCGAGAGCATGCCGAGCGTGATGGTCAAGAAGACTCCGGGGAACATTCCGAGGGTGTGATAGGCCGAGGGCAAACTGAGAGCACCGAGGGCGACGGCCTCGACGATGGTGACGATGGCCAGGCGCTTCCAACCGAGACGGTGGAAGTGGGCACTGCCCTCGGCGGCGATTTGCTTGAGGCGGTCATTGTTGAGCTCGTCGCTGGTCTCGCCGAGCATCGTCTGGTCGTTCATTTCGGGCCACGGGTTACGCGGCTGAACCTGCTCGGCGTCGGTCTTGAGATCCTTGTTCTGACCAGCGTTGGTCGTGTTGGTAATGGCGTCCGTCATGGTGGTGGTGGGAGGAGACGAACTGTTTCAGTCACTACCGGAACTCGAGATTGAGAAAGGACGTGAGACGGTTCGGAGAGTGAAGTTGAAGGAGGGAGGAGGGAGGAAGAGATGACGACGACACCTGGAGGAACGAGAACCCTGGGAGGCAAATCCGACGCGAAAGTTCTGACGTTTGCTGTCTTTTAACAGTGATCACCAGGCGCGAGTCAGAAAATCCGGATCCACATGGACGACAACGGACTGGAGTGATCCCAGGCCGGAGAGGTTGTCGTCAGTCGCATGGCCGGTGGCAGCCGGGGCTTCCTCCACAGAATGATCTCGCCCCCATGGGCGCCCAGAGATAGGAGATATCCCGTACAATACGGGGAACGCTGTCCGAGTTGATAGATCTAATTGTTTTGTGTCATTTTCTAAGAATTGCCCCGTAAAGACAGAATTGCCAGGTGCGTGAATGGTCGTTCTTCGGCCTGAGTCTCACGGCTACCCGGGGTTCTTGTTGCGGAGGACGCCATCACCATGTTTTGATGTCGTAAAAGAAGCTTTCCATGGCATGTTTGAGCCGCGCTAGAAGGCCCGCTCGGCGGTTCTCTCTTGGCACCTTACTCTATCCAGAAACACAAGCGAGGTGTTTTTAGGTAAAGAATGGAGACACTGCGGCTCCATTTGAGATTCAGATGGATGCAAGAATTTTCCACTTGTTCAAAGCCGAGCAAAAACCGCCGCTAGCCACTGTCGTTGAAGGGCGCTGCCCATCAAAACTCTTACGTCCGAGGCGGTCCAAGCGGAGACACATTACGTTCTTGAAATCTCTTCATTGGATGGGCACGCCGGCAGGCAGGTCATCTTCGAAGGCTGGTCCTGTTCTGAGGTGGGCTTGCAGAAATAACAAATTGGATTTGGCAGTCAAGTGATAAATGTGCTCATCGCAAAGGGCGCGAATGAGAGATTGAGCGACTCGTGGCTCGCCTCGTCGCGCTTCCAGTTCCCATGACAGTTCGCGCGTCTGTAGACCCTGAAATGCGCCTCGTCAGGGGTCAAATGCGTACCTTGCAGGGTTTTGCCAGCTAAACTCGTAGCGTGGAATTTCCCCCGATCTCGAATCCTGCAACTCGGGTCAAGAGGGGCGAGTTCGGTGTGGGTCTCTCCGGCATTTGACGGAACACCGGTTCATCGCATTCGGCTTACGTCGCGACCCAGATTTGCGACTGGGAACTTGCAGTCCACGTCTTCCGGGGCCGAGATACCGCGAATGACAATTTCTGATAGTGTAAATGTTTCCTTCAGACAGGCGAGTAATAAGTGCTATCATGATCACATGTGGGTTGTAAGTCATTGACAATTGCATGCATACCGCAGTGCCGGGACTTGAACTTCGCCTACTTTTCGCAAAGTAGTCTGCCAATTGGAAGACAGGAAACTCTAATCCTAACCTGAGGTTCATGGGTTCGAAGTTGACCGTTGTTGGCCTTGAATTAAGCCACGAAAGACATGCCATCCATTTGGCCGTACCTAACAGACCAGACTGTTGTCTAAGGACTAAGGTACTCATTGGGCCAACTTCCATGTCCCCCAGCCATGGCTATTCTAGACATAATTCTAGATGTACCCGGCTTTGGACTGTGAGAATGGGCACGTGGCAACACCTCTAGCCTTGATGATTTCGATATCGGGCAGCATCTCGTCCGTTCCTTTTCCTTTTTGTGGCTCAGGTCCAATCGTCATCAGATCGTACCCTTGCGGGTAATATCTATCTCCGCGCGATCCCGGCGCTTTCGCCCCAAGCATCCGTAACAACATCGCACTCGGTCCCCAGGTCGACCAGAATGTTGGTTTCATATACCATGGCTGCAAGACCTTCCTCTGGAAATTGTAAAGCTTTGTTTCGGGGTTGGGTGCTTCGTCGACGAGCTTGACAGCCGAGTAAGAAGTGCGTGGAAGTGCAAGGTGTCGAAGATAGAATTTTCGTGAGTTTCGGATAACGGCAAGGATAGTCGATAAAATGATACCCGGGGACTCAAGACTATTGCAGATTATTGTTAGTTCGATGCCTATACCCATTGTCGTATCCAGAGTATTACGTACCCGAGGCTCTGCACCATAACGTTATTCATATCAGAGGCCAGTGTCTTTCTCAACGTCGTTCGCACAAAATTAGGCAGAGAAGACACCGCCGCATCCACATAGACGCTGACGTATTGGTTCGTTTGCTCTGACGGCTTCGCGACCTCTTCCTCATACCGAACAACCCAGTCCGACAGTTCATTCGCGAAGTGAAGACCGTCTGCCCAGCCCTCCCTGCTCGATGGCAGTACATCGTATGGGATCTTTAGATCCTCGCCTAGAATCTTATGAAAGATGCCGGCGGCACATTTCTCGACGTCGGTCAACTTGCGCCATTCGTCCTTGTCAACAACTTCGACGATAGAAAGCAGGCTGTCTCCTAGAGTGTGCAGAAGGTCGTTATCCGTGATCTTGTTCGCTCGGCGGTATCTCTCGTGTCTGAAGCAGTAGATAAAGCGGTCAGCCTCCAAAAACTTGATCCCATTGATGGCTTCGTATGTAACTCACAAGTAGTTTGTCCTTGCCACAGCTGTTGCATACCGATCCGAGTCTCTAGGCTTGGATTGAGCTTCGCGCAGGAGAATTTCTGTGTCAACGGCTCGTCTTCCCGCATTACGTTTGGTGTTTTGTCCCGTAACCGCAAACAGTCTGGACATGGTAGGAATTGCTCCGGCCTAGTCATGTTCATTCGAACGTCAGCAAATGTTTCTTGAACAATCCAGAGCGCTGGGCTAAAATTTGGATCTACTTGCCTTTAGGAGGGAAATCTGGCGAGCTTTTGCCATTGCGCGAGGGAACTCGAGCTCTTGTAGTTGATTCATAATGTGCTGGGCTTCTTGGACGGTCATGCTAGATAACGGCCTCTTCCCAGTGACGAAAGGGGCTTCAATTGAAGATCTCCGTCGATATCTCAATCTTCGAACGAGCAAAAGATAGCTGACAGCGACGAGTGCGGCCGTCAGGAAAGCCTTGTACCAGGCCAGCTGAGGCGCAGACGAAGCGATATTTGAGAAGAACATAGTGACACGCAGTGTTGTCGATTTAACTTGGTGTTTTCAAAGAACCCCATGATGACCTCTGTTGTCGAAACATATGGCTTTATATGAGGAAATAGCTTCACAGATCCTTCCATCTGCTCAATGAAATTGATAAGTCCCCTTTGGTTGCTTGAAGGATGCCCGAAAGGGTACTCCAGCCGAGGTCCAGAATTCGGTTGTTTGTGGGTCTCAAACTCAATGTTAAATAACTCGAAGGCTGCTGAGCCAAGAGATGGGAATTGTTGAGGCCGAGGCAGATTCGCCAAGGAAGACCGGAGACCGGACCCGTCGCCCCATTTTAAATCCGGACTACTCCGGCCCCGCAGCTTCCGTCTCATACACCTCGGTCCGCTCCAGTGGCATGCCAAACCGGTCGGATTCCGGGGGCCTGGAGGTCTCACGAAACCCGTCTAACACATGAAAATTCACAAGGCAGATGAGTGGCCGACTTGGGCTCCGAGGATCTACTTGGTCAATTGCTCCAGCTGAACCATTGCAAATTTACCTGTGATCGATTTGATAGCTCTCGTCAGTGGTCTTTGCTAAAGATTGATGGTGGCTCAAGCATTGATTCCGAGAAATTAAGTTCACAGACTCCGTTATGAGAGCCAAGCCAGGCTGCAATTTGTCAAGACATCATTCCACGTTGCGTGCGCCATGGACATGTCTCACAGGATGGACGGGGCCTTATTGGCATTATTTTTTAAGCTATTAGTACCCGGAAAATGCGGTTTTTTTTTTGGGAATTAAGACGCTAAATCTGCAGTCAGCTGGCATCGGAGCACGAAGAGGGAGGGCATGTATGGTGGATCGTTTGAGCTGACCACGGGGGGCTTCCCAACGGAGCCCACTGGCGACCGGAACATGAGCTTAGCTTACATGTTCATACAGATGCAAGAAGTTGATCATTTAAAACATCAAGTTAGATTGTGTACTGATGCATCTGTTTAGGTGTATGCAGTTACTTCAGCAACTCAAAGCACGTTTTATTCAAGCAGGTTCTCATCGGAAACGACAGTGTATCGTCCTTTCAATTTTGCCACAGATCAACTACGTGTAAGCTGCACTTTTTCGAAACACCCGATCCAAAAAGCTCTAACAAATTCACTCCATCTTTAGTCGACAGCTGAGAGTTCACCGTGCAGCCTGAAGTTAGACTACAACACCCCGGTTCTGTATGGCATCATCGTACACTTCAGCCACGGTCCGAAACTTCAAGTTCTTAAAGTACTTCTCCCTGTGACGCTGCACCTTGCCATCAGCAAAGGCGAGGGCTTCCGAGTGCCCCATGATCTCGTACATGGCAGCGGTGGCAGTGGCTTCATTTTCGTTGGCCATAAGTTGCTTGATACTCTGGGCCAGAGACTTTTTGACCACGACGTAATCAGGCTCTCGACTCTTCACGAATTCCCAAAGCTCCCTCCACGTCATTTGCTGGCCAGAGACGCAGGTATATGCTTCCCAGTCGATGGAATCGTGATTGAGAAGAACGGCGACCGCGCGGGCTGTGTCTCTGCCGGCAGTGAAGTCCACCTTTTGACTGCCACTGCCGTAAAGTGTGAAGACTTTGGTCTCATGGTTTTGGACCCATAGGTCTCCTATGTCGGAAAAATGGCGCTGGGCAGTCGGGACGAGGTAATCGGCTATCCAACCCTGGCAGACAAAGGTCCAACTAACATCTGTTTGTCTTTGAAGGGCCTCGCGAATGGCTTCGAGCTGGTTTCCGGCAAAGAGTGGTTGATCAGGAACGTCCTCGTAGTTTCCGGCCCAGGCTGAAGGGATGAATCGTTTGCACTTGGGAGACTGCTTGCAGGCTTCTAGAAGAGCTAAGTGCGAATCGGTGAATTCAAGGGCTGCTGCAGTGATCCCGCAGATGACAGCGTCGCAATCCTGTAGATGCCCGAGAAGATTGGAAACAGAATAATCGGTGATTCTCTGATCGACTTCCAAGAAGTCCTTGCGACTGCGGGTGATAGCAACCACCTGGTGGCCCTCCTTTGGGAGCTCCTCCAGTAGGTACTTGGCGACGTCTCCAACTCCGGCAACAGCGACCTTCATGATGCTGGTTTGATGAAGTATATGGCTTGGGCTTAAAAGAAAATGGTATGATCTGAGTCAAACAGAATCCATAGTGATATGAGGAACGGCGTGGCCTTTTTGTATTCTCTGTGCTCGAGTTTGAAGCCCGCCGCAATAGCAGGAAATCGGATCCCGAGGGAAGCGACAAAAGTCAATCACTGCTTGGCGCTTAGAAATCTAGCGGACGATACTTATGAAGGGGGTCGTAATTGATGCAATTATCTCGCTTGATTCGCTGGCAAATCTGTCCTCGCGATCGGGGCACCTTCGATCTCAGGCCTCCCGCCGACCTCACGGGACCGAAAAATCTTGGTTCGGCCCAGGAGAGACAACCAAGGTACGGCAGCTTATTCACCGACAACAAAATCTTCCATGTGCAGTCCTTCCGCCAGGCTCATGAGTTCTGTCGGGGAAAGTGCGAACCCTCCTGCATTCTCCAGAAGCCCCCACTCCATCAGAGTTTCGACGGACTCGGTGTTATCAGATATTGAAGTTTGTGGATCATGATACTCAATGGTTTCGTTGTCTGGGGCAACTGGTTCGCGTGCTGCCGAAACATTGGCTTCAGCAATAGCTTTATCGCTTTTCAAATATGAAGCGATAGTCTGCTCCAGGCGTTCGAAATCACGTTTTCTCAGCCGCGCAGCAGGGCTTCCTCTCGAAATCATGGTGTCAAATATGCAGTGTGCTTCAGCCAACCATGATCGATCAGGAACAAAGTCTGGTGATACGGCATCGAGTACTTTAAGGAGAAATGCCGACGACCAGGCTGCCTCTAGTTGGAACGGAAGGAAACAGTCTACAGCCAGACGGTTTTAGCAGCCTGTCAGAGTGGAAATCGGAGTAGCGATGAACTTGCCCAATAGATTACAATCTCCCAAAGCTTTGAGTGCCTTCAGCGTGTTTAAAGCCGATGCTGTACAGGTTTGGAGGAGAGAGCCGATAGGCCCATCTGGCGATGAATGGTTGTCGTCGCCTCTGGCAAGTCGTTTTTGCAAGACACACATTACCAGGGGTCGGGTAGTCAAGACAACACACTGTCGTTCTGCTCGTCAGCCTTCGTCATTGAGATGGAGTTCCTGGACTGGAATGAAACTTGCATGATGATAGGACAAAACCAAGCGGGTGGCTACTTTGGATGTACGGACATCAGATCCTTGAAGCGTTCTTTCCATATAAGAGTCCAGGTGTCTTGAAACGATGGCAAGCTCATGCAAAACGGATTGCGTCTCTTTCAGAAGACTCCCATCAAAATGCCGATCCACACCATATACACCTATATGACATACTTAGCAAAATGACTGAAGTAAAGGAGATGACAGAGGTGGGCTCACCATTCAGGATAGTTGCTGTCAAGCGAGAAAGTCGGATATGCAACTCCAACGCTGCAGCTTCCTGGCTGTTGCTGACCTCTGTTGGGAGCTTTGTCGTTATGTCTTCGTCCCTGATAGAAGACGGAGCTCCCACCAAAGTTGAAAATTCTCGATCGATGACGTATGCAGACCAAAACACTGTATTGCATCGCTGGGCATATTTTGACTCAATTTGCTCGACGGGCATTCGCCTGTGAAGACCATCAAGCACGCATATTCTCAAAGCTTGGCCCACCTTAACATCGTTAAAGTCAGCGGTATGTTTAGCAACATAGCTGTGTAAAGTTGTTTTACGAACCAATTGGAAGGACATCAGTCGTAAATCCAATGCTTGAAGGTACAAAGCGCCCAGACAAAGAGCTTCCGTAGCTCCTAATGGGTCCATCTCCATAGGTACAATAGTTGGCAGAAGAGCCAAGGCACGGGAGGCATAGCTTATGCCTGGAACAGACTTGGATCTTCCTGTCGAGTTAAAGGCTTCTCCAAAAGCCAGAACAAACAAGAACTGGCTGTACCAGTATCTTGAACGATTGGCCTCCGCAGTGGGATTCTCGTACAAGCGTTCCACTCGCTGGTGAAAAGATACGTGGTCGATGATCCTGTAGAAAGAGCCCAAATGATACTTGGCAGTTGCCAAGAGATACGTCGCATAGTCGTACGACGGTAGGTTACTCACATCAAGCTTTTCGTTAAGGCCGACGGGATCCCAAGTCAGATTCAATGTATCCAAATCCCAGGGATAACTGGGAGGTTCTGGATTAGGCATATTATTGCCAATAATTGTAAGCACTCGCCTGCAAAATGCCCACGATGATGTCGGCCCCATGAACCCTTTGTGTTGCATGAGTACCAGATTCCAAAGTCTAAGGTGCGGCAGAGTGAATGTCTCACAGTATTTTCCTTGGGGATCAAGGGCAAAGCTCTCCCCGTTGTCTACCAAAGGGTTCGTCTCAAACTCTATTGGAGATGAATGATCTTGGGCCTCCCCATCCTCTCTGTGGATCTTATCCGGATGATAAGGGCTCGACAAGTCTTAAGAATTGATCAAAACCATTAGCAAAGCGGTTTTACAATATGAAAGTATCTGAGAAGGTCATCATACTTGGGTATATGTCTCTACTATCACGCAGGGTCCCAGTAACATTGTCATTAGAGCTTGGGGACTGTCTGTTGATCTGCTGAGAGAGAACAGTCGACTGTGGCGGAGACGGAATCGATTCCCTTGTATGAGCCTGATGGCGACGTGGCGAGGATCTTTGAGATTGTAGCCGAAGACCTTCTCGGGGGCGGCCATTGCGGGTTTCTAAAGCTCTCAGGTAACTGTAACACCAAGTTAGAGTTGATGAATAACATGAATTGAGCGGAGAACCAAGGATTGAACGGTCGGCACTTTCCTTTCTGACACAGTAACGCGGGTCTCTTCTGGTCTGAAATAACAGCTTTCCTTCTTCTTCTGACATCGTGAACATGGCACCGTGCCTGAACATCGAACCTTCATATCACGGCATCGTGCGCAACTGACAACGTCAACATTGGGTCAGTGTAAATCACATTGAACTTGTCATTGAGGAGACTTACGCTCGATTGCATCTTCGATTAGCTCTGTCGGAATTGTTCATGGGCGTCGACATGATGTGATTGCTGTGTATGCGATAATTCGGGACGGCTCCCCGCAACCGACAACGCGGGGCATTCGGAAATAGGAGACATCGGCGGCCGGCCCCACAGACCGATATCGGCCCCACTAGCCGATTTCTCGGTCCGATTTCCAATGGAAGGTCTGGAGTTCAAGTTCGAGGACAAGATGCCTGTAGCGATGGCGCAGTTTCGGAAAGGAAGATTTTCTGTAACTTGTGCGCTCATATCTTGACAGCCTTTCGCATTCTGGACGAGTCACTGCTACTTCTGGTTGTCGTGGTAATCATTCACAAATTGGTATAAACAATGGACGAAGTGAAAAGCCATCAAGAGCCACGTTGTACTAGTAGGCGATAAAAAAGAAATGCTTTTTTTTTTGCTGCACAGTTACTATCTCAGAAGAAATCCCGGAAAGATGGGATCGGAAGGATCGATGAAGAAGCTCATGCGACCGACCAAATTGGCACTTCCCCGAACCCGAGGAATGCAAGCAGGAAAACCCTCGACTGGACTCTGTTCCTCTGATACGATGTCTCCCTGAAATGACGTTGAAATGATTGATTGGTGCAAAAGCTTTGAGCGCCCATGAGCCAATCTGCCCTCGGCAAGAAGAACGGAAAGCCTCGCACCCGTCCCAGAGCCACAAGGGCTGCGGTCAAGTTGACCATCGGCAAAGATGGTCACACTTCGCTGCTTCACCCCCTGCATCTCGTTTTTCATGTCCCCTTCTTCGTTGTAGAAAATGACACCGTACAAGTCATAAACACCATGGTTGGCTCTCTGACCAATCGAGGACTTGATCTCGCGCCCCAGCTTGATGAAGTCCTCATATCGACTTGGTTCAACCGTGAGACCAAATTGACTGGCATCTAATGTCGCGTAGACAGCCCCTGAGAAGGCAAGGTCGACATGGATGGTCATGTTTCGGGAAGGGACCTCCACGGGCAAGTCTTTGACGAGCTGGTAGCTTACTACGTTGACGAAGTCCGCGTGTACTGGCTCGTTTTGCTTGACAGCCACCCTGGCAACAACTCGACCGGAAGGAACATCGATTACAACGTCAACCTCTCCGTCATCCTTTTGAGTTTGGACGATGCCCTTTGTAACGGCCCAGAAGCCTAGAGCAATCGTTCCGTGACCGCAAGCAGTAGAGAAGCCATCCTTGTGCCAAAATAAAACACCAAAATGAGCGCCATCATCGTCGGGTGGTGTGATGAAGCCGCCGTACATATCAGCGTGGCCTCAAGGTTCGTGGCACAGTGATTGGCGTAAGATGTCCAAGGGGTGACCGGAATCCCGGATGACAGCAGAACGACGCTCAGCTACTGTCGTCTCTTCGGGAAGATGGTGTGGCGGGAGCTTTTGAATGATGCGAAAGGGTTCTCCGGCAGTATGCCAGTCTTCGGAGTCGATCCAGAAGGATCCTGATGCATCAACGGCCATTGCGTTTTCTGAAGGTAACGAAGCAATCAAGATGAAATATATAAGTAGAGGGCCCAAAAACTAATATGCTCTGAACCTTGAATCTTTTTTGAGGGAGACGGAAGCTTCGAGTCTGTATGGCAGCTTGTCTTCCGAAAGAAGTTGATCATTCGATGAAGGCGGGGTTTTTATTACTGGCTCAAGGCCCCGGGAGAGGTGGTTTGCCGAAAAGCGCATGCCCGGGACCTCTACCCACAGCAGCCCGGCCCGAGCAAGCCGACATAGAATATCACAAGCTTGCCTATCTGACCATCGTTTTCTAGGCACATGATCTCTTGTATGATTCCCAAGACTAAGGGTACTTGTCGTGAATCTCTGCTCACGACATATTCAAGTGATTCGAGATCAGAAAGATTCTTCGCTGTGAAAATTTTGTCATAGAGAATTCGTTTGCAATTCATTATTCTTCTAGTTGCCATCATGGTGCTATCCACCATACGAATCAACTACAATCTCTTTTGATAAGCTTTTAAACGGACCAAACACTAACGACTTCGTTTTTCATTCTTTTGTCCTTCTGCTAGAGGCATCAGACGCCATGTCTGCCTATTGGTTGTCTCAAGTACGGAGATAAAAGCAAAGGGAAGCAACTTGTAAGCTTTGTGTTTCCCATAATGCACAGTGATATTTGCTCAGCGGAATAGATCCATGTATATGGCTCTATCGACGACTTGTGAGGACCCAAGCTACACATAGATTTTAAGGTTTATCACCATGGCAAGCGAACATGAAGTGGACCTCACACCTATTGTCGGCTCTTATGCTACCATTGATAACCCTGTGGACATTAGGTTATGAGAATGGCATCAGGTTCTGTAACCCCGACTTCCCTGCGTTAAAACTTCCCTCTACATGCGAATACCGAACGAAGGACGGTTGGTCTAGTGATTGACTGCAACACTAAAATCTGACAAATCTTGTCAAGAATTGAAATCGAAGTTAAACCGGCTGCAAGAGCAGCAACGTTCTAATTTCATCAAGAAGGGATGCGGAACTTGAGCAGATATCGCTCAGCCGTTGGTGTCAGCACGTCAACACTTGAAAACTAGTCGAAAGCCCAAACCGGGAGCCCAGGAGTTAGTACCACGTCAAAGCAAGGATTCTCACAAGCCAGAAGGCGTAATATCTTAGATTCGATGCATGTATTGATGTATGCTTCATTTTCTTTGTGTTTAATGAAAGTTTTGTGGGCAAACGAAACTCTGGCATCGGTATTGAGGGGCTGAACTGGTTGCTCAATGAGACGTGGGTTCTATTGGGTTTGATATCCGTCGAGCGATCTAGCTTGAAGATACAACTTTGATTTTCCGACATCTCCATGATTGCTGACTCTTTCTAGTTAGATAAACATATGGTGTTATTCTCACAAGAGCAATGCAGCATTCAAGTTCCCAGCCAGCCGAACCTTACAAATCCATTCTTCCGGCTTTCAAAAGACCGATGCCGGTGTGTCGAGTCAAGGGTCAAGATAAGGGCGAAATCTGGGGTTTCGTTACAGGGATCGCGTCTTGGCTGCTAGAAGTAGTTTAGCGCTTTTCGCACAGACTGCCATCGTCCCGATCTCTTGTCAAGAATGACCCCGCTAGCAATTCCCTTCGCACATCAACTCCGCAACGTCTCTTGACCGTCGACTCGAAGTGCCGTCCGCAAAGCCACGTCAAGAAGCAAGCGGCCGAGCATGTCTCAAAAGCCATGCAAAATGCATTCTTTGCTTCCAACTCGTGCCGCAACTGCCGCCAAAAACGGGTCAAGTGTGACAGGCGGCTTCCTGGTTGTCTGCGCTGTTCCTCCCTGAAGCTTCGATGCCAGGGATATGAGCGGCTGAAAAAGCTGGTGTGGACCAACAGTATGGCAACCAGGGGCAAAATGATGGGAAAGTCTACGTATGCGACACCAGAAGTACCTACTCAAACGCTTGCGATCGGTAATGCTCGTCTTTCTGGCGAGGGTATGTCCGCGACGGCAGTACAGGCCTACCCAGCTGTATCGTGGTCACTCACAGAGCCCATTCTGCAGGACTTGTCACCGGAGTGCAGGAAGTACATTCGGTATTGTAAGTTGCATGTAAGACGGTCCGTCCTTAGTCTCAGAAGCTAATGGAAGCGGTTGGCAGTTGATCTGGATCTATCCCGAGACTCTGTCGTCTATGATCAGCCGTCTACCAATCCTTTCTTGGCTATGCTGCCTCTCATATCAAGAAGCCAGGCTTTATCTCACGCCATAGTCTCGATATCTGCGTTCCACCACACTCACCGTATGGTCATAAGCCATACACAAACCCTTCCCGGAGGCCTAGCTGCTCTTAAAATGGTCGACCCTTGGCATTGCTTGTCAAAACATCATGGCTGGCATATGTGTCGGTCAATGTTCTGCGATCCACTGCGTACGGCATTATCACACAAGCAGCAAGCTCTAGAACGTCTCAAGAAAGAGGTCCGAGATGACCCAATGATGAACAGTGACGCAGTGGTCGCCGCAATCATTCTCTTCGTTTGTATGGACGTGGTAGAGTTCGGAAGTCATGGGTGGAACCACCATCTGCGAGGCGCTGAAGAAATGGTTCGAAGCAGAAGACAATTTTGCAGTGACAAGGATAACATACCAGCGCCCTGGTTGAAGTACTTCGACACAGCATGCACAACGTATGTATTGACTTCTACAAATGATAACATCTATCACCTGGCTAACCGTCAAGACAGCTTCGGAATACTAGGAGCAACTCTTGCGCCTTCCATTAGCCCCTACGTGCAAAAGCATCCAGTCATGAACCCTTCTTTCCTGCAAACCCTACGCCAATCAGAAAACCAGACATGGGTCGGATGCCCTGCAGAGTTGTTGTATTTGTTATCTGCAATCAACTCGATCCGCTCTCTTCCTCCTACAGCCACTAGCCGGTCGGATGTGACCCTCGAGCTGTGTGAAAACTTGGCCAACTTTTCTCCTCTAGCTTGGGCTGAAGACTTCCCAGATCAGCAACACCATGAGTCGCGGTGCCATCTCGCCCACGCCTACAAAGCAGCAGTTGAAGTATACGCGTCTCGCGTGACCGGTGCGAATCCCGGCCAACACTATCTTTCAAGTCTCTACATCCGGGAGATATTGCAGCCTGCTATGCTTCATCTACTGGCAATATCGCCTGAGGATTTCCATATTAAGAGCTTGGTTTGGCCGGCGTTCATTCTCGGCGCAGAGACACGCAACGAGGAACTTCGAGATATGGCACGCACAGTCTTCCAGCGTATTTGGGTGTCTTCTTGTTGTTACAATGCGAGGAACGCTGTCGAAATATTAGAAACTATCTGGTCACGAAGTATCGACAGCGATGCTGGGGAGTCGTGGCTGGAGCATGTCTGGCGGTTGGAAGAGACTTGGTTATTCGTTTAGCCTATCAATGTGATGCCCGGAAGTCAGTTATAACACCACCGTACAGACAGGTTTTCTGTTGTTCATATTCAAAAGCACTTGGCAGGTATCTGTACAACATGTACATATCCCGAATCAATACAGGCGCGAGACTGGACACCCATGATGCAGAGCGCTTTTCCGTGTTCGGAAAGCTGCGGGTCGAAACATCAGCAAACCGGGATGAAGGGTCCTTGCCAAGCTCGTGCCAGCGCCGAATTGTGGATAATGACTGATTGTGCTGCAGACTGGGGCCGACCCGGAAGCTTTCCGGGTCGGTTTTGAGGCCAGCAACAAAGTCCGAAAATGATATGGGGCTGATAAATACGGTCTCGCCGCTCTCCAACATCCCGCTTGAGCCTACCACTTCTCATCCCCTCACCTTCATGCCCAGTCATCTCCAGCAAAGATGTCTCCAATCCCTCACCCCCTTTGTCCTCTTACGGGTTCAGAGATCCAATATGCGGCAAAACTGATTCAGGGTGCCTGGCCATCGTCCGTCTCTCTGCAGTTCAAAGCTATCACTCTCAGTGAGCCCGCCAAGCATGAGTTGGTCCCTTACTTGGAGGCCAAAGATAAGGGGTTGTCTCCTTCGCCTCCTGATCGTCGAGTATTCTCTGCGTATTACATTCGTAAAACTGTAAGATTCAACGAGAACGTCCCATCTTACAATTCGGCACTGACATGCATTGCCATAGGAACTACTCCACGAAGCCATCGTCAACCTCACCACTGGAAAGGTTGAAAGCAACGTCAAGCTCGGAGCAAACATTCATGGCAACGTCGATTATGATGAGGCTCAGATGGTCGAGAAGATTGCTCTCAAGGACCCCGCGGTTCTGGCCGAGATCAAGAAGCTTGAGCTGCCGGAAGGCACCGTTGTCTGTGCAGACCCATGGATCTATGGCAAGTTGATTTCCGGTAAGGGCATCTAACACGTACTAACGAAGATCAGGAACCGACGGTATCGGTGACGAACAGCGCTTGTACCAGGTTTTCCTCTATATGAGAGACCCCAACAACTCTTCCGAGGCCGACTCGAACCACTACGCATTCCCTCTTCCCATCTCGCCGGTCATCGAATGCACCGAGTACAAAGTGATCCGCATCGATGTTATGCCGACAGGTGCCGACAACACCATTAAGCCGGTCAGCCCATATCAGCCCAAGCCTCCCAACGAGTACATTCCGGAAAGCCAGAACCTACGGAAGGACGTCAAGCCTTTGCATGTCAGCCAACCGGATGGACCTAGCTTCACAGTCACGCCGGTGGGCGAGACTGGAAATGTTCTCGAATGGCAAAAGTGGAGTTTCTTCATCGGTAAGTCTGGGATCTCGCAGGACTCTGTCTAGATATCATAGACTCGCTAACTCTCGACTCAAGGTTTCAACCAGCGCGAGGGCATGGTGCTTTACAACGTCAAGTACGATGGCCGTCCACTGTTCTACAGGCTGAGCCTGTCTGATATGAACGTACCATACGCAGACCCCAGGCATCCGTTCTTCAAGAAGACTGCTTTCGACTTGGGCGATGCCGGAGCTGGCGCTACAGCCAACGACCTCCAGCTTGGATGTGATTGCCTGGGAGCCATCCAGTATCTCAGCGGGGTCATCTCCGATGACAAGGGACAGCCTGAGGTCAAGAAAAACTGCATCTGCATCCATGAGCAGGATGCCGGTATTGGCTGGAAGCACACCAACTACCGCACCGGTCGTGCCGCAGTGGTCAGGTCTCGAGAGCTTGTGCTGCAATCCATCATCACCGTCTCCAACTACGAGTACATCCTGATGTTTCTCTTCAATCAAGCTGGAGAATTGACGTACGAAGTGCGTGCCACGGGCATTCTGTCCACCCAACCCATCGATTACGAGTTGGACAAGGTCGGCGTGCCCTTTGGCACTGTTGTCCACCCCGGTGTTCTCGCCGGTCACCACCAGCATATCTTCTCTCTTCGTGTTGATCCCATGATCGATGGCCACACGAATCAGCTCGTTTACCAAGAGGCGCACCGAATGCCTAGAGATCCCGAATGGAACCCTCATGGGATCGGTTATGGAGTCGTCGAGACGTCCGTGGAGAAGACTGCCGGTCTTGATCTCGACGTCGATCTCAACCGAACTTTCAAGATAACCAACCCCAATTCTATCAACCCAGTCAACGGCAAGCCGGTGGCCTACAAGATCATGGCACCTCCGTTCCAGAAACTGATGGGTGACGAGGAAAGCTACAATCACAAGCGGGCCGAATTTGCCGACCACAACATCTACGTCACAACGCACCGCGATCGGGAGTTGTACGCAGGTGGTTGGTACACGAACCAATCCCGTGGTGGCACGGGTGTGAGGACATGGGCAGAGCGTAATGAGACGCTATCTCCCGAGTCTGACATCGTTGTCTGGGTTCAGTTCGGCATTAACCATGTGCCCAGGATCGAGGACTTCCCCGTAATGCCGGTTGAGATTCTCAAGGTTCACCTGAAGCCAGTCAACTTTTTCGATAAGAACCCTGCGCTTGATGTGCCTCCTAGCGAGCAAAAGTTCAATCAGAGCACGTTGGTGGAGTCAAAGAAGGTCAAAAGTAGTGCCGAGGAGGGATGCGGATGCGATTCCTCTGCCACACCTAAGCTGTGAGCAGCCTCGACGCATATGTTCAGTATACTTTAGGACATTCATTCATAGCTGGATTTGGATTCGAAAAATCAAGAAACGTAATGAAACTTGCATAATTCCCATCAAACGCGACAGACAGGACAAGATGCTCAAGCTGGCATTGGTCCGAGGCTCTACGGGTAAGAAAGACCTGTCAAAGTGACAGGTAGACTTTTTCTTCAGATACAATTGTACTACTTGCTGGACTGAATGCGAGGCCTTGCAAAGGCATACCAGTGTCTTTGAAATATCTGCCAACATGACATAAACAGACTGTGCACAATCATGTACGAATACTACTGTTCTTGCAGTCACGGACTCAGAGATGATAGAAAACTAATCAAATACTTGATTCTAGGGTTTCCCAGGACGATTCAACTCCATGGCGTATTCATCATCAACAGTTACTCCGGTCGAAAAGAACGACAGAAAGCAGGCTCGTCCAACCACCTCTCCATGCTGGCGTAAAGAGACGAAGTGTCTTCTCCACTGACTAACTTGACATCAATGTCGTATCCCAACATGTTCTGAGCCGCACCAAGGTATTTGTATCCCAAAGGATACTTGGCCAATATTTCATCGGTGAAAGTCGGCATTCTCCCAGTTCCGTCGACGGAAACAACCTTGTCTTTCTCGTACACCAGCTTGACGAACACAGCTTTCTATTCGTGTCCGTCGTCAAAAGTGGTTTTCTCGCAGAAGAACATAAACCGGCAATCGCAGTCGATATCATACTCGAAGCCTTCGGGATGCTTGAAGCGCTGGGTGATCGTGGCCTTCATCTTGCCGATGGCACGATTCGTTTTGGGGTTGAGCTCGACAAGAGTACCGCACTCGCGGTGCATGATGAAAGCACCAGACTCTTTTCCGATGATTGACAAGCGGATGAAGTCTTCGATGGACTGCATGCCACTCCAAGCTAGGTATTAGGGAGCTCTTGTTAGCAGAATCTGGGTTTGAGAATGGGTGTGAGGGCAGGGATTGGAAGACGGACTTGTCCAAACGTAGGCGTCGTCAGAGAATATGGAACGGTAGTTTTCCCATTCGTTCGCATCGCGATAAACCGGCCACCCTTTGCAGAGCTCTGACACGGCAAGACGATCGAGGAGTTCGGCAGTCGTACCTCCTGTGTGAGAATATTGGCGAGTGTGAGGATCAGTCATTATGGTGCTTATGTAGATAGAATGGGTAAGAAGCTGTGGCTTGGTTGTTAGGGTGAGCTGACGAAATGATAGATGCTGGAGAAGACGTTGTCGTTGGGGGCAATTTGAATGACGGGTCTAGGTTGGAAGGGTTCTGATTTAAAAAACATCTTGCAGATCTTTATAACTTTTGATCAGTCAAGAGCGCTGCATCTCATCGTGCCCTCCTTCAAGAGGTTCCAATGAGTGACCCATGCCATCTCTAACAGGCCGGTGTTTCGGCATTCCTGGAGCACTTGCCTTCTATGGCATCCATTGATCGCGACTGCGTTACCAGACGGGCATGAACTTCATTTGTGCTGGAAGCTGCGGGAAGCAACATTGCGGGAGACCTTTTACTGCAACTTCGAACACTTGGAAGCTTCGACTTGGATACCTGGCATGGACTTCCACATGCATTCGCTTGTGGCGAGTATCCTCTGACAAACATGCACTCGCCTTCCCCGTTGTCAACTTCCTGGGCAAGATTTCATTCCACCATTTCTCTAACTATTGCGCAGATGCAGAAAATGGCCTCAACGCTTGCTCCAGAGAAGTTGATAGCATTAACATCTTCCATCTGCAAATCTATAATCTATGACGTATTCCAAACAATGTTCCTGGTATTTTAATACCATGATCTCCACAGAAGTCCTTGAAGAACACCCATATTTCTATTCTTATGACCAGTCTCCGTCATCTGTGATCTTTTCTCCGCGCTCGGAGAACGCCAGGAGCTCGCTCACCGTCCAAGGCTGGAATATATGGCCAGGAGGGGTGTTCGTGTTCTTGAACGGCTCTCCGGTAAGAACATGGCTAGCGCATTCCGCATAGTTGTCATAAGCGTACTCTTCGGGATTATGCTGAGAAACCCATTTGCCTACTTGCTGAAGGATCGAAGAGGGATCCTTTGCCGCCGCATCCCAGTCAGTATTATGGAAGTTCTCTCTGTTCTTGAACCCCATTTTCTGAGCACATGTAACCCGCTCAAACCTGTGTATTAAGGATCAGCCACCAAAACTATGACGGTATACATGAATGCAAAAGTTGAAGACTGTCAAGGACGAACCTAAGTTTGTTTTGAATTCTCAGAGCTAGAGATGCATCTTTCTTACCACTGCGATGAAGCAGAGCTGCAAGGGATATCGCATCTTCCAGCGCCATTGTTGCACCGCTCGCTGAAGTCGGCAGAAATGTGTGAGCTGCATCGCCAATTTGAATAACCCTCGCTTTGGGGGATATCCATTTCTCTCTGGGATTCCGCCACATAAGCTTGAAGTCGACTACTCCGTGTTTCGGGGCCACTTTGACGAGCTCTTGCAACCACGGTGCCCAGCCTTCGACATATGGGAGAGCATCTTTAGGGTCTGCCGGCTTCGCCCAGTCTTCCGCTGCATTTCCATCGTCCTGGACTAGTCAGTTTCAATTCACGAATGTTCAAGATATGCGCAAGAACTGAAAGAGATCGGGTATTACCTTATGCGTGAGCATCCATATCATATCCTTGGGTGTCTTTCCCATCACGAGGTGTGCACCAGGACCGAAGAATAGGCGGCTGGCACACTCAACACCACCAATCGCCTCAGCAATGAGTGGGTTTGCCATCGCCAACTCGACTGGGAATGTGCTTCGGAACACGGCGAAGCCTGAGCTGATGGGTTCTTCCTTCACGCCAGTGACTAAACGCCATGACCGAGACCCAATGCCATCAGCAGCGACGGCAATGTCGGCGGTCAACCTTTCACCGCTTTCAAGTTCAACGCCGGCTTGATCATCAGTTTCGAAATAATCGACCGCCTTGGCAGAGTAGCGGATCGGTATGCCAATACGCAGCGCGTACTGATGCAGGAGCGAGTGGAACTCTGATCGACTCATCCCCAAGCCTTCCCCCAGCTTACCGATGATTTGGCCATCGAACTTGTACGCATCGTATGATCTGGGGAACGGCGTCTGGTAACAAGCCTCAAGGAAGCCAGGCCAGTGCTTCATGGAGTGCAACACGGAGTCCCCGATCCCAATGATATCTCCTATGCAATGTGCTCAGTTTGTATCCTGAGAGCCTTGGTATGTTCAGTCCAGGGAGAACGTTGCGCTTACCGTAGTCATCGAAGTTCGGGCGTCGATCAATAATGCGAATATCATAACCCTTCCGATATCCTTCAATAGCAAAGCCGAGACCAGCAATTCCGCCTCCAACCACCAAGATTGATAGGCCGGACAATGACCGGCGCTTGAGAGACTCAGTGTCTGCGAACTGGTTTGCGAGGGAGCCCATGTTGAAACTTCGGCATGAAAAGGAGATGGCGAGAAGTTGGAATGAATTAGTAAAATCCCCATCAAAGTGTTTAATAACGTGTAGGAACTGCAAACTTATACTTGTGAATGAGTAGAACATCTACGGCATCTATGGCTTTCCGGGCAATTCGGGCAAGTTGAGATGCCGATTTGACTGTGGGCCAGGGGCCAGCTGGGATTTTGACGATCCTCGGAATCGGGAGGCTTCAAGGTGCCGGTTCCCAGCAGATCAGCGAGCGAATAGACAAGTCTATTTTAACATCCATCGATTGTCGATTTTGAGCTCGATTCAGTACTTTATGTTAAGAAACACGCAAGAGACAGACGCAGAATAACCTTAGCTCATTCTCATCTAGTTCTCCCCAAAGAAGGAGTATGTTGAAATGGTCTATTGGCACAAACAGCGACAGCAACGTGATGACTGACTGCACGTAGATAAATCTTCACCGCTATATATGTTGACCTTGGGTGTCCGTCATGTCCGCTCCCCTGATTCATGCAGGAACCTGTCACAACGTCTCCATTGAAAGTAGCATCTGGTGTTTGGAAGTTCCTTACTAAGCGGGAGTTCCTCAACGACCCGCGTCAACTTGTTCATCCATGCAACTTTCGTTCACGTCGGAATCCTCTGCGAAAGCAGCATTGTGCCTACGACCATTGCATGGCCTAGTTCTCGAGGCAAGACTCTAGCTGGAAGCAAGTTCCTCGCGCACACAAGCCAGCTCGAGCTTTCCCTACGCTTTCCTCGTTTTTGACAGAGTCTTCTTTCTCTGCTTGATCATATACGTATACATCGTGTAGGAACCTCCATAGCAGTTAGTTTCAACGTGCAATCAGGCCGCTCATTACACTTACCTGGGATGTACAAGCATAAACAGAAATAGAATATAGGTGGAATAGCACCACTGATGCGGCTTCCTGGTTCGATGGCCTGATACAGAAGCCACCATTCAGACGCAATGCCGATGGGGTACAAGGGGTAAAACAAAGTATACCTAGTTCGAGTCAATATCAAGTTCCCATTCCATTTACTTCGCTACTCCCTATTGGCAGATCAACTCACCGCAACCAGACAAGACTGCTAGAGGCTTTCCCATGGAGATTCAATGCCAAGTACGTGTACCGGATGGTATCAGCAGTAGACCACGCCAACACAAGTGCCAGGTAGGCATGAGAGGTAGCTGTACTCTCTGGAAAGCTGAACCACACCATCCAGACAATGATAGTGCGTGCAACTACCTGAAGTGCCGTAGTTCCAACAGGTGACTTGACTAGACCTGGATATCAAACTTTTGTTAGAGCTAAATGTCTTATCAACCGTATACCTGTACCCGTAAGGCACTCACCAACAGCAGCATGCACAACTTCGATTAGCGTGAGGGTCTGAACCCATCGCGCTCGAGGTTCCGTCGCTTGAAAAATCCCAATCTGGCCATTGGGGATATTTTTCACGGCGCCGATGAAGATTGACGCCCATAGGCCTGCGAAAAGAGCGTTGTAGAGCGTCAGGTACATGACTCGCAGTCCCTGCGAGGGGCCACCGTTGCCGCCCGCCTTGACGTCGGCCATCTCATCCAACAACTTTGAGGTCGGTAGTCGGTAGGTATCTCTCCGAGTTGATGCGCAGAGGTATTTAGCTCGATCGGAAACTCTTCCAAGAAACCCATTTCTCCTGCCAAGAGCCCCGTCCGCTGACTAACGTGAACTCCACCAGTTGAATGAAGGTGCCGAGGCACAACGGACGGCCAGCTAACCCAGTCTGGATGCAAAGCCGATCGCTCGTCGCTTCACCGAGTCCACTTCACGGAGAAGCTACACCGAGACGGATCACAGGGCTGCTACACTGCATCTTGTGGATTGAAACGAGGGTTGAGGGAGTCCTCACGAGACTGTTTGGCTTAATTCAAATGCGAGAAAAATTCTCTTCTCTTTCACCTAAGCACGGCAGCTCGTTTAGATTCTCCAATCCTGTTATGTCACAGTCAGTGTAGGATGCGAGAAGAAATTAATGGCAGTAAGAGACTATAAACGTCATGATCTTCTAAGTTCGTAGCATATACAAAAGGCAAATCCGTTTTCCTCAAAAGGGGAATACAAGTTCACATATGTACTGTCAAGTGAAAGTATCACCGATATCATGCTGGCCGCAACTCTCACTCAGCGCGAGCGAGAGAACAGGCAACACGAGAAATCATGGTAAACAAAGCCGCGTAAAATACGAAAAAGGGCACGGAAATTCCGAAGGAAAAGCCGGCGAAACCCATGTGAGCAGGCGACCAATGTAACGTCACCCAGCAGCAGCATGCGGGTTCCCCGCAGTCTGGGGAAAGGAGATCGCTCTCATGATCCGAATCGCGGGGTCTCTAGCCACTCTGAGAGGTTCTTCGCTCAATTACTTCCTATTGAGGGAGTTACAGGCACATTCAGACTGCGGCACAGGAACTGAGGTGGTGGAACCATTTTCCGCATATGACCTTACTGGCATTCATCAGCGTCACTTTGTTTCTTTCGGCAAACATCCCAGACGGAAGTAGACAACATAACCGGCGGGACCAAGAGGTATAAGTAGGAAGATTGCCTTGTTTGACCATGTCTGATTGTGCCGAATGCTCATGATGCACCTAGCAGAGGGAAATCTGGCTCACAAGCGGCAGATAGTCCGGCATGTGTTTTCAGGCCCTCTGTGGATACTGCACTTACCCAAGTCCTCGGTCCCTCTACGGATGTTTCTATGGGGAGATTACATGACGCATGCACGAAATAACCAGTATCAACGATGGTAGCATGGGGGTAAACATTTCCACTTTCGTCGCCAGGACAGTGAATCTCTCCTGTTTACCGGACATCTTGCTTCTGCAAGAAATATAAGTATGGAATGAAAACACTCTCCCCATCGGCTCTTTCTTCTCCCCACCACCATCGGACAACATTGCGAAGTTGCAAAAATGGCCAGACTTCGCTACCTGCTGTACGCCCTGGCTGGGTTCTTGACTCCCGGAGTTTTTCAGCATGTCACTGCTGAATCAATCCAATGCAGCGCAGACATGACATCAACTGCCAACGCCCTTAACGGATCTTCGTCCTTCACTAAGCCCCGCGTTTTCATCCTGTCAGACATCTTGAACGAACCAGATGACTCAATGTCACTGGTTCGTCTGCTCGTATACTCGAATGTACTCGACATACGCGGTCTTTGCGCCACCACCTCGAACTTTTTGAGAAATGCCACTCATCCGGAGGAGATGGAGAGGATTGTTCAGGCATATGGAACCGTCGTCGGCAATCTCAACCGACACGTCTCTGAAGAATTCCAGTTCAGCTCCTCCGACAAATTGCTGTCTCTTGTGACTTCTGGGCCAAAGGTGAGCAACGTCACCATCTGGCAACGTCATCTACCTTGTAGGAAGGAAAATTTACTAACTTCATGGCTTCTAGGTTTACGGAATTGAAGCTTTGAATACTTCTCTCAGCGAAGGGGCTCAGCGACTGATAGACAGCCTTGAAGAGTCCGAGGAGCCTTTGCATGTGAGCATCTGGGGAGGAGCAAACACCCTGGCTCAAGCCCTCCAACACATTCATTCAGAAAGCACGTCCAGCCACGCAGCTTCTCTGCGGTCCCGGTTACGGGTATACGCCATTTCTGATCAAGACACAACCGGCACATGGATACAAACTCAGTGGCCGGACATCTTTTACGTCTCCAGTATGCACGGTTTTACTGAGTTCGGGTCCGCGACTTGGCTAGGAATGCATTTCGACGACAACGGAGTCGCCAACGTCACCAAGACCAGAGACACATGGGTTACCCCAAACATCCGCGTAGGTGCCCTCGGCGCCGTCTACCCGAAGATTGAGTTCGGTCTTGAGGGAGATACTCCAAGCTTTCTATGGTTGATCCCCAATGGTCTGTCTGATACAGAGTGGCCCGGCTTAGGAAGCTGGGGAGGTCGATACACTCGCGTCGTCAACCTAGACGGCTTTAACTGGTACGCGAATGCGGCCGATGCTGTAGCACTTCCCGACGGAGGGCAGTATTCGAGTGTCCAGGCAACTGTCTGGCGCTGGAGAGATGCCTATCAAGATGATTTCGCTGCTAGGATGCAGTGGACGTTGGATCGGAACGTCAGCGAAGTCTCCCACCCACCTTTGCTGAACGTGAACGGGTCTTCGGGCCCTGCTTCCCTGCAATTCCAACTTGGGGTCAACCAGTCAATCATACTGGACGCGGGAAAGACTTGCGACGCCGATCATCCCGAAGATCTAAGTCAGCTTGACTTCGAGTGGTTCGCATACCCTGCTCCAGCGGGATACAATGTTGCACAGCCTCTTTCTATCCGAGCTCTTGCGCCTCCCCCTGGAACGAATGGGACTCTTGCTCTCCAAGAGGCCGGATTTACGAACGTCACACTCGGTTCTAGAGTCGAAGTCTCACTCACAGACCAAGTCAGTGCTTTGGTGGATGGTCAGGATTTGTCTCTCATTTTGCAAGTTCGCACGACAAGAGGGCCTTACCCCATTCGCCGTTACAAGAGAATCGTCATCAAAGTAGCACCGTAAAGACCTCACTATATGTTAAGCATATGAATCAACCAACGTTTCAGAATGCATTCAGGAGTGCCTGTTCCGATCGTGTAAGGCGGCTTCAGTTAACATACTGCATCGCAACTTGCTTTCTAGTCACCTCTGCCGTATCAAACCAACATGAAAGCCCCATGTAAGTCTTAGTCGGTTGAAGACATCCAACCTGCTTCCGCGTCACTACGTGGTGTCGTATGTATCGGGAACGACTGATGGGCTAATCGATGACACCTTTAGTTCATTCCGCAATATCACCGTTTCTTCTCAGGTTCTACTCTTCCCTGGGCGATAATGTTGATGAGGAAATATTTTCTTGGTCTCAACCAGGCAGTAAGTTTTGATCATCTTTATGTGTGGACTATCACGATACATGCATGTAGGAGCTCCAACAGCATTCCCAATTCTAGTTTCAATCCTAATGGATAAAGTGACACAAGTACCGGCAGAAATGTTATCAGCAGTGGGCTCGACCCGGCTAAAGTTGTATTCATAATTAGAATCGCCCGAGGCGACTTTAACAAATAACGAGCGACGTAGGCAGAACGGATCGTTCTTTGGATTCACACACTTTTGCTCGAAGATCACTGGCCCACGCGGGTGAATTTCAATTGATGCACAACCGCTGGATGCCAGACCAGCTACACAGGCGCCTCCCTCCCCATCATCTCAGCGTGTCCTTGAGCCAGCGAGCCCAGTTTCTCATGTGCCAAGTCACCACAGCGCAGCGCTACTCAAATGATACATGAACAAAAAAGAAGACAATTGTTCTTATCTTGATTTGCCATTGTTCTAATCGCGCGTGGGTCTAGGCGTTCCCAACGGCCAAGCCAACAGGGGTTGTTTATGCATGTTGGTGCAGGTTTGCAGTCGACGAGCTCTGATAGGCCCCGGACGCAGGAACCGAAGATCCGCGAAGTATATATTGACTTGCCCTGCGTCTCAATTTCTGTCATTCACTGGGCTCGTTCTCTCTTTCTTTAATCCACCGCTGTGGAGCCCGATGGTGACATACGACCGTCGTCATGTCCCAACCACGGGAGGATTTTGAGGTTCAGGTCGCTGTCGACGATGAGGTATGCCAAAAACGACTAACGGTTTGCACGACTTTGTCTAATTCAGTTGATGTTTTGCTGGTAACAGGATGAAGGCCTTGGCAGCGTAAGTTTTCTCCCCGAAAATCATCCATCGCAGATACTCACCCATCGTCATGCAGAGCATCGCTTCTGCCAGCGGTAGTCTGCGCGCCTCAGTGATGGATTATCGTCGTGAAAACGGTCGGACATATCATAGGTACAAAGAGGGCAGTAAGTTCAATTCATGTGAGAAGACTCTCACTCGCGTCATTGGTTTCTGAATAGGTGCAACAGAATATCGATTCCCCAACGATCAAGCGGAACTCCAAAGACTTGGTAATTTTTGATGCTTCATCAACAGTTTGAAAATCAATTCTGACGATATTTCCAGACTTGGTTCATCAACTGTGTCTTCTCATGCTGGACGATAGGCTCGGAACTGCCCCGCCGTGTCATAAAAACGCCAAGGTTGGCCGCGTTCTTGATGTCGGCACAGGGACGGGCATCTGGGCTATTGATTTTGGGGACGAGCATCCAGAGGCCAACGTTAGTGGGGCTCCCTGCCAGATCTCTACGTCAGCAGCGTGTGACTCGCACGTCTAACACAACGAGACTTTCAGGTGTTAGGAATCGATCTCTCTGCATCTCAACCAATTATGTGAGGAGAGATAACAGCGCCAGAGAGTCGCTCATTTGCTCATGGTGGCCTTTCAGGATACCCGGTAATGTCAGATTTGAGATCAGCGACGTCGAAGATGATTGGACGTACTCGCAGCCTTTTGAGTACATACACAGTCGATTCATGACATCGAGCTTGAGCAACTGGCCTCTCTTTTTACGTCGATGCTACGAGTAAGCCATTCTTATTTTTGCCCTCTTGCAAACCTTCGGACGCCTTGGTGCAATGATGGCGGCTGTGGCTAACCCTGTGTTAACCAAAGTAACCTTGAGCCTGGTGGTTACCTCGAACTCCAAGAGACCGACATTTTTGCGCGTTCTGACGACGGCACTTTGAAGCCTGAACACGCTCTGAGTAGATGGTCTAATCTTCTGATGCAAGCATCGCTCAGTCTGGGGGCACCGTGGGTTAATGCTCCGGATTTAAAGAATCTAATGATTAAGACTGGGTTTGAAAACGTGGAACTGAGCATGTATAAGTGGCCAACAAACATGTGGCCAAGAGATATCAAGTTTAAGGAGCTTGGGGCGTGGAACCACGAGAACTTTATGACGGGCCTTGAAGCGATAACCATGGCTCCCCTTACGCGGGGCTTGAATTGGACCCCAGAGGAGGTGAGAGACTTCCTGGTCGATGTTCGATCAGAAGGAGAGAATCCAAGCATTCATGCATACTGGCCTCAGTAAGTCGTCCGACCACATCGTGATGAGTTAGTTCTGCGTCTCATATCATTAGGTTTTGCATCGTTGGACGCAAGCCCTGGAAAAGTCACAATCGGGCATGAGTTTCGGCCTGAACGGAAGTGGCCCGTTTCATTTCATGACTTGAATTCAGAAAATATTTCTGTCAGGCTTTCGGGGAACCTGGTAGAATTCGACATCAAGTCGCAGGAGCGAGCGTAATAGAGGCGCAGGTTGAAGAGTGTTGAAGCATACAAAGTCTATCAAAAGTTTTACGTTCATCAAAGATAATACGAGCCTTTTGGCCTTCGCCACCACAGCATTCTTAGCTACTTCTCCACATTTTATCGAGCCGCCTTCCAGCCAACGAGAAACAAGATGCAGCAGACCAAACTCACAACAACAGGAACAGCCCATGGTAACCTATACCGAGGCTTCATGCCATGACAGTTACCACAACAATCCAGAGGGACCCCCTTCTCCTTTGGGCCTTGGTCTTGTCCACCCTCATCGTCCTCCTCGGCACCCTTCCCCATTCTCGACCTCAACCCAACAGTAAGCCAACGAGGCGACCTCGGTGACCACCCAGAGGCTCCCGACATCGTCGCATCAATAGACTGCCAGGCACCGTCGATATCTTCCCCGTCGAGCGGCGTGCTGACAGGGGTGCGTGGTGATACCCGCCGATGGAAAGCTTCAGACTGCGCCAAGCCGAGGGGGTGCACGTCTCTCGCGGACTCGGGGCTCACGGGAAATACATCGAAACCCTCAGATCGTCCGCTGGGCGGCGTCGGCTCGGCCGGAGTCCACGGCACCGGAGTCCCAACCGGGACCCGGACGGGACCGGTCTGGTGTTGGCATGACCTGTGTCGGGGAGTTTTGATGGGCGTCGGAGGGCCGGCACGGTTGCGTTTGCGGGCGAGATGGTCGTTTGGCTTGTGGATGGCCATTGCGAATCTCTTGGCGAAAGCGCCGGGGGTGGTAGCTGGAGGTGGAAAGGCGAGAACCAGGACGGACTATGAGTGAAGAGTGTACGTGTTCTTGGAAATGCGCTGAGGGCTGACTTTATACTCATCCTGTGAGATATCAAGGTTGTGTTTGCCGCTCGTACGACTGCTCCCAGTCTCCGCTACAAAGCAAGGGCAGCTTTGATGCCGTGATCGCCTGAGGTTTCCTCTTTCGGTGCCCTGCGAGTACATTGCATCAAGGGGACAATACTCGCTTTGTGCCGTCTTCGATGAGCTAGGGACCGCTCGAGCCAGCGGGTGAAAGGCATGGTATAAGGTCTGGTGAAACCAACTAATACATGACATAAAATTGGCGGCAGCTCATATTGTGTCTCGATCGCTGTGGAGAAGTTTTGACGTTAAAAAGCATCACAGGACAAGTCCACGAGCCACGATGTAAACTCGAGAAAGATCAGTGAATTTGTCAACTACAAAGTACTAGCATCCAAACGCCGAACTGCCACAACCAGATGCGGCCTCCCGTATCTCGCACACAATCGAAACGTCTGGCTGGTGGCTCTGTGTTTGGCCTCAGAGACAGGTTGAGGCAAAAGCTAAAAGTCGAACAACTGCTGCTCAGGGTTGAGTTTACCACTCGGAATGCGAAGGTGTTCCGCTCCGAAGACAGGGTCCAGGTTGATCGGGGCCGGCCATTCCCCAAGCGGGTAGTTGTCACCGCACGCAATGCATCTTATAGCTCTGCCGCTGTCTACAGACCTCTTCTTTCGCTGAGCCTTCATCCAGCAATTCATCCCGACGTAGTGACGCGAGGGGCACCTGAATCTGACGGCAGCGTGCGGTTCCCCAGGGTAACTCATCGCTTCGATGCAAATCAAGCAGTCGGGCTCGTCCAAGGCGTCGAATTCTGCCCTGGTCAGCGGGACGACTGCGCGCTCAATGGCTCGCATCCGGGAATCCTCGTCGCTTAGTAGGAGGTCGCGATTCCGTCGCAGGTGATACGCGGTGTTTATGTTCTCATCCTCCGCCGTCCAAGCTGCTCCTACCGACGGCGTGGTCAGGTTGTGGTGGTTGAAATGAGGCATGCGAAGAGTAATGTGGTGCAGCGCCCTCTTAGTACCTTCGTCAAACGTCTGGTCTCGTGAAAGCAGATTTGGGTCGGGCGACATAATGATGGTGTGAACGCGGGCAATGGAAGCGGCGCGGTCGGGAGAGAGTCCTGAATCCACTGTCAGGAGAGAAAAGATTTTATGCACAATTTGCCCGCGGAAGTCCAACTCGTCGGCAATCTGGCAGTCGGGTAACGGAGTTTGTGGCGACATAACATCGTTGAAATCATTGTACCACACCTCTGGTCGACCCCAACTGAGCCAACAGTTGGCTTTGAAACTTTGCCGCATATGCATCTCCCGCTGTTTCCAGTCCCATGGCTCTACAAAGAAGTCAAGGACTCCAATATCTCCGATGGTTGTTGGCGCCTTCAAGTGATTCAGAGCGCTCAGTTCGGGCTGTTTCTTCAGACGATCCCCTATAAATCGAAAGCGTGGATTCTCCTTTCCAGGAAACGGAAATTCCGCTTTGTTGGAGGTAGTTTCCTGCCATTCCCAGGGTAAGAGGTAACATCGGGCGATGACCTGACGTAGCGCTGCGCTGATGTTGTGAAGCTCGGGGTGCGTATTTGTGTCGGAGCAGTCGCAAAGGTTCCCGTTGTCGAAGTGGTCCTTGTTGAATCGGCAGGCCAGCTCCTGCTTCACTACTGGATAGATATCACGCTTGGCGTCATCCGGCGTTTCTGGCCATCTCGGGTAAGTTGATACTGCTATAAGCGAACACATTTCTCGAATGTAGGATTGTTCGGCGCGATGTACTGCTTCTTTGTTTTCAGCGGGCGAGTACACAACGGCCGATGGCGCGACTGTGGGATGATGCCACTTCCCGCTGCAGTTGTGGCAGGAAATGTTGTAGCGTTGCGTCATCTTGGGAAGCGCGCCATCTGCGATGCAGTCCACGTAGAAGGGGTTCGCGCAGCGGACGAGGTATTGGTGAGTATGGGTCACGGTCGCACCGTTCTCGACGCAACTGAAATGCCTGGTGAGAAAGAAGCACATGGCCGAGTTGAATTGACAATTTGAGCCGATGGCTTGAGATGAAAGAAATAAGACTCGAGGAAGCCGAATAACAGATTTTCGACGAAGTCTCAGGAGCGATGTGGTCAACGTGAAGTACCATAGTGAAACACTCGAATCATACCGTCCACGTCGCCCGATAAGTACTCGGAAGAAAGAGACACATTTTGGTGTTTTGATCAAGAAGCTGAGCGAAACAAATAGAGCAAGCTTTCATGGAAACATGGTTGAATGACTTGAAGGTAGGCTCACAGACGAAAGCAATGCATTCATGGTTCGCCGGTCGGTGGTCGCAATAAGACATCTTCAATGAAGCTGGGTACCGATTTAGACGGATGAATGAATGAAGAAGAAAGCAAGAAAGAGTATTCGATATTGACACGGGCCCATTCATTCAGTCGCCATGAAAGCCATGCCAGTACGACTCGGACAGTCTCGGCAAACTGACAAAGGCCGCAGCTGCAAGTCATTGTACGGATACCGGGGAAACACATGGCACTTGCCCTTGGTATCCGGTATCCCTCGAAGCCGCGACCGTTTTGGCGAGACGAAGCGAATGGAAGCGTCTTCTGCCGTTATTGGAGGGTTGGTGCCCAAAAGCGTTGGAAGCGAGGGTCTGCAGTTCGCAGCTGCAGGCTGGATGTCATGGTGTACGTCGACTGGTTGGGAAAGCAGCTGCAGACTCGCCCTGTCTGTTCGGCAAAGCAATCTCCATTGAGGATGAGGAAGGGGAAGGGAAAGACCATTGGGCTCCCACGGAGGGAGGCGAGTGAAAGCCTCTCGAGTCGACAATTGCAGGGACGCAAATGCAACCATCCAGCGGAAGGAAGCCGGTGCTTCCTTGTCGTGGTGGTGAGATGATGAGGGAGGATGTAGGAAGGAGAAAACGCAGCGACGGCAGAGTTCAGGGCCACACTTCAACTGCTGCTTAGTCATGCTCCTCAATGGGTGCGGTGTCTCAGGTGCAGCTGCTAACTTCATTCCCTCGACACTTTTCCCAAGATATCAACTACCCATTTTCATCACATTCATCATGTTGTTTTCACCTCAAACGCATCCGCCATCGCTCCCAAGACCGTGGACAGCGACGCTCCACCGGCCCATCAAAGAAGCTTCGACTAGATCCGGGCACCTTGACGTGTCAGATCCCGCGATGGATGCCCATCGCACCCTGTACTATCGCTTTGATGCCCAACCAAGTCGCAACGACTCGAGTCTTTGCTGCCAGCAACATCGTCATTTCATCACTTATCAAAACTACCATCGCTAAGAAATGCACTTGGGCAACTAACAGGCAGTCGATAGGGAAGTAATACGGCAGTGCTGCCATTACAACTGCTGCAGTCAACCCCAAGGCATCAACCCATTGCAGCTCGATAGCCTCACCTGACATGAATGGCGGACCTCGTCTCCCCACGACACCACCAAATTGATCCCCCCAGCTTGGGTTATGAGCGGCCCGACGAGTGCGGGAACCGCTGCATGAGGTGACCATGGTCACGCCTTCAACCAACCCATTGGTTTAGCTGCTGCATACAGCCCGCATAATCGTTGCCAGCCTGCCTGTGCCCAGCTGCATCTCGCTCTCCTTTCGACCCGGATATGCACCCTTACACTCCCTCCACCTCCGCATTTGCTGCTCAGTATTACTCTTGCATGCGGCCTCCCCCTTTTTCAACCTCTCAGAATCATCGTCAAATGCTCATCAACTTAGACAAGATGCCAATGGACGAGCATGGCGCCCATCCATGTCCACGTGCCGGCCGTCTCGAGCGCAGCTCCGAGGTTAAATATGCCTCACGACCTTGACTGGACATCGTGGAGACGTCTTTGTTTGTTTTCTTCTGCACCCGTCATGTTTCGTAATGTCCCTTTCCTACACTTTCGGCGTCCATACTTCGTGTTTCGTTAATTCTTCCGCTGTACTCTAACCTTTTCATCGTCCATCTTCGCCTTGTCCAATTACACCACCAGCTTCTCTTCTGCCCTGGATGTATATCCCACATTCCCAAGCCCGAACCTCCGGGTCGGACATTGAACGACGCTCTCCCCCGACTGTACGTTGGTCGCAGTTCGAGGCACCTGGTCACTCGGCCCTTCTTACCAAGAGACAGGTTGGAATAGCCGGAGGCAACACTACCAACATCACGGTCGGCGTCACAGTCGGAGTGGCCATACTCATCTTCATCCTCGGAGGGGTTGCCTTCCTCTACTACTACAGGCAATCCCTCAACCGCATCAGCCGTCGACGACGCCGAAGTCGACGCCACATATACCACAAGACCGTCAGCTCGAGGAGCTCCAAGAGCTCAGCTACTGACGGCCCGCCGCCGCCGCCTCCCGGACCTCCTCCCCGGGGTCCACCCTCGGCGCCACCTTCCGCAGCTCCCCCGGCCGACCCTCCTGCCGACCCTCCAGCGTCTCCTCCGCCTGCCGCTGCACCCGCGGATAAAGAATAAAACGGACAAAGCTGGGTGGTTTTCGAATAGCAGCATGCTGTCCCAAAAACCAGAATGTTTGTCAACATGGCCGGCACACACAGTGCAACCCACTAACATACTCTTAGGCCTTGTTGATGTTGTACACTGACGTGATGTAAGTTAGGATGTGATTTGGTTTTGGGGTTTTCATTCAGCGGGAGTTTGCGGGTGTGAAGCAACGGCGATACCAGGCGCCAGATGAAAACAGCCATGTACAGTCGATTGCGATGTTTTCGGTGTCTTTGCAAGCTAATTGATTGCTTCTTGGTCTTTGATCTTCCACGCTCGAAACCGTCCCTCCCTTCGCGATAAACAAAGAGTATAACGTCTAGCAAACGCATACAACACCAACTCCAAACGCTCAAACAAAGATGTCTATTCCCAGCCCATCAGCGTGCCACTCCACGAAACCATTCCCATCGAGGTCAATGACCTGTCATCTCGTTCTCACCCAACGGAATCGGCCCATCATCCGCCGCCTCCCTCCTTAGATTCCGACTCGCCGGCTCAACACCACATAGCGCATCGAAGAATGAGTAACAGCACTCGTTACACGAAGCCTCCCTGTCACCGTCAGGATCGTCTTCTTCTGCAAACCGCGCTAAGGGAAACGCAGGGTGTAAGCCCCAACCCACCTCCAGCCCTGGATCATCCTGCGGCCCAGGCCCGGGCCCGTAGTCGATGAAGTCGTCGCCCGGCATCCCCGTCCCTATACCAAACCCCATGCCCATGCCCATGCCGGCCACAGGCGCCGGAGGTATCGGCATCCCCATCCCGCCATCGGGCATCTCCATCGGCGGCATCGGCATGAACCTCACGGTTGTGGATCCATCCCCAGCCGAGCGGGTAGACTTGCGTTTGTTCTTCGAACTCTTCGGCTTGGGTTTCTTCTTCGTCTTTGTCTTCTTCTGCTTCTGATGATTATGGTGGTGGTGGGCATGTCGGTGGTGATGATGAGTCCACCTATGGCCGTGAGGGGCTGGCGCATGATGAACGTAGTGAGCATGATGAGCTGGAGGAGCTTCCATGGGATGTGCGTGGATGCTGTGTCTATGGCTATGCCTGTGCTGCTTTGGATGTACGTGGTGATGGTGTGTTTCCGGCTGGTGTACATGTCCCTTCTCGGTCTTCTTTTCAGGCTTCTCGGACGAGAAATGACAGTTGAAGCAGAAATAGATGATGCCGACGGCGAGAACAGCCGCCATGAGACAACCAACAAGCATCCCAGCGATTCGGCCTTGCTCCGCGTCGCGGCGGGAAATGCGGTGGAGCGTCGTTGCGGCTGCGTCAATGTCCGCTGGTGGGATTGGTGCCATCTTAGCAGCAGACAATTCAGATCGTCGACGATCCCAGAATGGCTTGTTGAACACTAATGACAGTCACCTCATGTCCAATCACACGAGAAGCTCAACCTCACGAACACAGACTCACAGAGGCACAACATGAGTCTTTAATCAGAAAAGCCTCTTAACTCCCACGTCCGTTTGTCACCAGAACCTCCCATCAAACACTTCTAACAAGCTCATCAAGAAGCCGCAACAATCAAACCTCTTCACGACACAGCTGAAGTCCGTTTCAAAACAACCAACAAACGCATCAGACGGAACCCCGAACCAAACCACCGGGACCTGTGGCGCAACGTCACACGCCGCAGGCCCGGTATCCAGTCAATTGCGCTCATATGATACAAAGTCATCCATTTGCTGACTTTGCCGCGTCTCCTGCCCGTGTGGTTCAGCAAACATGACGGGAAGTGCATGTGTGCTCTATATAAGCTATCCTATCGTACAAACATCGCGGGTACCTGCCAACTGCCGCGTTCCGAAACCTGGGGCCTTTCCGTCCGCTGCCCCCAAACCACGCTTGAAGAAAATCACATCGTGCCGCCCTGGGTATCCTGTCGTCGCTTGTATGAAAACATAGGGAAAAGAAAGAAAGAGAAAACAAACGTCACTCTCCAAACTCAATCCCGTCTCCGACCCCTACGCGCCTCCCTCCTCTCCTCTCTCTCCTGAATCTGAACCATGACAGACCCGATGGCACTCTGCACCTTGCCAGACCTGTCCACAAACGCGTCGTAAAACTCGCAGTCGGGGTGTCCGGGCTGCCTCTCGTTGAGGGAGATGAGTGCGTTCGAGAGAGCCTCCAGCTCGGTCTTCAGGGGCGCGTAGTCGGTCCCGCCGTGCCTGCGTCGGCGGCGGCGCTGCTCGTCTTCCCGGTGAGACCTCGGAGCCTCCGGCGAGCCGCCCCTTCTGTAATCCTCGCCGTGCCCATCACGTCCCCTTCTTCCACGTTCTCCGCCACGGTCATATCCCCTCCGATCACGAGAGCGCTCACGGGAACGCTCGCGCGAGTGGTCATGCCGATCCAGGCTGCCTCCCCTCCCCCTCTCTCTTCCACGCCCTCCTCCACCACTCGCCCTCATCTCCTCCTCTCCGCCGCCGCCAAACTTCTCGATGGCCTTGCCTAGGATCGTCTTGCCCAGATGCTCCAGCATGTCGTTGTCCATGTTAGGGACGCCGCCTCTGTGTCTCTGGTCGTCGTCCCGGTGGTCTCTGGTGCGCAACCGATCGTCGTGCCGACCATCTCTGTCTCTGTCTCGGTCCCGGTTTCTGTCGTTACCGTGGCCGGGCATGTACTTGCGGACGGCATACTCCACGAGGCCTCTAGCGAGCGTTTCGAGGATCAGCTCGACCTGTTTGTTTCCGCCCTGCTCCTCTCGCCGTGTTCGGTTGCGGCCGCCGCGGTTTGGCGAGGAGTTGCGGCGTGTTAGTGTGCGCAGTAAGAGATCCATGGTAGACGGCGCATCGAGGAGGTGTGAAATTCCGTGTTATTGGGTGTTGGTTGCTTGCGACTTTACTTGCGATTTGGTTTCTTTGCGTGTATGCTTCTCCTCAAACCCAAAAATCGAATAGAAAAAGAATTTGAGGCCTTCGAGAAAGAAAACAAATTGACAACGATTTTCGCAGCGGCTTTCGCGACTCGAGCGACGGGCACTATTATTTAGTTCGTCTGGCACTGCCGCCTAGAGCAGTCGTCGGATTTTAGGTCATGCGGTGATGGCGGCCTCTGTCTTTTTTTCGCGGTGGTGTCTCTCATGTGATTCACTGCCCGTGAGTCGCGCGCGGGTGAGACAAGTCGGGTCAGGTAGTCAGTCGGACTCTTTTTTCTTCTCTTCCGAAGCCCTCTGCGCAAGTAGAAAAACCGTGTTGTTTTCGTGATTCAAAATGACCCGTGTCTGCTGCTTGCTGCGGCGTGTCGCTTTCTTCGCTGCGTGATGGTGTGTTTTGGTGAGCTGAGGAGGGTGCGGCGAAATGCGGTTTGAGGCGACTTGGAGGAAGGCAAATTTCTGGAGGTTCCTGCCTTTTCTTGGCTGTCGCACGCCAAAAGTTTTGATGAATTTTTAGGATGAACTTGAGTTCCTCGTGGCTCGGGTTGAAAAGCGAAGGTAATTTGGTGAGTGTTGCTTATGACTGTTGGGTGAAGAAGAGATGCGGCGGATAGGATTTTGCGAGAAGTCACTCTTGCCTGAAATATATTGATACCTGGTTGGTTGATCGTTTCTGTTTTGACGTGATTAAGCCGCTTTCTTTGTGGCCTCGAATTAGATTTCCTTTACGACAAGACTTCACCATCAAAGCAGCTCATCTCAAAGACAAAAGGTGGGCTGCACAATGGGTACAATAAAGCTCGACCGAGTCTTTGACAGTCGATTTCTTCAAGTTCTTTTTGACGCCGTACCTAGCCACCTTCATTAATACTGATGGCATACGTGCTACATTTACAATCATAGACGATTTGTCGTCCTAGGTGCGCCATACACCCATATGCTCTACATACAATACATACCAGCCACGGGCATTAGCCATACCTGCCCATTTAGCTGAGGAGCTCCTTGATGTCCTCGATCCTCTGGAGCTTCTTCTCTTCGTCACTCATCATGCCAAGGGAAGTCGCACTAGTAAAGGTCAGCAAAGGCACAGCCGTCAACGCCACTAGCGAAACTCACATGAACTTCTTCCGCTCCTGAACCTTCAACATCCTCTCCTCCACGCTCTCCTTGACGATAAACCGATAAACCTTTACCTCTTCGTCTTGCCCCATGCGATGCACGCGATCGATGGCCTGCGCCTCGACGGCGAAACTCCACCACGGGTCCATCATGAACACCCTCTTCGCCGACGTCAGGTTCAACCCCACGCCACCGGCGCGGAGACTGATCAGCAGCACCGTAAAAGTCTTGGAGTCCTGGAACTCTGCCAGAACAGCGGCGCGGGCCTTCTGCGCCATGCTACCGTCGAGACGCAGGAACTTGATGTTGGCCCGCGTCAGCGCCGGCTCGATTAGCGTCAGGAACGACGTGAACTGGCTGAACACCACCGACTTTACGCGCGGCTTCTCTTTCCTCAGTTCCCGCAGCGCCTTGATCAAGGCAACAACCTTGGAGGAAGAGTTGTTCACGCCCAGGCGCTGCAGACTGATCTTCGTTTTCTGGAACGGGTCTGGGTCGTCTTCGTGGCGAATAACTTCAAAGAGGTCGCGATAGTTGATCTCCGCGCGGCAGTTCGGGCATGTCGGGACTTTGTGCCGATCCGTCTGGTGCTTCATGTAGTCCAGCAGGCACTTCTTGCAGGCTGAGTGCCAGCACCCAGTGACCGTCTGCTCGATCATGGGCTCTTCCGCGCAAATGGGACACTCGTTCGTGGCTTCGTCGCGAATCTGACCGAGAATGTGTGCGCCGAATGCGTTGTTGTTCGACTCTGATTCAGACACAGCAGCTGAGAAATGTTCGATGAGCGAACCCAGGTCCATGTCGTCTGCAAGACCTGCTGCAATGTCTGCTGCTGCACCTGCTTCCGCCTCGTCTGCAACCAACTCCTTGTTCTTCACCAGAACAGGGTGACAGCAAGATTGACGAAGTCGCAATATGTTGGCAAATATGCTGGTGTAGGCCTTCATGACGGTGCCAGCCTCGACGTTCTCTCGGAAGGATTGCCTCGCTCGCGTAAAGATGTAGTCGTATATCTCGCGTTCCGTTTCTCCCAGTTCCACGTCGACAATCTCGATGTGCTTCGGTGGAAGGGGAACGAGTGGTTCGCCATTTGGTGTTTTCATCTCCTTCGTACGCCTGATCACCAGGGGCTCTAGCACGGTCTGCACGACATCAAGTGCCCGCATAAAATCTTTTGACTCGAAGGGAACAGTGATAAAAGTCTTCCAGAACGAAAAGTTGTTCCAAGGCTCGACTCGGAGGAAGCGGACCAAACTGAAAAGGTCCTCCAGCTTGTTGACGATCGGCGTTCCTGTCAAAACCCAACGGTGCTCCGCAGTAATCTCGTAGCAAGCCTTCGCGGTCTTGGACTGTCTGTTCTTGATGAAGTGTCCCTCGTCGAGAATAACACGGAAGAAGTTGAGCGAGAAGAGACCTGTATGGGCAGACTTGTCTCCTTTCTTGGCCGCAACTTGGTTGAACTCCGACAAGACCACTCCGTAACTTGTGATGATCACGTCGGGTGCAGAAGCAGCACTGGCCTCACAGCACATTGCCTGGAGGTTGCTGGCCTTCTCATTACCATAGTAAACCATCGCCTTGAGTGTACCCTCCTTCGAAGCCTTCTCCGCTTCACTATGCCACTGCGCCAGTAGCGACATGGGAGCAACGACGAGCGTCGTACATGGCGCGGGCAGGACATTGTTTGATTTTCCAGACAGCCTGGGAAGTTCGTTGACAGTCGCCGGTGCGCCACCTTCCAACTTGGCTCGTTGTGCGACGTCAGAGCGATGCGAGTGAACCAGACTGAGCATCTGAATGGTCTTGCCGAGACCCATCTCATCTGCGAGGATACCACCCAAGCAGTTCTGTTCCTGAACGGGAAAGTCCAGCGAAAGATCGCCTGAGTAGGGGTTGACGTAGAAGTGCTCTTGGCCCTCGACCTGAGGGAGCTCTTTATCGTCCGTGTCCTTCAGCGGCCAAACGTACTCCTCCCACAGGGGATGCATGCTGGGTTCCCTGTTGTTCTTTTGGTCTTTTTCTTTGGTCATCATCCAATACAAAGCTTGCTTCTGATATGGACGAAGATCCATAGAAAAGGTATCTGCGGGCTCGGCCTCCGGGGTGTTGAAGTCGAACGATTGGGCCTTCCGGTAGAGCGCATCAAGCTGATCCTGCTCAAGCTCCTGGCCATCTTCTTGGTCGTCAGAAGAAGGGGAAGATCCCGGCTCCTTAGCGCCAGACTTTGAGGATTCCTTCTCCTTCTTCTCGTCCATCTCCGCCGCCTGCAGCAACCCTTGTCTCTGATTTTTGGATGCCGCGGAGTTGGCTCGTGTAGGCTCGAGGTTGATGTCGTGCAAAAGCTTCACCAGAGCGACCTGTTTCAATCGAAGCTCCTTCTCCTCGGTGGACTCCTTCTCTTCGAAAAAGCTCGCCGCCCTGTTCTCCTCGATGTTGAACCCAGGGCTGTGGAACGCAGAAGCCAGGAGATAGCACTTGAGTTGTATGAAGATCGTATCGTTTGTCCTTAGCCGTTCCGGAGCGTATACGCAAGTGCCCTCGAAGCGGCATATCTTCTGGTCCATCAACGTCGACACCCATTCAGCAGTGTCCTTGGCCAGTCTCCCAATCTCGGACCCGCTGCTGTTTGTGAAGCGCACCATCACATCCACTCGTCTCGCCGCGGCAGAACGCGAGGAAGCAACGGTTGTAACACCGAATTTTGTAACCCGTGTCGCCTTGGGCGGTTGTATCTTTTGTCTGTCAATGTTGACGACGTCGCCATGCTTCAGCAAGTTGGCGCCACTGCGTGTAGCCCAACCTTCGACACCAAGGGAGCCAATGTATCGAGACTCGGGCATCGAACGGCGAATGGTCGGCTTCGGAGGGTCTTCCATCGGGACGTCTTGAGCAATCGAAGCTGAGGCAGTGGCGGGTGAGGGACGGGCGAAAGCGTTGACCGTGGGCGACTTCTTCTTCAACTTCTTCCATGTGCCATCGAAGTACATGTTGACCGCTCGTTCGAGATTGTTTCCACAGTTCTCTCGGATAACATCTAGCGTGTCCGCCGCAACTTTGTCGCCAACGAAGCTCTCGAAGGTCTCTTGGTCGAAGGTCATTGCGGCTTCTTCGCGTCGAAGGTCCGAAGGAGGGGCAGAGCGATTGGATGCATCTTCGATAGGCTGCTCGACCAGCGGTCCCCGATTCCTCAGAGGCGAGGAGGGAGCTTCGGCATCTTCGCTTTTGATTTGCGTGGTCTCGTCGTCGGCATCTTGGAAGAAGCGCTGCCTCGGTTGCGCTGGCGGGGTCGGGAGCGCTGGGCTGGAGTGGTGGCTCAGGGCATCGTCGTCGGAGGCGAAGAAGCGTCTTCTCTTGGCCGGATGCTCTGGTGATCCCGTGTAATCCATGGCGGAATCAGACTGTTGCCATGCACTCAGAAAGTCACACTCATAAGTGGCGCTCACTCGTGAGCAAGCAGCGAAAACCACACTGGGACCCAAAGGACTGGAGACGCGAAGGCGAATCAGTCAGCGCGACTGACCGCGTCGGGTCTTCAGGTGACTACGCGCATTATGTCAGCCAATTAAACATTCCCACCTCCAAGACGTCATAATTAAATAAAAATAATGGTCGACTCGGGCATTTTGGACATCCCGTCGCGCAGCTTAAAAAATAGATCCACATGCTTCAAGCTGCGATTTTCAGAACGACTGGGACCAGCCCCGACATGGCGCATCACACCAGCGCATTATCCTCCTCCTGAATGAATCGACCAAGGATCGTCGGCCATGGCCTGAGAAGGCTTGTACAAAATCCCCCTCGGGGGACTAGAGGCATCGTCACGGATGCGGACGTCGTGAAGGCGAGGAAGTACTGCCAGTCGCAGCTTCAGTGCGTACAACTCCATGCGCATGTATGTCCGCAAATACTCGATCGCTGACAATACGGCGCAGACACAGCCACTACGATGCCCACCTCATCAGCCGCCTTCTCTCCCCTCGAGCCCAAGACGCCTACCTCGCCCTCCGCAGCCTGAACCTCGAACTCGTCCGCCTGCCCGAAGTCGTCTCGAACCCCATGATCGGCCAGATGCGCATGCAGTTCTGGCGCGAATCCGTTGACAAGACCTTCGCAGGCAACCCGCTCGCCGAACCGATCTGCGTGCTCCTCCACCAGGCCCTCCAAGACCTCCGCGCAAGGTCGCCGAGGAACAGCACGGCGGGCTCGATGCGATTCTGGGCGCAGAGGTTGATCAAGACGAGGGAGAAGTACATGGACAACCGGCCGTTCACCTCGCTCGCCGCGCTGGAGGAGTATGCGGAGAACACGTACTCGACGCTCATGTACGCCACGCTGGCCTCGATGCCGCTGCGGTCGATGCAGGTCGACCACCTGGCTAGTCATATTGGCAAAGCCTGCGGCATCGTGGCAACGCTGCGCGGGATTCCGGTGCTGGCGGCGCCGCAGCAGACGCAGGTCCACACCCCGAATGGAACAGAGCCTGCGCGGCCGCGCGACCAGGCATTGCTTCTGCCGCTGGATGTGATGTCTGAGGTCAACCTGCGCGAGGAGGATGTCTACAGATACGGACCCGAGGCCGAGGGGTTCCAGGACGCCGTTTTCAAGGTCGCGACACGAGCCAACGATCATCTCATCACGGCGCGCGAGATGCTGAAGAATCTGCAGGCGGGACAAGGCGCAGGTCACGAATTTGAGCACCAAGGCGAGGCGGAGCATGTGTACGAAGAGGAGGACGATGTTCAGCGGGACATTAGGAGAGGATTCGGGGTACTGCTGGAGGCAGTTCCTGCGCAGGAGTACCTCACAAATCTTGAAGGGACGAATTTCGACCCCTTCACAGTCAAGTCAAGCTGGAAGTTGCCGTGGCGTTTGTGGAGAGCGACGAGCAAGCAACAAATCTGAAGCCTTCAAAAACAGGCGTGTACTACCAATTGACCAGCCGTGTAGGATATGCGTGTAAAACCAATAATGACCCCAAAGGCCGTGTAAAAATAGAATCTTCTCCATCCAAAACCTCGGGAATATGGTGACGACTTCAACTGATGACAATTGCATCACCTGGATTGGTGCAAATGATCGCGGGGACAGTGCGGATGATCATTCGCCATCACGCCCCCACGGCCGTGGCTCAAGCTCCACTTCCGGGGCCCGCCCCGGTCCCGTGCGGGTCCTTGCACGAACCACCAGCCACATCGGAAAATCCAACTTTGTGGCGCAGACATTCGCCGAAATAATTTGGCCATCGCAAGGTCCATCCAGCTCCGGTCATTGAAACCATCCCCAGTATCGTCAATGTCGGCCACAAGATGTTGTACGAACTCATAGGAATCGTAAGCTCTCACCCGCCCCCATAGACCTCCCGAAGTTCCAACGTCAATGGCTAACGAATCCCCAACAGGTGCGACCGGGCAAGCTCGCCGAGGTGAAAGAGTACGCGCTCCCCTCCCCCCATCCACCCCTCGAACCTTCGACGACAGTCCGCACCATAGCCCTCGCATCCTAACATATTCCTCCCACAGAATCGCCCTCACCGCCGGCCAAATTATACTCCGCAATGGCGGCGTCATCCGCGGCCTCTCCAACTGGGGCGTCTTCATGCTGCCCCGCCCCGTCTCGAAGGCCCAGATGAAGCAGAAGAACGGCCACTACTTCGTCATGCGCTACGACGCCTCCTCCAAGACGCACGCCGAGATGCGCAACACCATCAACCTCGACCCCCGCGTCATTCGTACCGCCCACGTGAAACTCGGCGACGGCAAGCTCGAGAGCGCGGCGCGGTTCGGAGAAGTCAAGTGGGATAAATGAAGGACTGGATGATTGAAGGGACGGTATTATAAGGTTGTGTGACGAAGGCGATCAGACTCTGAAAAGATCACGAGGGTACTCACGCCGTGAGGGGTCGAGGTCTGTTGAGCAACGAACAGAACGGCGGACGTTGTATGATATGAAGGATCCACGAGCCAGCGCCGGGGTATCTAGATGTGTATAAAGCTGATGAAAGCTCGGAGTGTACAACTACGTGGTACGCCATGGAAACAATAGAGGGAAAGACTCTCCAACCAAACTTAGCCAAACCTACGCCATCGGTCGTTACGACAGAGTGTGAAATGGCTGACTTCGGGGCTCCAAAAGGAATTGCAACTGAGGGGCCGGCGATGTGAGTGCTATAGGTGATGTAGACGTGATGGCGAAAAGTTCCGAATGCGCATATTTGCACTTTCAGGACACTCTGGAATAACCTCATCTTCTTAATTGATTCGGCCCAAACCCAGGCGAGATGGTATTAGCAGGGTGACTCGTGCACGTGCGAGGTGGTTTCGGGAGAGAACGTAGTGTATCAATCTGAAGTTCATGGCTCGTGTCTACATGCAGGCTAATGCTGATCCTATGTATGACTATGACTGTGTGCTGATCTGCTCCTGTTCCGCTGGTAGAGCTTTTCATTCATCACAGCCTCTACTCATGATTTGCTCTGCGCCGGGTCTCTCTCTTCCTCTTCCGCGTGATCACTCTCTGCGGGTGGATCATGGTCTCTGTCGGCTTCGTCTCCCCTTGTGATATCTAGGCGTCAAGGTCCATCGACTCGGCCTTACCGACTCCCTTCTCTTTGCACCAAGCCACGAAGTCGTCGATGACACTGGGCCAAGCGCCGTCCTCGTTCCAGAAGGACAACGTCTCGTCTGACATGGTCTTCGTGGCGAACTCGAGGGTCATGTTCCACATGTCGCGGTTGACAGAACGCGTCCACTTCTCATCGAGGAATGACGTCCACAGCTGCAGCCAATCCTGGGACTTGGTCTTCCATTCCCAGCCGGGGGGCGAGAACAGGACACTCCAGTAGACCTTTGCCACATCGAGAGCCACGGCTTTCTGGTTCTCCTCCTTGCTAGCGACAAAGGTGTAGCGATACACCTTTCTGAAGTAGGCGGGGTCGGTCGCGAGTTGGCCAACCAAAGATTTGATGTGTGCAGCGTGGGCTTGTCGCGACGCAGATCTACTCTGTTGTCAGTTAAGAACATCATGCCAAGAACGAGGACGCAACTCACCCAGTCGCTTTCCAGCCATCAACATAGCCTTTTCTTGTGATCGCGCCAATGGACGGCGACTGGAGGAGTTCTGCCACTACGAGCATCTCGGCATTCTCAATATTGACTTTCATGTCCTCGAGGTAGGCCATTGTTGACTCAACACCAAGAGCGTTCTTCTCATCCTTCGAGTCATCTGTAGCAAGTCAGCATGGGCTCGGTACAGTGTCAAGCCTTGTATCTTACCGCGAAGCTTGTCGAACATTTGATCCAACGAGCTGTCGAGCGCCGAAGTTGTGGGGGTGTTGCTACCACTGTTCCCCGAGAAGTACCTATAGATATGGCAGTCAGCTCATGGTTCTCTATGTCAACATCAGTAAGCATAGCATCGTGATTAAGAGACGAAGAGAGTGACCGTATTGGCCTCATTAAAGTCATTGGAAGGTCGCTGGCAACTTTGCACAGGGCCTTTCGGGACTGCATTAGGAGGAACGAGGCCAAGTTGAACGACGGATGAGTATAGTACCCAGATTGGTTCTTCTCTTCGCAAACGAGTCCATTCTTTGTAGATTTTCGTTTTGATGAGAACAAGCTCATGCCTTTGGAAGGCAACGCGCTCTTGACCCCCTTCCAACCCATCTTCTCGCACACGCCGGCGTTCTCGTTGTCAGTTGTATATCAGCTCTCGGTCTTGGATCGGCGGTACATGAGTTGAAGAAGTTCAAGTGGCAGCGAGGCTGAGGTGAGTGTAAAACCGGAGAAGAGACTGAGATAGTTGCCGACATAAACGCAGCGGGAAGCTCGGGAAGACGGCGCGAACGTTAAGATTTGGCCGGGACCCCTTTCAACAAGGTGTCGCGATCGCCACAAATGGGTGGCACCTGGGTGGCAGCCAGTCCAGTCCGTGGGGTGAGGCGCTGGTGCCAACTAGTTCGACGGGAGGACAAAAGCAGGCCGGTCGAAACAGGCCCGAGTGGCTGCTGCCATGGCAGTTCGTCGCTTTAAGGACCATCTTAAGTGCAGATTGAATGTTTCAGAAGCAATTGGCGATCGGCGTCGATTCGGCCTTTCTCTTGATTGTGTGGACAGCATGTGCCCCAAGGAGGGTTGGACTGTGCCTCGTAGCTGCGAGATGGACATTGTCCAGCAGGCGCGGCGCAACGGCAGCGGTAGTAGACCTGGAAAAGCAGCAGTGCATGGGCGGTAGGCCCCCACAAGGCGCATCTGATTCATCCCGAGCCGACGACGAGTGAGGCAAGGTAGGGAGTTGGGAGGTACCGATGCCGTCCGTATCCATGCGCTGCGCTGCGCTGCAGGCCAAATTGTCCGAGAAGGGCCGGCGCACCCTTCAGTCCGATTGATGGACGGACCGGAAAACACTTTAAAGAGCGGTAAACAGCCACGGCAAAGCGGCGGAACCGGGCAGAGGCATCGAGCCAACGAAGCGAGACAAAACGAAACCGAAGCGGCGAGACAAAAAGAAAGCCATGTCAAACATTGACAGTTTAACTTACGCGTCGATGGCATCGTTGATCTTGTAGGAAGCATTTTTCAGGTACTAAAGGTGAATCGTCGGTCAGCATTTCTTCATGTTGAACATTCAAGTGTCTGTTTGTTTCGCCGATTCGCCCTCCCCAGAGCCCTCCCCAGGATGGCCCCTCCCCGCCAAGGAAAGATTCGTCTGGATGTCCAGTTAAGCGCTGCGTCTAGATGGCGCATGGCAGCACAACGTCGCAGAGCACAACAGGTGCCGACGTTTCTCCGCCACCCAAAGACGTGGCCAACGACCTGGGATATCGGGTACGACGATGGGCGGGTTGAGAGAAGCGGGGAGAGTAACCTTGGGAAGACGACGGCAAGACACGACACGACACGACACAACATACGACGGGGTCGGGTGGAATATGGTCTCCCTATCTCGGACGTACCCGTTGCGCGGTCCTGTCACTGGCGCCAGTCAACTGGACGAACTGCGTCGTCATCGCCTTCTGCGAGGACGTAGGCGGCATCGTGGCTGGATTCTGAACCCCTCAGCTTTGGTATCGGTAGGTGTCGAAATCGGTATCGGGCGGCAGGCGGCGGGCGGTAAGATTCGGGGTTCTGATTCTCGCGTGACGCAATTATCCTCGTTAGCGACGGCGGGGAATCGTAACGAGAAGCTATCGAGGGCGAGGAGGCAAGCTAATCGAGGGACCGATAACAGCGGGGTTATTGGCGATGTATGCGCCGTTGCGGTCGAGGTGTGTTTCGCGGGGTCCTGGCGCGTTGTTGGACGTCAACGAGTTTGTCGTCGAGGGCAAGTTGTGGTTGATCGAAGGGAAGGCGACAGGAGAGGCAGTGGAGGATCGGAGCAAGGCTGAGGTTGAGATGGTGGGGTAATAGCGGCCACGGATCTGTGGCGGGGCACCTTCCCTCGTGGTGATTTTTTCTTTTTTCTTTTTTGGGGGTTCTGAGGCAGTCGCAACAGGTAGCAACGGATAAGGTACCTGAGTACTAGGTAGGAAATGCACTCACTACCTAGGTATTGGCGAAACAAAACCTCTGGATCAAAAGTTAAATATTTTCATACTTCTGTATTACTTTTTGAGATGATATTAGCCTTTATTCCCATCTTTACTCTCTCCATCCTTCTCTAAAATCTTCCAGAGTTGATTCTAGTTGAATACTCACTGTGCAAGGTAGGTACAAGCAGAGTATGGGTGGATTCCAGCCGATTCCAACACCGCTGTGGACGCTGATGGAAAACATCGCACTGGTCGCAGCACCTGTCCGAATGGCCTGCCCTCCTTGTACTCCCGCGACTCCCGCGACTCCCGCGTGGGACTCTCTATCTTAGCACATCCATGGATCCAGTCCAAGGTAATGCTTTCGGTAGGTAGAACCTTGATGCACGGTCAATCCTGTAATTGTCTTCCTCTCAAGCCAGAGTTTGAATCAACTCAATCATTTCCTGTCCCCAAGCTCACTGCCTCTTACTAAGCCGTTGTCACCCCTCTGCCTTGTGCCAGCTAAGCCCGTTGAATCTTTTTATTCGGTATGTTTCACAGAATCGCAAGTATGTTAGACACATGTTCTTCCCAAAATCTGGTGTTGTCGAGCATGTCGAAGCCTGGCCTAAACAGCCGCAAAGTATTCTGCCAAGTTTCTGACTTGGGTTCACTGGAAACCGGGCTATTGGCGCTGATATCAGGTCGAGTTGAAGAGGGACTTGCAGCTATAATACGAATATTCTTTACGCCTTTGAAACCTGGGCTGATGTGTCTAATTCTTGCCGGAAGGTCACGAGTGGATGGGTGAGCTTTGCTACTGACTGACTTTGAAATCTTTATATACCAGCGCGGCGTTGAACCTTATCATAGATGCGTCTATATCAACTATATCAACCTTATTCGCAGGCTCGAATCCGGCGACAGAGAGGGGAGAGAGAGAGTTAACTACATCAAGCAACCAGTTGAGTCCCGGCAGTCTATCAGCATCAAGTGCCCTAATCTACCTGCTCATACCTACACAATCATTTCTACAAGACGGTTGACTGTGCACTTCACATACTGAGGAATCATCTGTAAATGTATATGTAACGATTTGCTTCCCTCTGAACATTTTCCCCTCCTCTTGGGCAGCTGTTTTGCTGATGTCTCTACCTTAAAGGTATGAGTTGCGACTTGGCTTATCACTTACACCAACCTCGCTTGTTCGCAAAGTGGCATGCTATGACGCTCCTACCACTCCGCCCTCGACCTTCCTCATACCTGTTTGATTTCAAGATTTCGACAATTCTGGATCATCTTCTAATGAACATATAATGAGATACATACAAAAGAGCAACCTTATTCAGAGACTGTTGAAGGAATCCGTCACATTTCGATGGAACCCGTCTTAGCACGTCTACACCGGAATCACGGGCAGCGACTGGATCACTGACAGAGGTCCCTTCCAGGTTCTCAGGGCCCTAGAACCAACAGCACAAGCGGCGGGCTCCCTGTAGGCAGCTGCAGCAACCCCACAATTGGAACATGACGTCTACCAATAGCGCCCGGGCCGCTTGTGATTCACCAGATTGATTGGCACAGGCAGCAGACGCGACTTTTTCCTCTCGACGCGCCGCTGCCCTCGAGAACCAGATGCACCAATGATTCTAGAACTGGTCGACACAACTGCTGACCTGAGCATCGATACCTACAGCTCCCAGACGTATCCTGCAACCGACATGCTCTAGGATGGACTCATCATTCAGTCGTGAGGCGAGCGAGCCTCCGTTCGACCCTGCCCACCCTTTCAAGGGCGTCGTCGTGTGCTGCACAAGCATCCCGCCAGACCAGCGAGTAAGTCGTGATGCACATTTGCCCCTCTAGCACCTTCACACACCTCCCTCCACCAAACCTCGAGAGCGATTCCTCTGACGCCGTGCCCAGACAGAGATAGCCAAAAAGACGGAGGAACTCGGCGGCATCCACAAGTACGATCTAACACCCGACGTCACCCATCTCGTTGTCGGCGACTACGACACTCCCAAGTACCGCCATGTCGCCAAAGAACGAACCGACATCAAGGCCATGGATGCCACCTGGATCGACGCTATGGGGAAGCTGTGGATGGCGGACGCCAATATCGACTTCGCGGCACTCGAGAAAGAACACCAGCTGAGGCCGTTCGAGACATGCGGCGAGGTCCCCGATGCGACGGACCCTACCCAGGCGAAACGAGGCAGTCTACTACTGTGCATGACCGGCTTCGACGATCGTAGGTATATGAAAGAAGAAGTGGCATTACCATTCTAACAGCTGCGCAGCCGACGAACGTAATAAAATCATCGACCGAATCCAAGAAAGCGGCGGCACTTACACGGGCGACCTGACGAAACGAGTCTCACACTTGATCGTATACAAGCCGGAGGGGAAGAAGTTCAAGGCCGCCCGTAACTGGGGCATCCGTACCGTATCCCTGGCATGGGTCGACCAGACGATCGAGCGCGGCATGATTCTCGACGAGCAATGCTTCGACCCGGTCATGCCGCCAGAAGAACAAGGGCAAGGGGCGTGGAACAGAGTTAACCCAAGACGGGTGTCGCTCGGCAAGCGGTCGAGGTCTGGCGTCGGGGAAGACGGGCAGAGGAAGTTGAGGAAGACAGCGAGCATGAAGCTAGGCAGTCAGCGCGACAGCATCTGGAACGACCTTCTGGGCAGTAAACCTTCCGGGGAGTCCTCCGCTCCTCAGAGGAGCGAGCGGATCGAGGTGCAGGATTCCGGAGTACACGACGCCATGGCGCAACCCGCTCCTGACGAAGGTATCTTTTCAGCGTGCCACTTTTTCATGGCCGGCTTCGAGACGTGGAAATCCAAGATCTTGTCCGAGACGATAGGCTCCCTCGGCGGAAAGACGTACGCTGCCTTCGAAGAATTAGTCGCAGAGGCTGCCGGACCAAGGTCACTACACAAGTTTCTCATCGTTCCGCAGGAGGCCCAGCCCTCAACTCATTTCCGAATACCACCTGCGCATGTCGACAAGGTTCAGGTTGTGACCGAGTTCTTCGTCGAGCGGTGCATACACAACAAGACTCTTTGCGACCCGAATACCCACGCCCTAGGCCGTCCATTTCCCGGTTTCCCCATCCCCGGCTTCCAGGACTTGTCTATATGCACGGCAGGCTTCACCGGCATCGATCTTCTCCATGTGGAAAAGACCATCAGGCAAATCGGCGCCAAGTACGCAGCAAGACTCAACGAAGCTACTTCCGTGTTGGTCTGCAAGTCTCTCGCTGAAACGCGCAAAGAAAAGCTCAAGTTTGCCTTCGACAGCAACATCCCCATCGTCAGCTCAGAATGGCTATGGGGCAGTGTTTCATCGGGCTACAACGTTCCCGTCAAAAGATTCATGTTTCCCGAGCTGCAGCAGAACCCCGATTTGAAGGCCAAGCCAAGAGCAAAGGAACAGCTCAAGGAACAGACTAAACAACCAATTCAGAGGACGCGGTCTGAACCCATTCCTCATATGCCCAAGAAACCCGCCTCAAGGCATACTTCAGTCGCAGGAATCGACCCCACGGCATTCCAACACGAACAACAAAAGCCCGCCGCCCCAATGCAAACAGCGACGAAGGAGGACTCAGCCGCGTCCTTCCAATTCCAAACCGCCAAGACGCATCAAATGGACAGCTTCGGCGGCGGCACCGTTGCTGCGCCGCCGTCCAACTCATCCTCACACGCCCGCAACGAGTCGACTACGTCAGAACGGCCGGCGAAGCAGAAGCTGGCAAGGACAACAAGTGTGGCCGACAGCATGGACGACGCAACGCCCATTTCGGAAGCAGAAGCGGGGGGCGTGGTTGTGCGGCATGTCGTGGACGAGCCCATGCCGCCGACCAAGCATGGCGAAAAGCCCCAGCTCTGGATATCGCGGGGAGATGAGATTGCCGGTGAGATACAGCTTAACGATGAAGCCAGGCTGAGAATGGACGCCCACGACGACCGCATGCGGGAGGTCGGGATTGATCAAGCGATTATTTCTGCCGCGACAGGGGGGATCAGCGATGAGAAAAAGGCACAGCTCGACGCAGCGGCCGCGCTGTGCAAGCGCTCTCGTGAGCTCGAGAACATGGACGAAGACGAGAAAGATGAAGCTCAGCTGGAATTCCAGCGTGAAGAGCTGAAAACCGCAAAGTTCCGCAACGACTGCTTCGAAAAGGTCTTGGAATATCAAAAGGACGAGGACGAGGCGAGGGCGCACATGGAAGCCGAGCTCAAGGCCGACCGCGACGCTAAGAAGGCCGCGGAGAAGGAAGAGATCACCGAGAGACTCACCAACCTCATCGAGGCCAGGGCGATGGATAGAGACATAGAATTGCCTCGAAAAGAGGAGCATCCCCCACACCGACGCCCAAGAAAACGTCCCCTGGGCCGGGTCATCAGCAACGCATCGGCTGCTTCTAGCGGCAGCGCCGAGCTGGACATGTACGGCCAGCCCACGAAGGAGAAGCAGGAGGAGCAAGAACCGCCGTCCACGCAGATTCAGTACCAGGACCCAGGCGCCCAACAGCACCGGGCTAGGATCATGAGCAAGATGATGGGCGAGGACCCTAAACCCGCGACCAGCCAGGGGAAGACCAAGATTGGAGGGTTCGAGTTTGAGGGCGAGGCGGGCGGTATGATGTCCCGTCGGCAGACCAGGAGGAACGCATAAGAGGTGCGGGTAGGTTTTTTGATAACGAGTTGGGATCGTTCTTCTTGGTCTCGAGAGGGAGTTGGGTCGCATGGTTGAGCTCATAGCATTGCATAACACGACAGACATGGATGATGACGCCAACGGTTCGGTTAAATAAAAAGGCAGTTGTTTATAGCAGGAATCTTTTAATAGCATGAAAAAAGCCATCTCAATCTGGGTATCTTTGATTTCGTATATATACACTCACCCACGTACGTCTACAAAAGGGGGGGTCTCTTGGTATCATCCACTTTGCAGCCCCCGAGTACAGGTATCATGACGCTAACTTCTCTCCTCGGTTCCTCTGCGACAATTGACAAATGAAATGGCGGGATAGGTATCGTGCAGTATTCTTGTTGGTCCGACTTTTTCTTTTTCTCGTCTTGAAATGTCCTGTATTCCGATCTGTCGAATGATGTGATGTACGGGCGCAGCCCTCGAGAACAAAGAAGCATTGGATATAACAAAACAAACGACAAAAGCTTTGCTTAAACAGAACAGAAACGGAATTTGGTACAGAATCTCTTTTTTCAAACACAGATCATCTTACAACACTTCCAGAACGCCGGCAGAGGAGCTTGACTACAAGACGGACGCGGCCTCGGTCAGCACGCTGAGCAGACTCGCGGCGGCGCCGCCGATACCGACGGCGCCCAGCGTCTCGCCCCACGCCTTCTTCTTGTCTCTCCTGGAGTCGCGGTCCGCGCGGTCGCGGTGGTGGCCGCGGCGCGGGTAGTGGTCTCTGTCCCTGTCGCTCCTGTGGTCCCTGTGGTAGTCGCGCTCGCCGCGGTCGCGGTCTCTGTAGTCGCGTTCGCGGTCGCGGTCCCGGTCGTGGTCTCTGTGTTCCCTGCGAGACGGGCGGCGGGGTCTCCTGTCGCCGCCTCGGTCGCGGTCGCGGTCGTCGCGGTAGGAGCGGGGCGTGGCGTCGACCTCGTGGGGTTCCGGGTCGAAGTGGACGCGGTTCTCGTTCTTGTTCTTGAGGATCGGTTTGGGTTGGACGGTGGCGGCTGGGGAGGTGCCCTTTTCCCTGTCGGATGGAGGCGGGACGATGAAGTATTTGCCGTCCTCTCTTTTCCTGGGCTTGTTGTCGTAATTTGAGTCCGACGAGGCATCGGAGGAATCCCACAAGACGTCGTCTGAGGAAGACGTGGCGCCGCGGGAGTCGCCGCGTCTACGCTGAGATGGAGGGCTGGAGTTGGCGCCGTTGGCGTTTGGTCTGTTTCTTGAGCGGGCTGCGCGAGCTTCGGCGGACAGACGGGCGTATTTGGTGATTTCCTCGCGGGTGAGGACGCCGAGAACCGCAACGTAGTCTGGGCGTGCCTCGTAGCGGACGCCTGCTCGCTCGAGGATCTCTGGGGAGACCAGGGCGCGGCGGATACGAGTCCATTGTGCTTCGAGGGGAATGTTCATGCCGTAACGGTCTGGTGCGAGACGACTTGATGAAGTCCGGGGAGAAGGAGCACTACCAACGATGGGAGGTACGAAGCGCGGTGAGACGCCGAGGTTGTTGGCGACGTCAGGAGGCAGGTAGCGTGTTGACGGAGAGGCATCGGAGGGAGAGATGCTGTAGTGCTGAAGAGGCGGGCCGCCGATACGCAAGTTGTCCATGCCCGTGTTGATGTTGTCCATGACCATCAAGTCGCGGGTGGAGATGAGGGCGAGAGAGTCGTTGTGCTCGTCGTCCGTATCATGGTCGTAAGTCGAGAGAGCGCTGAATTGGTTCGGCATGTTGGGGACGGAGGTGCGCGGGTCAGCCATGCGGCGGGGTGCATCGTAAGACCCGTACGTCTCGCCGTTTTGACGGCGTTCTTGAGCGAGAAGACCGCGGACAGATGGAGGCGCCGTTGCGTCGTTGCTGGTTGATTCTTCCAGCTCACGAATGTAGGCGCGGAGGACCTCCTGTATGAGTTGTCAATTTGATGTTCGTCGCCGCCAAATATCATAGGACGGAAATATGTGGGTTTATGGGTTTTATATGTGAGCATACCTTGTTTTTGCGGAGGACTTCCTTGGAAAAGCCTTCCTTTTCTAATTCCGTCCTGAACTGCTGCCAGAGATCTTCTTCGTCGTCGCCGCCGATGCCACTGTCTCTGCGCGCAAAGAGCCTTGCGGCAATCGCGTCGACCTTGTCCTTGATGTTGTCGAGGTTGCCGCCCTGCTCGTCGACGACGCGCTGCGCCTTGGTGGGGTTGTGCAGCTGGACGGTGTCGAGGAACATGTCAATGTTTGTCTTCTGGGCGGCGAGCTTGGTGCGGATCATGTCGACCATGTCGCGCTCGCGCTCCTCGAGGCGGTCGATGCCGCCGTACTTTTCGAGGATGGTGTCGAGCTGCTTGAGGGCGAAGTCGCAATCCTCGATGAGCGGGGCGAGCTGGCGGGCGTAGACGGCGGCGCCGGAGGAGTTGAGGAGAGAATCCGGGTCCTCGGCTTCGACCTTGAGGTGCTTGAGGACTGTGTGTAGGCGGCGGACGACGGTCGCGATGTCTACGAACTCGGGGCCCGCAGTCTTTGCGCGGCGGAAGAGGGCGCGCGCGAAGGCGTCGACGGCGCCGATGTTGGGGAACGTGCCGTTGCTCATGGCGGCGGTTGGGTTGTGGTTGTGGTCAGTATTGGGTGGTGTTTGCTCGATGACGAGCTTGGTATTGTGTAAGAATGTGCCTTGGTGGTGAGGGTGGTTTGTGACTGAGATTGAGAGAGAGAGGGAAGCAGTGGGAGACCAGAGGATCTTCTAGTAAAGCCGCAGCGGACGCGGGTAGGCGGGAGATGCGTTGGGACGCTGCGAGGGCGGATCGACGGGTGCACGCAATATGGAGGGCGGGTTAAGACCAGGGAAAGTGATGAAGGTCAGGAACAGCAATAAAGATGTGGCATCAGAGGAGAAGCCGGCTGGTCTTGTCTTGAGTGAGATGTCAGGGGTGTTGTGGAAGGGAACGTGGGTGACGGAAGTGCGAGGGTTGAAAAGGGAAAGGCTGGATGTTGGTTTGGCAGGGGATGGATATGAGCAGAAGGAAAAGGTGCAGGTGGATGGATGGACAGGATAGAGAGGGAAATAGAGCAAGACTGATTTGTGATGTGCTACGTGATGAGGTCCGAGAATAACAGCAGGATCCGGAGTATGTCCAGGTCGAGGCGTCAAAGTGTCGAGTTCAAGGCAAAGTAGAGTACAAATGATGGTGACAGCTACAGCGACATTGACTCGGTGAGAGCAAGGTCAGGCAGGGTAATGTAAAAAAGCGCAGGAAACAATTAGTGAATCACGAAACCAAGGCGCTATGTTCTGGCAGGCGACCCGGAGTTTAGAGAGACACAGAGAAGGAGAAAATGACAACCTAAGGCCCAATGTTAGGCCACGGGGTTTGGTGGTGATATTGTCATCGACCCCGTTCCCAAGTTGAAGTGACTTGGGGTCATGGGCATCCAGCGGCTTATTGCGGCCGTCAGCTTGTACCTCCGTCTGGTGTACTCTACACTACCTTACCCGACATGATGGAGTAATACAAGATACGCCGCCTTGGACACGGCAGCAAATCATGTGGACGAGAAGCGCCAGGCGACTCCAACTTGGGCCCCGCGTGCGTCCGCTTGGGAAGGAAAAGGAGAGAAAGGCAGACGTAAGAAGATGAAGAGACGCAAAGCGAGGTACTTTCTCGGTCTTACAGGGCTTGACGGAACAGACATTCAAGTTCTCAATGGGGACGTCTTTTGGAGAATCCGTTCCTCCTCGCAGCCAGCAGTGACAGTGACAGTGACAGCGACAGAATAACGGAGGCCGATCTGCGCAGCGGGCCTCCAATACGTCGCTCTCATTACAAACGATGGTGTGGTGCGAGAGGCTTGAGCTCTGCTGCGTTGAAGCGAGGCCAGGCCAGCAGGCATCAGGAGGATGTTCGAGGCACGAGGGAGACACGGAGAGTGCTGTCAATGACTTTGTTTTTGGTGCTTTTGCTGCCGGGCTGTGATGTAGTACCTACCTGTCTTCGAAAGCGCAGGGAAGAGAAAAAGGTGGGATGAACAACGGAGGTCATGTCGGTGACGTATGGCTGTTAGATCCATGAAATCATACCGTCCGGGGGCCAAGCAGAGACGAGACAAGGGGGTGGTGGCCAGTCACTGCTGGGATCGGCATCTTTTCCTGCCCGCATGAGCTTAGCGCCCGAACGGACCAAAAGACCCTGAGCTCAGCCGTTTCTCATCTTCCGTCTCTCTGTTTCTCTCTCACTGTGTCTTGTCTCTCACTCAGGTCACTCACTCACTCACTCTCACTCTCAAAACAGCATCATTCATCACTCTATTCAGAGTCAATGAAGATGATACTCGAGGTCACAACGACCGATATTCAGCAGCCGGAAATAGCGCACTCAACTAATCAAATGTTTATTGTCCAAGCAGAGTTTCATAAACACGCATCCTGAAATAGCACCCTCTCTGTTTTGAACATATGTCGTTTCTCCATAAGGCTGTATTCGTTCAACCTCTCTGCAATCACCACCGTCATGCTAAGCGACCAGGGCCTGGCGCAGAAACATAGTGACCTTCCCCAAATTCTAGGCACTCCACGGATACGTCCTCGCCAACCATGTGCGCCGGGGTTCGATTTCTTGCATCGTCATTCCTGCGTGGTAGTAGCTCTCACCCCCAGACCGCCGGGATGACCCTGTTTCGACTCTGCGCCACCCGCCTGGTTCATCGACGGTCGAAGAATCGAAGGGGAGTCAGAGGCGCGCGCGCGCTGTCCCCCCGATGACCTCTCCTCACTCCCAATGTGGCTCCCTCGCAAAGCCTCAATGAAGAATGAACACACTGGCGGACCAAGAAAGCCCTGGGGGCGCCAGCGGACGGCGAGTGTGTGTCAAGGCAGAACGACAAACTACGAGTCCGCTGCCGGACGGAAGAGAGAATAGAAACCCTGCTTGGGCCTGGGCCCGCTACCGTACGACAACACGAACGGCAAGCTGCAGCAGATATTCCATGAATGGCCGGCGCGGGTGCTCGTCCGGCGGCCCCCGAGATCGTAAACCCACGAGTTTAGGACAGAAAATAGCAAACTCTTCGTTCTCCTTTCCGCCTTCGCGTTCACGTACAGGAAAGGGGTCCATTGGGGGTGGAGATGTCGCCGCCGCCGCTGCAGACATCACGGCGAGAATACAGAATACGGGGGGCGAAACAGCTCGTTGGGTCTGGTCATGCAGTAGTTCGTTCGTCTTGGCCTCTGTTCAGTGACAGCGACAGCGACAGAACACGAAGGGAAACGACGCTAGAGGAGACAGGGCCTTCTAGAAGCTCTGGCCGATTCCATTGGATTGCTCCATTCCTCAAGGGTCCTATCCTCTTGGCTACGACTACTGCTGCTAGTAAGGTAACGAGAAAACTGTCAATTCAGAGTTGTATGTCGCGGCGATTCCGTTTCGAATCGTTTCCTAGCTGCATGTGCATCGAGGAAACAACGAAATACACGAAGAAACGTCTGAAACGGTCGAATAACAGGGCATTCTGCTGACGAACGTCACTCGCTACATGCAAAACTGTACATGCCGGTATTCCCGTCCGTCTGAACGCCTTTTGCCGAACAAACTTTCGAGGCCTTTCTTCTGAATCGTTCCCGTTGCTTCACTTTCTCCCGTCCCCATCGTCTCATCTTGATGTGGTAAGGGCACGGCATGACTGGGCTTTGCGCAACCGGCAATCCCAGGGCTCATCCATGCAACTTCCCGCGCGAACACCCAAATTCCGTACAGTGCTTACCTCCATCACCTCCATCACATCGAGAGAAAAAGGCATGTTTGCAAATGGATGCTGCTTTGCCTCCCGGGATGTCATGACCGGCTGGCGAGACTCTGCAGCAATAGCGTCGCAGCAAGCTGCCCGACAAGCCACGCCCACATTCCATATCGGCAGAAGAGTGGCCAAGAGAGCGGGGTTGAAGAGCTGTCCGCAGCAACATGCATGGCAAGCATGCAATAGCTCCCTCAGCCGGACATCAAAAGAAGCTGCTTGGCATCCGTCTATTGGTTCACCTTTAGAGAAAGAGTTCACTGCTGAGCCACCCAACCAACCCACCACAACTTTGTGTTCCCTTCCGGACTGATCAAGCTGCATGGCTGTGAGACAGTGAGGCTGTCAGATTTCCTCGGCGTCTCAACTACCAGGCAGCAACCGCCCTTCTTCCAATGATTCTTGGGACGGGGGTCGATGGGAAAGTGCGAAAAAGAAGGGTATCTACAGTATCGTCTTACCGAGCTCGGGCCTCGATGCATATGCTCTGACGGGATTGTCCCGCGCTCAGCTGCTTTGATCTTCCCTTTTCCACATGTCGCCGAGGACTGAAGATCAGACCTTTTTTTTCCCAGCTCATGACTCTCTGGATTAATAATGATTACTCGAGTTCGAATCATGTTATTGAATGTGCTTGAAATTCCTCGATAGAAAGTTTGCGAGAAATGCCGCGCATGAACGTGACGCCAGATCCATATTTCCGAGCAGACAAAGCCGCATATCTCAAACTGATCACCATGTCAAAGTACATCCATCCCTCCGAACAGTACTGGTACAGCTTCTGAACAAACTCCCGTCTGGCTCAGTGATGCCGTTGGTGTCACACCGACGGGAAGAGTGCTATGGTTCCGATTCGTCCGGTGTGCTCAAGGAAATCGAAAGTCGGCTCAGCCCTGCGTTCGTCAATATGTCAGCTGCGGTTGGATCTTCTCCCGGAACGTTTTCTTCTTTGTTTCCATGCTCGATCAATGCAAACTTTATTATTCTAGCCATGGGGGCTTGTCGGTCACCTAATTGCTGGCTTCACCGACTGTAAGCTTCGGTCTCCGTTCATGGTATCTTTCCAAGTGCCGCTGACTCTTCTACTTCTCTACGTCGTCTTCCGCAGCCCGTCAATGGCCCACTGCCGCCTCCTTCAGGGCGCGTTCCGTCGCCCCAAACCAACAGCATTCGTGCAAAGCCCCCTTTTTTCAGCCCTAACTCCAACCCATAATCTGACATGGTAGTATTGTCCTCCCGGGGAACACGTCCCTCGTCTGACATGCGGCTCAAATGACAATCCGCTCCAGCGAGTACGCCTTGACTTTCTGACTCAGCAAGTGTCCTCTCTCACGCGAAGTCCTCTCGGTCACCTCACCGCCCGAGACGACCTTGTGGTGGGGAACGCTCTGCTTGGACACCATACCCAGAGGCAGGCGGGACGACGCCTCCACGTCCAGAGACACAGGCTTCTGTCCCCGTACCGCTGCGGCCTTGCCAGCATTAGCAGCCCGACCGTATTGGACCGCCTCGCCGACGAGGCCGTTAAGGTAACCCGCCTCGTTCAGACCCTCCAGGGCGGCGCTGACCTCGAGCTTCAGCGCCGTGATGAAGTCAGCCGCATCGGCCTGGTCGTCCGATGTTCCATTTGTAAGCCAGCCGCTGGGTCCAACAGAGTCGATGCAGCGTGACAGAAGCTCAGCAATGAGCGAAATGGCGCCATCCGGCGGGGCCTTTGACCCCTCGTCGCGGTCGAAGTTTGTGGCATCCACATATCGTGACGTCCAGGCACTGCCGATAAGCTGAACTCGCAGGAGGTGGATGAGGGACAAGATCTCGGTCTGGTTGAAGGTCTGGCGGAGAGCGCGTACTGTGGCGATCGAGGAGTAGCTGGCGAGCTTCTCGAATGCCGTGGTAAGCACCTGTGCGCGGATGTTTGAGTCGTCTCCCAAGTGATACTCGGCCAGCTCGAGCTCCTTCTCCAGGTGGTCGATTTCCATCTCGACGTATTCCTCCTCTTTCGTTTCTCTTGGCGCGGGCAGCAGCAGTCTAGACTGTTGATCAAGACTGCGCATGATGACTCGGATAATGAGCAGAAGTTCCTTCTCTCCAAGCTTGGTTGCTGAGACGTAGTGCAGGAGCAGGTACATGGTAGGATCCTGGTCGACGAGTCGCTCCACGAGCTTGTCAATAATCGTTGACTGGGTCGTCTCTTCGGCCATTTCGACCTTGAACGCCGCGGACATGTTGGCGTTTGTGAGATGTCCAGCATAGATGAGGTAGAGGAGGACATTGTTTGCTTGAGGAAGATCGTATCGTAGGACTGATGCACCCGATCCCTGTGCGTCCATCGAGAATACCCTGGTGATGGCGTAAAGCACCCATCGACGATCGACGGCGGGGTACTTTTCTGAGCGGTCCAGCCACTTCCACTCTGGTGTTTGCACCCCGTCGAGGTTCTCGTCTTGTTCGATGGCAACTCCAAACCTCTGAGCCAACAAAGCCTCAAACGCCTTCCATTCTTGAGCTTGCTTAAACCCGTCTGCCTTTTCTACATCTGCCAAAGACTCCTCCACGTATTCACTCGACAGAGTTCCGGGAAGATACTGCTCAAAGGCGTTGTTGCCGGTCGGCTTGGGCAAGGTTGCCGGTACGCTGTCTGATCTCGGCAGGCCGCGGCCGATGGCGTCGATCAGAAGGCCCTCCTTGCCGTGAGACTTGGGGCGCTCAATTTGGATGGAGACCAAGGTGTTGCCGACGACAGCCACAGCCATATCCAGCTTGGAGAGGAAAGTCACCAGATTGGGTGTTTGCTGCTCGTGGCCCTGGGGCAGCTCAACCGCTGTCTGAGCTTGAATTGAATGGTATGTAGGGTTGATAATGCTTGCGGAGGTTGCAGTCAGGCACAGGACCGAGTGTTCGGAGAGCTGCAGGAATGAGGTGTTGTTGACCAGCGGCAGGCGGCCTTGAAGCCTGGGAACGACGCTGGTGAGATCGTAGGTATGGAGAAGAGGACCGGAGAGCTGGAGAAGTTTGCCAGACTGGACATGGAGCTGGTAGGTAGAGGTCTCCGACGAGAGGTCTTCTTGAGACGGCAGAGGAGTGACGTGGACCTGTACCAAAGGCTGAGAAGACACCGCGGGCACAACGCCAAGAACAATGAGAAACCTTGAGGTAGTGTCTTCGTTGTTGGCACGGACGATGAGGGTGAGAACGTCCGGGTTGTACGTCTTGGGGTCAATCTGGCGGCCAAAAGAGCCGAAAGCGTCCTGTCTGCCCTGGAAAATCCCGTTCAAGACCTCAGAAGCGCTGGCATGGAGGGCGTATTCCACCTCGTACTTTGCGACAGTGGAGGGAAGCAAGTCCCTGCATAAGTTGTACGAAGATGCGCTCCACTTCTGCTCCAAGTCCTCCGCGCCGAAGCAGACGACCTGGCCATCCTTGCAGAGAGCAATCAAGTCGCCTTTCTCTGACTTCTTCAGATCGCTATCGGTGGTATCGACTGAGGTGGAAGTAAAGAGGTATTGGATCGGTGACTTGTGTTGCAGTTTCTGAGATGTGCTTGTGGAGTTGGTTTTACCAGTCGCGTCGACGACATCGCGGCAAAGAGTGACCTTTGCGCCGGTTGAGTCCTGGGTGGAGAGGTACGTGTAGTTGTTGCGACCGTTCGCGACGGCGTCTTGGTATCGAATCGAGTGCGGCGCGCAAGTGAACGACTCCTGCGGCGGGATCGGGTAGGAAGTTCGCAGACCGGATGATGGAACCTGGAAAAGTTAGCAAGGCCTGAAGGGCAGGAAGAGCGCGAGAAACTGACATGGTAAATGTTTGCCGCTTCTCCGTCGACACCGACTACAACCTCAAGCCTCTTCCTCTTCTTGGAGCCCGCCTTTTGGGTGTAGACTTCGCCGATGTGGTACTGGCCCTTGGTGTGGTCGAGAGGTCGCGGCAGAGACGCCAGGACATCCGGTCGGTGAATGCGAAAAGTGGGAGCCATTGTGAATCTTCGAAGAGCTGAACACTATCTCGTTGACTCGGATGATTCGTTGGCAGTGCCGGAGTCAGGCTGCTGCTGCAATGGCTCGTTTCAAACCAAAGTGCCCGTCGTGTAAGTGATGGCCTCAAGTCGAGAAAAAAAAAGTTGGAGGACCTTTCCGTAGTGGGGTGCGGTTCGCAGCTTGCGCATTGTTCGCACTGCCCCAGTTGCGGTTGAATGGGTATGTAGCACAGTGCAAGAAAACTTTCGGTTCACGATTGATCGGATTATCCACTTCCGACCACCGATATCGATAAGATAGCCAGAGATTAGATAAGGTACTGGCCGAAAACGATAAGACATGATGGGGTGTGGATCCGGGATGTTAAGTGTAATGGCAGTCGCGCTACACGCTACTGCCCCCCGGTAATCTTCTACGCGGTTCACGCGACTGGTGATGCCGGACATCGACAACCCAACCCACTTCTCTCACCAATTTCGAGCCTGCACCTAATACCTACTCTCGCCTGAGGAGGCAGTATTTACACAGCAGTCTTCATATAGAGACCATCTGCTTATAAGAAGGTCTCTTTCTTCTTTTACATCACTTCTAGCAGTTTGTCCTCCAGTCGCATGCCCTCTGACGTAGTTTGAAGGCGCGACGGCTGTAGCGTATGTATTGACTTGCACAAAAACCACAATCTCTTTGGAGCTTGCTAACAACTCAATTGCAGCATCGCCTGGTCTCATGGGAACTCTCTTGGTAGCCAACATGGCCCCCGAAGGGCTGGACGGCTCCAACAAGAAACTCCATCCATTCTTCGTTCCCGGAAAGACCACCGAAACCCCTGCTGCTGAGTCGAATACCACCGAAGAGGCCGCGACTTTGAACGAGAAGACCCCGAACAAGAGGCCTGGACGACCTCGGAAACAAACGCAAACCCCTCAAACAGCTTCGAGCGATGTGGAACTGCGGTCCTCGGACGTGGAAGATGACGGACGCGACCGGAAAAGGCAGAAGACGGCTGGCAGCGCGCCTAGCTCTGGAAAGAAGAGAGGTCGGCCAAGGAAGAAGCCCAATGGCACTACAACCGACATAGCAAATCACTTTTCTCAGAAGGACGGCACTTCATTGACCAAACTAGCCAACGAAGTACCGCGAACACCCCCTCCAGAACCAGAGCCAACTACGGAACAACACACCTCTTGCGCGCCACCTCCAACCTCTACCATACCGACATCAGGAGCCGCGTCGGAACCCAATTCGGCATCAGCCCCAAGTGCTGCAGCAGAACCGCAGCCGAAGCCGACGAAGGTTCTCAAGTTCAACCCGAAAACGGGCACAATCGGATCGCCTCCAAAGCCCAAGCCAGTTCCTGCAGAGGCTTCCAAAGGGACCAAGTCTTCAAAGTCGCCTGCCAAGCCATCTCGCGTCGTAACTATTAAGTACGGCCACGATACAGACTCCCGCGCGCGCATCGGTCCGCAGATCCAGCAGATCCTTGCCAGCCCCTCTGCGAAGAAATCTAGCCCAAGGTCGAAGACCACCCCCAAGAAATCGCGTCCCACTGCATCCAAGCCGGAAGACAAGTCAAAGTCGAAGGGAACACATCCCTTGTTCCTTGGAAAATCAAAAACTGCTGCAAAGCCAAACGCGCCAGTCGCGCCAGCCCCGAAACCTCCCAGGCAGACCGTCTTCACTTCCACACCATGCTCGCCGAAGAAGCAGCGGTCAATTCCTATGTCTGGAAAGGTTCCGCAGTTCGGTATGCGATCCATGGGGCTCAAAGTGCCAGGCTCCTGTCATCCCGCATGGCCAGCTCAGGGAATGGCCCATGTTAGGGGTCTGACGACTGAGGAAGAACGACTTTGTAACGCTGTCCGTCACCTCGAGGTATCATCTCGCAAGTCGAAAGGCCAAACAACAAACATCATGCCTAGCGAATCCGTCATTAGCCAGCTCGCCAGTTCCTTGGATACTATGAGCATATCGAAGTCTATTCTAGAGGCCACTGACGACGACTACCAACCGCCACCGCCCGAGCTTCGACTTCCTGGGAAGCATTTCGAGAGTGGTCGCAAATTAAGATCGAGGATCAAGCCTGAGCTTCGGACTTGTCTGCCATTGGGAAAGAACACCGAGGACAGCGACGACGAAGTCCTCACCACAACCAGACGCAAACCCCATCCGGCAATTGCGCGGCTCTACAATTCACTCGAAACTAATCTCTCGGCATATGACAAGTCTCAGTGTGAAGAGCTGACCTGGGCGCAAAAGTACGCGCCAGTTCTCGCCGAAGAGGTTCTGCAAAGCGGCAAGGAGGGCATCTTACTGAAGGAGTGGCTTCAAACACTCAGGATTCATTCCGTCCATACTGGTGTCGCTAATGCCGATCAGAAGTCATCCGGCCCCAAGTCTGGCCCTGCCCCCAAGAACAAGCGGAAGCGCAACAAAGTGGATGACTTCATTGTGTCGGATGGCGACGAGGCAGAGTTCCTGCCTAGTGTATCTGACGAGGATGAAGACGACTGGTTCCCCATGACCAGCCACGGCGCTCCTAAGAAGACCGTTGTTCGCAAAGACCTTGGTAAAGACATGAGTCGACTTACCAACGCTGTCGTTCTCAGCGGACCCCATGGCTCTGGAAAGACTGCCGCCGTCTATGCTGTTGCGAAGGAGCTCGGCTTTGAGATTTTTGAGATCAACGCCAGCAGTCGCCGCACTGGTAAGGACGTCATGGAAAAGGTGGGAGATATGACCCAGAACCATCTAGTCCAACAGAATCGCCAAGGAAAGGACGATGACCCCAAGGAGGATGACGAAACAACCAAGGACATCAAGTCTGGCAAACAGGGCACCATGATGTCCTTTTTCAAACCTAAGACGGCAAGCAAGCCGGCATTGAAGCCTGAGCAGAAGTCGCAGCCGAAGGCTGAAGAGCCAACCGAAGCTCCAAGGCCTGCCAAGGCAACAGGTCAAGGTCAGAAGCAGTCACTGATCCTACTCGAGGAAGTCGACGTTCTCTATGAAGAGGATAAGCAGTTCTGGGCCACCATCATGAGTCTGATTGCCCAGTCCAAGCGACCGTTTGTCATGACTTGCAACGATGAGACTTTGGTTCCCTTCCATAACTTCATTCTTTATGGTATCTTTCGCTTCACACCTCCACCCAAGGACTTAGCTGTGGACACGCTCCTTCTTATTGCTGCCAACGAAGGCCATGCTCTTCAACGCGCAGCAGTCAGTGCCCTGTACGAGTCAAAGGGCCACGACCTTCGAGCCTCTTTGATGGAGCTCAACTACTGGTGCCAGCTTGGAGTAGGCGACCGTCGCGGCGGCTTTGACTGGTTCTACCCAAGATGGCCCAAAGGATGCGACAAAGATGAGAATGGCGATGTCGTGCGCGTTGTCAGTGAAAGCACCTACTTAGAAGGTATGGGCTGGGTCGGCCGTGATCCTACGGTCACCTCAAGCCCACGCGCAGCAGAAGAGGAATTGATGACCCAGTGTTGGCGAGGCCTGGGATTGGACTTGGGCAACTGGCACGACTCCCTTGACATGGTATCATGGGCAAACAGCTTGCAAACGTCCTCTGCTGAAGACAGAGTCGCCGCATTGGATGCCTTCTCTGAGTTCTCTGAAGCCATGAGCACAGCCGATCTCTGTTCCAGTGGCGACTACGGACTCCAGTTCCAGGTATGTGACTGATCCTGCTACCCATCCATGGAGACCAAACTGACGAAAGTAGGAACCTCTCGATCCAACTCAGCCGGACATTACTAACAAAATGCGCGACGATTTTGTCATCGGACGGCGTCTACTCGAAGCGCCTCCGCTGACGACTTTTGTGTGCACTGCCACCGCCATTGCAACCAGCCTCAAATCCGCCGCCCGTCAGATCCTACAATCTGCTCCAAAGAGGACTGAGCCTGCGGTCAGCATGGACTGCGTTCAAGAACGGAAGGCGATCCAGCAGATGCGCCGGTCCTTCGCTGAACCGATTGGGGACAAAGCCATCTCACGATACGACATGAGTCTCGCATTTGACCCAATTGCGATTTCTGAGAAAGCAGCAGCTAGCATGTCAACCAGTCTTGAGCCGTCAGTATTCGACAGAACTATGCGGATGATTACGCTTGAGGTGGCACCCTACGTCCGCAGCATCGTCGATTACGATCATCGCCTGATGCAGGACCGTCAGCAGAGGAGCTCTTTACTCAGCGAAGGGGGCAGACCTGGTAAGCGCATGCGCAGCACTCGAAGCGCGCTCTCGGCTCAAGAGGGCGTGACGCGCGCCAGCGCTCGCCGAGAGAGCTACTTCTCTGCCGAGCTCAATACTCCGCTTGTGATGCGGACCGGAGGAGAGGATTGGCAAGCGGCCGTTGATGCAGAGATGCGTTTAATGCCGCAGGCGCCCAGTGTGGCCTCAAGTGACCATGGCGGCGAAGTCGCAGCTCCAAGCTCGAGCTCCGAGGTTCCAGTGCAGACCGGCGAGGCGCCGATTCCGGGTGCCCAGTAGATGATGATAATGAATAGGATGCATTGAAGTGGGCAAAAGCACTTTGGCTTTGGGGCGTTGTTGACATGGGACGGCACGGCATACGAACATTGAGCATTTGGTCGATAGATAACACGGCTAGATGCAATCGAACTAAATCAAATACACGCTATGCTCGAAATCCACGGGTTGTCATTCTCGATATCCCCCGTCCTAATTGTATGCGGACGCCCTCCTCGACCTCCGGTCATCAAAAACAGTCTCCCTCCTCTCCGGCGAAGGAAACCGTCTCGAACCCCTCCGGTGCCAGTCCTCGACAGCATCCTCAACCCGCCTCCTCGACGTAGTATCCTCCTCGATCACCTGCTGCGTACTGTCCCCGGCGGCGGCGGCGGCGGCGGCACCGGTCGCCGAACGTACAGTCGGAGCCTTCTCATACCTCACAACCTCGTCCCTCGGCCCTTCAAACACGGGAACGAAATTCTCCTCGACCAACGACCGCCCGCTCCGCCCATCTGCCCTCGACCTCGGCAGCGACCTCGGCAGCCGCTGCTGAGTCCTGTTGCTCGGCGGAGGCGGCGGGTGGTAGTGATCCGAGTAATACCCGTCGCTCTCGTCATCGTAGAACCTCGACCGGCGGTCGCGGTCGCGGTACTCCCTCTCCGGCAGCCTCCTCCGGCGGGTCCACTCCTCGTGCTCGTCGATGATGTACCCGTTGTGCCTGTCCCTGACGACGTTGCGGCGGACGGAGCGCCGGCCGGGCGTGTTCTCCCAGGAGCGGTGGTGGTTGTCCTTGTCGGAGCGGCGCTTGGTCCAGACGCGGTGGACGCAGATCGTGGCCACGGCGATGGCGGCGATGAAGACTGCCGTCGTCTTGAAGCTGGGCTTTTTGGGGCGAGGCGCGTGGTTGCGGATGTAATTTCGGGGGACGTTTCGGGGGTGAGGGCCGGCGGAGGATGAGCGGGAGGGGGAGTAGGAGGACGCACTTGACGTCGAAGAGGAGCGGCGGCGGGAGGGCATGGTGATGGTTTGCTGATAGGAGATTTTGAGATGTGTGTACCAGCGGGTTGCGGTGGACTTTTGAAGTGACGTCCCGATGAGATCCCCTTTGTCCGTCGTAGATGGTATATCAAGAGACCCTCCCTTGTCGTCCCAGAGAAGGTCGAAAGAGAGCAGAGCTTCTCACGACAAAGAGGGCTCACTAGTATAGGAATTTATCAAAGACCCTCCCTATCCATAGCTTTGCCCGTCAATCAGTCAGTGCGGCAGGGGTGTTCCGACGGGTTGGGCTTCGAGCTTCCCCGGTATCAGAGCCCGGACTCTTCGCAGTCTGGTGTGGTGTTCCTGTCCGAGCGGGAGGCAACCCGGAGTGTCGGTGTTGGTCGAGGCACTGCTGGGCAGATCCGAACAAGTGAGGAAATCGGCGATGAGCAAGATGGAAAAGTCGTCCTCGTGGCTGGTTTTGGCTGTTGGTTCGGGAGATTCCCATTCACCAGGGAGGTGTTCTTACGATTGCGGCGAAGTAATTCACGTATGCAGAATGTGCCAAACTTGTCGAGATGCAGTAGTCGGTTTGGAGGATGGCCCTAGATCGTCCCTGAAGCTGCGAGCTCCGGACCGATGAAGCGTTGATCGGATGGTCTGAGGGTTGGACGAGGCGGTTCCAACACGGTGACAGGAGCGAGGTATCACCACCACTCACTCACCCTCATAACAAACTCAACAGGAATCCAGTTCATTTTGTTTGACTGTTTGATTAGCACTTCTTCTTCCCGCCTTACGTAGTACAAACCGCTAGTCCGGTCCGGTCCAAGCCGGTTTTAGTCTCTCTCGCGCGCTTGCGAAGGACAACGACAGCCTGGAGCCAGGAAGTTCCGGTTCTCGTATGACGGGAAGCAGAGCGAGCGAACGATGCCCACACTGACCGGTCGTTGCGCAGAGCGGCAAAGAACAGACAGGGGTAGAGAGGTTTGCGAGACGAAGAGCTCGTTCCTTGGGGCGGCTTCGTTCCCCGGGAGTCCATGCGCGAGGCATACGGCGCGCGCTTCGGTGCTGTCTCGTACTTTTCCTCTCGTCTTCTTATTTGCCCCTTCTTCCGATCCGATTCGATACGGTTGAAGTAGGCGATTCGCATATCACCACCACTCTCGCAGGTAGGTAGGTAGGTGTCGCACCGAGAGCGTGATGAGGGTGAATGATGGAATTCGAATCCTCTGCCGTTGCATGCCGCGATTCTCGTCACTGGACCACATGAACTGTGGAATGCGTGAGGTGAGGTTGGGGGTGAGCTAGACGGCGCGTGGTCATGACGTGATGGCTGTTGATTGGTCAATGGTTGGTGAGGGAGCACCGGCGCGGGTGTGACGACACACAAGGAAGCTAGTTTTGGCCTAGATGGTCATTTTTGATGTTCAAGTAAGGTATGCTTCTCAAAGCTTGGGGGGCCTGTCGTTGGACGACTTCATGTCGTCCACGGTAGGCTCATATCATCAACTTTTAATCACCAAATTCAAGTAAGGTATCAGCACAACTCTAATGAACAACTCTAACAATAACTTCTATCTATACCACCAACTCTATACGAATAACTCTAAACAAACCCAGGCTCTTAGAAAACCCCCATTCCCAACGCGACCATTTGTACCAAAAACAGAGAAACGACAAAGCTCTTCAAACCAACCCAAGCCCGTCCGCGGACCGTCCGCATCCTCATCTCATACTTGGCCCTCTTAATCGCGTCCTTCACCGGCTGCACCTGATCCCTGACATCGCCAGCCTCGTAAAGCATTATCCTCTCCTCGGCGAGCCACAACAAGGCGTTCATCGCGGTGTACCTGCTCCCCGGACCGTTCTGCAACATCCTCTCCAACAGGTCCTCCAGGACCTTGTGGAAGCGAGAACTGTGGCCAGCGTCACACCGTCTCGACCTCTTCAACCCTCCAAGCCTGCTCGCCGCATCGTGCCCCTTCAACACTCCAGACCTGGACCTCTGCAGCCGGTCCCCGCGGCCGAACTCGTGTAACTCGAACAGGACCAACCCCAACATCCACACGTCGCTCGCCATCGTCGGCTTGTACTCCCCCCTGCCCCTGTTACCGCCCTCCCTGCGCCGGTGGAACTCGGGCGCGACGTACAGCGGCTCCGGAAACGACCAGTCCCTCAACACGTGCGGCACGAGCCCGTGACCGATGAGCTTGTAGGTCTCCCTCCGCTCCGGGCCGGGAGGACAGCCCCCCCGGAGGTGGAGGATGTGTCGCGGCTCGACGCTGCCGTGGACGACGCCCCGTCCGTGGAGATACGCCAGCGCCTGGAGCATGTCCCACGCGACGTCGAGGATCTCCCTGTCCGACATGGCGGCGGCGCGGGGGTCGATTCCCTTCCAGTCGGTGTGCTCCGTGACCAGGGAGTTGAACAAGTCGGCGTGGGCGGTGCGGGCCTTGTTGTGGTTGGCGGCATCGCTGTGGTTTTCGCTGCCGAGATAATCTTTGTAGCGGAGGACATGGGCCTGAGATGTCAAGTTAGCTCCCAATGTTTCTTTTTCCATCCAGAATGTCCAAGTAATGTGGACAACTAGAAGAGTAAAAATAAAAACTCACAAAACAAGCCTCGTCAGACAACGCAGCCTCCGCCCTGCCCAAACGCTCCAGCGCGCGCTTCTGCCCGTCACCGAGGCCCACGAACGTGATGAACGCCAAGTCGTGGTCATCGACACGCCAGTAATCGGCACCCGTATTCGGTGTTTGGCGTTTGCGATATCCCTCGCGCACCACGTAATGGCCGGAGCAGTTGCCGATCTTTTCGCAGACGACGTAAGGGCCCTCGTCGACGACTCCGAGTGCGTATTTGACTTCTTCGACTTCGTCCTCCCCGCGGGCCGGCATCTTCAACTTCGGGATGGCTGTGGATAGATGAACGCGGGTTGATGGTGAGTTGGCGAGCTGCTGATGAGGAGGAAAAACAGTCTCAGGTCGAGTTCGAGGCTGGTGTTAAATATTGTGTCGAGTTCTGAAGGTGGTGGTGTACATCCTCAGGCCCTCATACTCCTTCCTTTGGACTCTCGGGTTGTTGGCCGTCTTCATTGGGCCCGTTTCGGTCGTTCGGGTCGGTAGGAGAGGCCTCGAGACTGTGAGATCCATTGTGAAGAATGTCTCGCCTCGGCCACATTTGCAACAGAGGGGTTGTTCTCAGAACAAGAGGGATATAAAGGATTCATATTGCAGCACTTAGCGACTGATGATAAGTGACAGTAATGGATAATGATCCATCTTTATGCTTCACCTCACTCTCTTTGTCCTTCGAATCACTAAGAAGTCAGGTTTTCTCACTTATCATATAAATTCCAGCTGAGGCCTGAACTTCAAGGAGACCTGAGTTGCAGAGTACGGCCACAAACGAAGGCGACCCTGTAGAGTGGCATTTGAAGATCCAGGTTTCTTGATGGGGAAACACAACCCTTCCATTCATCAAGATGTAGTTAAACTAGCTCTATACGCTTTTTAATAACGAGATAAAACGGTACTCAAAACCGTACTAGTAAAGCAACATGAGCCACGCAGATCTTCATTCTCAACGACGGTCTCGACCTGGCCCCAGACCAATCATGTGGCCGATACACGGGAATACATCAACAACGCAATAGGCAGAGACTCGTATTTCAGAACACAGAACTGTTACAACCCACTAATACTTCTATCCAGCTCACCCAGTCCCAAGACTAACTGTCCTTATCACTGGTGCTGCTACGCCTAATAACACTCATTATCTTGGGCAATGACGAGACACCCAAGGCAAAGTCTTCGCGAGGAAACAACCAATTCAAAACTCTTTGATGAAGCTCCCATTCAAAGAAGCCTCACATATTAAATCGACCATACAATCCAACACCGTCAACCCGCAAAATCCAGCCAGTCAGGTCTCTTGTCAGCAACCGGACATACCTCCGAATCGCTCGAAAGGATTACTCATACAGTATCGCGTGGGAACTCACACTGGCCACACCGTGTTCGCACTCCGTCATCGTCAAAATTGCATGTCACCGCTCATCTCTCATTGGCTCAACCGCTCAACTCAATCCCATCTCACTCACATGCACATTGTTTGCAGACTTCATATTTTGCTGTTTTACTGATTTGATTTGTCTTGATCTTTCGTGATCTAGTGCTGTCATTGCTGACATTTGCATCTATCTACTTTCGTCGGCCCATCGACGATGTCGGAAGAACCAAAAATTCCGAAGTCTTCCTGCTCATCCCGAGCTTGGCCTGTTCGTGCTGAGGACCACCTCGCACTTTGGGTAGATATTACATGGAACATGGGCCCTTGACCTTTTGCCAGTCCCAACCTGATGAAAAAAAATAACTAAACTCCGCCTGATGCATGATTTTTGAGCAAAACGTGGCTTCTGGGTTTCGTGCTTTCCATCACCCAACCATCAAATGTCAATCCGGCCGTTTCCCAGACTGGTCGTAAAATGAGGCCCTTCCGACGCCCGAAACAATGCAATGCTAGAAAGATAATAAATCGAAAATTACTTGACTTCATGATTGACTCATGTGTCCGCGGAGGCACGCGAACTCCTAGTTCGGGTACGGTCCCTGAGGAAGGCCGTGGGGCATCTGCGACATCTGGTTCATCCTGTAGGGAGCGTTCATGAATTCGGGGACAACTCCAGTTCGCAAGTCGTTCCGCCTGCCGAGAGGTTGGTAGTGCATCTGCGTTGTAGGCAGGTGGTACTCGTTGAGAGAAGCTGACGGTGGTGGGTAGAGGAGGGTGTTGACGTGGCGAATCGGCTTGTACGGGCTCGGCCTCTGCTGCAGGTACACACTAGGCGAGTGCGAAATGGGCGTGTGCGCGATAGGAGTGTGAATGACCGATGCAGGGAACTGCTCGCCGAGAGGCGAGGAGGCGTAGACGGAGAGGCTGCCAGGGCTGTGTCTCTTGGTCGGCGTGCCGTACCCAATAGCCGGGTGCATCGGGACAGTCGCTGGCGTAAGAGACGGCTGCGGCATGGAGACGGCTGCCGACATGGGGAGTTGCGGCATCGAGGTCACAGCCGTGGGAGGGGGGTACACAGTCGACATGGCGCGAACACCTGTTCCCAAGGGCGGCAGAGATACGTGAGGTCCCGTGTTGTAGTTCTTCGTCGGGGCGTAGGCCATCTGCTGAGGAGCAGGGTTGGTATTGAGCGTCAGGTTCGGAACCGGGAGACGAATCGGCTGCTCGCCCACTACCGGGGGTCGGACGATGGGAGCCATGGCGGTTGGCTGTCTCGATAAACGTTTCGCAGCGGGCTCGATGTCCTCATCTGAGCTTCTCTTCCTTCCGTTCATTCCAACATGCTTGCCTGAGAGAGGCGAGAGTGGTGGGTTGTAGGCCGAGGGCCACGCCTGGGTGCTCGGCTGGATAGTCGTGCTAGGCGAAAAGATGGCGGTAGCGGACGGGGTGAGGGGAGGGAATGAGACTGCTGCCTGAGCTGCCGCAGTGGGCGACGGCACCGGAGAGGTGAAGGACTTGCTGAGGGGCGAGGTGGGTTGCTTCAAGGCCCTCTCGTAATACTCTGAGAAGCATGAGAGCTTAACCAGCCATTCCTCCCACTCCTCCTTGGTTGCCAGCAGGCTGTATCGCATGTTGCTGAGAAATTCGACTTCCATAACGTGAATTTCTTGCACAGAAATACCCGAAACCTCGGCCCAAGTCTTATTCGTGTACGTGTTGTCATCCAAAACTGTTGTCTGTCAGCTTCGTCCGACTAATGAATGCAAGTCTTCACTTACACTTGTTGCCCAGCATGAGCGCAACCGTCAGAAGACGGTATTCACTGCCGGAGCGGCCCTTCACCGCAGGATTCGTTGTCTTCAATCTGTAGACGAAAAGGAGGGCGAGGAGGATGACGTTTTGCGTGACTTGTGTCGTCGAGAGGACGCTGTAGGCCCATTTCTTGAATTGGGGGAACGGAGCCGCGTACTCTGTCAAGCGTGGGACAGTGGCAGTCGGGGGTCGTGATCGGATATTCTCGGCAGCTCGCAGGGTGTCGATAGACTCGAACCAGAAGAGGCAGGTTATCTACAAAGCTGTTAATTTCGATTCCCGCCATCCAAGCAAAAAGAACTTACCTGCGCCGCAAAGTCTGCCAAATTGCCGCCCTTGGGGTTGATGCAGCTGGGTATTTGCAGACTGTGCAGGACCAGAGCCGAGGAACCTCTCCTGGAAGAGGTACCATCCGTCTTGTTGATGGCGCCTGAAGTTGGTGTTGACGGGCGAGTCGAGTGCTTCGAAGTCGTAGAGAATTGGCTAGCACCGGAGGCAGGGTTCGCTACCGGTTGTGCTTGAGGGTAGGTATTTGTCGGTTGGGTGTATCGAGGGTATTGGGGAGCTCTCGCAGCCTCGGCCACGACAGCCTTGGGGCCCCTTGCTTGGGCGGCGGCCGATGTGTATGAGGGGAGAACATGGCTGTCGTAGGCGACGAGGTGAGGGGCGTGGTAGGTAGCACTCATGGCTTCGGTTGGCGGCGTGTTAAGCCCGCTCCGGCGGAGAGCAGCTCCAGCCCCGAGATCGAACCTGGAGTCCTTTTGCACGCGGGCGACGTTGTAGGGTTGCTGAGAGTAGCTCTGTCTGCACGACGCGGGATGTGCAGGAGAGATGGGGAGGCTGTAGAAGGGCAATGGTGCGGCAGTCGACATCGAAGCGGGGGGTTCGAGGAGTTCGTGAGAGACGACCTTGGGCTGGTCGTTGGCGGGTATAGGTCTCGGTTGCTCGAGGATGTCGGGAAGAAGAGTTGGTAGAGTCGAGAAGAGAGCAAGCTGAGAGAGGTGAGTGGAGGAGAAGAAGCCAAAGCTGGCGGCTGCTACATTTGCAGTAGTAGCGGGTGACAGGCAGTGACGACGGCGATTCGCTCAAAAGAAGCTTCCCACGCGCGTTCAAGCGGGCAGAATACTAGGGAATTCGAGTCAGGAGACGGTTGAGGCGTAGCTGTCGGTTCTTGATCGTTCCCGGAATTTGTCCTCGTCTTCTGGCTGGCAAGATGTGAGTTTCGTGGCAGAGTAGTTTGGTATCCCGATTATAGGCGAATCCCTAATTGCTGGCCATGGCAGGTCGGACGGATCGTGAACTCGTTTGTCGACCCGGGAGAACCCAAGAAAATCGTCACTTCTGGTCGGTGGTTGAGAGGGGTGGTGGGGGAATCTCTGGAAGAAGGTCCGTTGTTGGCGGAGACGAGGTAGGCAGACCAGACCCCTTAAAGACTGAAAGTGAATCGTCGACACAAGTTCGCTCTGCTTTCGAGACGGAAGGTGGGAGAGAAAGCGAGGCTCGGCGGTAGAGGTGAAAGTGAAGAAGGGTCGGGCGAGGTAAAGGCGAGGTATGGTGCGGTACGCAAGGCAAGGGTTCGACTTCAGATCATCCGTGTAAATGAAGTAAGGTAAGTGGAGGGCTCGCGGGCGTCGTCAATGAGGGCCGTGATTCGGTAGGCTGCAGGAGTCGGCGTGGGTTCTGGGTTCCAAAGAAGGGCAGGCTTGCAGTTGTAATTGTATTGTACGGGAGATAAAAAAAAATGGAAATGAGGAATTGAAGCGGTCGAACAAGGCGGCGGGTTGAATGGGGTCAAAAAGCAAAAGAGATCAAGGGTCAGGCAGGTCAAGCAGTACAGAGTAAGGTATCGGTAAGGTCAGGTAAAAGGCAGGCACGAAGCTGGCAGATTGAAGCAAAAACGGAGGTCGGAGTCGGGCCTAGCTAGGAGTGATATGGTTGCGTCGTTGGTTGTCTGGACTCTCAATTTTTGGAGTCTAGTGTATCCAATCCGCACGCCGTGTCGCTGTACGAAGGTACAAGGACCATGACCGCAGTTTGATGGGTCCTTGGGGGTAGTCGTGGTAAGGTACAGGAGGCATGGCCGTGGCATGGAACAGCATGGGATTAGGGTGGGAAGGACATGGAGGAGGAGGACATGGAGGAGCAGGAGGGAGGGTATCTAGATACGTACCTTTTTACTTCTGGGTAAGGTGGTGAGTGTTGAAAGTACCTTGTTCCATGTCGGGGACAAGAAGGTGAAAGTGAGAGGACGGCGGGAGAATGAGGTTAAAGGTACGTACCCTCTCTTTTCTTTCCACAATCTGAGTGCCGGGTGCTTCGTGCTTCGTGCTTTCCCTCCACTGACTTAGAACTTTGGTTCCGGTCCTTGAGAGACCTGACCTGAGTTGTGGTTTATGGACGGAGAAGGAGAAGGCTCCAAGGCCAGTCCAAGGCATAGCATACCTAGCTCGTGGCTCATGGCTCAATGTCTCCTCAGCGAATGGACGGCCAGCCAACCCAGCCCGGCCCAGCCCAGTCCAGTAGGCGCAGCGAAAGCGCAGGAGGATGGATGGCCCCTCAACTCCATTAAAAGGGACAAGCAGGAGCCAGGAGCAATACCTGCCTCACTAGCACTAAGTATTTGCACAGAAGGGGAAGGGATGAGATGAGATGTCGCAGGAGAATTGGAAGGAGAAGGAGCTGCTGCTGCGGCAGGTGAGGACAACAGAAAAAAGGTACTTTGAAACTGCCGCAGATTGGCAGCAAACAAGCCGGTACCTGCGCGGACTTGAGTATCTGAGCGGGACGCTGAACGGAGGAAGGACCGGTTAAGGTCCAAAAGTGTGGAAGGTACCTCTCCTTTCCCTTCCATACGCAGTACCCAGCAAGTGAGAAAAGGCAGTGTTTCCAGCAGCAGGGTCCTCCAAAGCCATGTTCAGCACCCCAGATGTACCGCCTCACTTCATATTGGCGGCAAAGATACCCGCGTGCTGCTTGTTGCTTGCTTGCTGCTTCCCTTTTGCTTTTTTTTTTTTTCGCTTCCTCTTCTGCGTGCTCCTCCGCAGCAACACTTCGCCAAAGCGAAAGCAAGCACAAGCAAGCAATGAGCAACACACGCAACTCAGCCCAGAGACAGACCCATCTGCCCATCAATAGTTTTCGCCAAGCAGGATACGGATTGCATTCGTAATTCAGAACGTCTCCGCCCCTTTGTAGCTTTACCTACCACGGCAACCTCGTACCCATCCAATGTACAGAGTATCATCAGTTGCAATTGCCATCTAAAGGCCAGCCAGGGACCAATCCTGCCTAGCGTGGCTTCCCATCTTAAAGTGCCTCGGTGGTAAGGCAAGGCAAAGGCAAGCCAAGGCAAGGCAAGGCAGGAGAAGAGAGTCAGAGAACGTACCGCCTTGGTCCCTAGGCAATCCTAGCCCCTCGTCCACAGTCCTCAGTCCCTCAGTCCCCAGCAAAAGACTCATCAAGCGTGAGGTAAGGTGTGAGAGGTGGGATGCGAGTGGTGGTGGGTGTGGGAATGGAAATGTGGAAGCCAAAGGAAAAGAGTGAAGTGGAAGTCGTCCTTTCCTTTCCTTTCCGTCTTGGTGGAGAGGCACCTGAGTGGTCAGGTTGTTTCCCTTGCTGCATGGTATTTTTTTTTCCCTTCGTCTTGCTGCTGCTGCTCACACCAGTCCGTTTTGGAACTAGCTCCATTTGACGCCCAGTGAGTCGTGACCGCCGCTCTAGCGACCGGCGGACCACACTGCAGTGTCCAGCCAGACAGGCCACAGGGAATGGGGGCAAGAGGGAAAGGGAAAGGGCAGGAAGGAAGGGGGGCAGGGGTCCGCCCGTACGGTGCAAGGGCAAAAAAAGACAGTTGACGGTGGGGAAGGAATACAGAGGGGGAAAAAAAAAAAGAATTAAAGAAAAAATGGCGGTACGTACCTTGTCTTCTTGAGCCTTGGTGCCTGTCCGTCGGGTGCCTCATTGGATTGGTTTTGATTTCCAGTCTTACACCCGCACCCCCTGACTTTCTTCCAAATGTCACACCCCCTCTTGTCCTCTGATTGAGAATGTGAGAATTCCACGTCCAGGATACCCGGGCAGGGTCGGGTGGGGTTTCGAAGCCTCTGGTCCCGTCCTTCGTCCTTCCTCGGTCTGCATTTGGCGTTGTTGGTGTCTTTGGCCGCTCGCTTCAGCACACCAGCGGCTGTACCTTTCCATACAGGTAGCAAAGCAACACTTGAATCTGCTTCGCTGCAGTCGGGGACATTGCAACTTACAAGCATTGGATGCCACCGCCGAAACTGCGCAGTCTCTGCGGTGCCCGTGACGGCTTGGTGGAGGCAATCCAATATGGACTTTATCCAGCCCCAAGTCCTGGATACCCTGAAAGGCCGAAAAACGCCAGCCATTTCCCTCCTTTCTCGTGTACCCTGGACTTCTCCTCTGCTTCCTTTCAGACCTCTTGGTTCAGATTGACCGGATTGACGGCTAATTCCTATCCCTACTCATCAAGTCAGCTCAGAACGACACCGTATTACGGGTTCCATACGTCCACCTTTCGTGCTTTGTTGCAGCTGGTAGCGTACGTATGCAGCACCTTATTATCCACACCAACAACTTCTCCTTACCGTCATTCCTCACCACCACCACCATCATCATCATCGTTGACACCGCCGCCATCGTCGTCTCTGTCGTCGCCATCGTTGGCCACCATCCATCTGTCCATCCATCCATCCCTTCTCGTCCCATCCATCCCATCCCAATCGTGTCCCATCCCGCCCCGTCCACTCCAATCCATCCGCCGCCGCCGTCGTCGTCGTCGCAATACAGCATCCCCACACGAAACTCTCTCGGCCCTAGGCCACTTCTTCGGGGCGTCTTTTCCCAGAATCCCAGTTACTGTACCTACCACCCTGCCAACCTGAACCTGCCCTGCCCACCAGAACTAACATTACGAATGTCCATCTCTCAGACTCTCATGTACGAATGTGCCCTGCCCGGGACAGACACGGCATGCTAGTGCGCCGTAACCCGCCCGCCCGTAATACCTCGCTGAATCCTCATTTTGACTCGGGCAACCGGTACGGGATACGCTGCCACACGATTAATGAAGCAAAAGAAATGTACCAAGTACGTGCAGTCCATACCTTACCTTAACACACACCGCGCCGCGCCTTACCATGTCTGGAGCGACCTGTCGCTCAACTCGCATTCCAATTGGTCTGCTGCAGCCCATTTCCTCTTTCACAAGATGGAGTCTTTCTCTGGTCGTCGTCTCCGTCCTCCGCCGCCGACGACGCCGATTCCCTCGCTTACCGATTCAGGAACGCAGTCGGGCGGGCGTCTTGTGCAGCTTGTCGCTCCGGCCTTGTCCTTGGTTTGATCCTAGACTCCCAGCTCTCGTCGTCCATGTACAGAGTAATTTGGGGCTCCTCACACTTTGTGACTTCCAAGCCGAAAAAGGTCGCAGGTGAATATCCGGCTGCCCCTCACGCCCTCGTCCGAGTGAGTGGATGTCGTGCCTCGTTTTCGTGCAGGTCAATATCTCCCTCTCTACCGATGATTCCCGGGTGACGTCTCTCAAATTCTTGCACCGCCGACTCAAACCCACATCAACTTGTTTCCTGTGTGTGGTTAACCGCAAAGCCTCTCCCCCCAAGCCAACAGCCAACAAGCCTTTCGATGACGGTACTTGCCGTTGTCGGTTGGTGAGCATGAGCAGAGCAATAGCACGTCCACTTACGCGCACCTAACTCCCATGTTTGACCCCCAATAATACTGCGTCTAAAGATATCAACCCAAGGACCGACCCCCAGGCCCAGGGTCAGATGCACTTTGCGGAAGACATCGCTCTTTCGGGCATAGCGCCCCGACATATGTTGGCTCGATACCTCGACACCTCGACGATCCATCCTGTCTCAACCTGCCAACACACCCTTCAAGAGGCTGGCTGGCTTGCAAGTCAGTCCTCAGAAAGACACACAAATGTCTCCACGATAATTTACCTTGTAATACGTATCAAGTAGGTGTCAAAGGTTCGCAACAGGTCAGACGGAAGAGCGCCGCACCGCATAGCAACGCAACG